TAGAAAATAAATTATGAACGCCGGGATCCACACTCCCTTGGTTCCTGTGAGGTCGAGACGGTCCATACTTGCCGAAGCATATCTCTCCCATGGCAATGTTACTCTGTGATAAAATAGCTTAACTACTACTAATACTGAGCATTAATGATAAGATAAAAATACAGGTATTTACGAACTAATGCTTACATCATGAGTGAGGCAAACTGGTTAGTATTGCAAATTAGATGTTACTTCGAATAATTAGGTATTTAATTATTCTAGACTTTGTTTGTTACAATTTTGCTTCGTGATCCAATCATAATGACCCTATCATGTGCTATTGTCCTCTCAGATTAAAGGACGTGCATAATGGGTACATAAACGAATACATTTCTTTAGAAGGTATGCCATGAAAGGAACAAGCCAAAACCATTTGTAGTGTTACTTTTGCCTCGATCCAAATAAAATTGGAATAAAGAGTAGGAAAATGATGTTAGTTATGATCATCATCATCATCAGCCTATTGCAGTCCACGGCTGGACATAGGCCTCTCCCATAGCACGCCACTTAGATCCATTTTGCTTCTCGCATCCAGTCCTGCCAGCCATCTTGCACAAATCGTCTCTCCACCTGTCCTGTGGGCGTCCTACACTACGTTTACCGAGACGCGGTCCATACTCAAGAAGTCGTTTTCCCCAACGGTTCTCGGTTCTGCGGCTAATATGGCTAGCCCACTGCCCATGTCGGTGACCTTGGTTCTCTGCCGGATCACCTCATTCCTGATGCGATCTCTTGGAGAAACGCCGTTGAGCGACTTTGGTATGATAATATACCTATATTTTGTACATGTGTTATACATGGTCAAGTTCATTTTTATAGTGGACACATATTAAATCATCGACATTTAAAACTTGAAAATTGTTTAGTACCGGCATTCTTAGATTGCACAATAAATAATAAATAGCGTAATACGAGTACGTAATCATCGGTACGTAAAATTAGATTGTAACACAATGCCGCAGTATTTCATTGACCTCTACGCTATAAAAATATATCGAATATGTGTGTATAAAATACCTACGTATTTTCTACTAGCGCGTGTATTTCTTAAGAATGTCGATCACAATGTTAATTATATCTGACAAGAATCTTTCGTAAGAAGTAAATAATACATATAGGGTTTTCTCAAAACTTTTCCTTTTGTTTTCTTGTAGAGTATTTATAAAAAAGTTTTCTTTTTCTCTTTCTTTTTTTTTCTTTTTAAAAAGACAACTCCCGCATTAGGAATAAGTATTATATATCCTGTGTCGCGGGGGACTTTACAAACATACATGAAGCGGACACAAAGAACACCCAGACTCAGCACAACAATTTGTGGATCGCACAAAGTGTAGTCCCATGTGGGGATCAATCCCACAGCACTTGGCGTAGCAGTAAGCGTCGTGGCGACCGCTTAAACCACTACGCCATCCGTGCAGTCCGTTGTTAACCATAAACCCTTAAAAACAAAAATAAAATGACTTATTACAATTAGTAGATATATGTACGTTAGGTTGCTTAATTTATTTAATAATACCACTGTTTTGGTACACTTTTACATGTTTTTTAGTTTTATTATTTCCGTTGAGATAATTTTTGTGATAGTGGCATTATAACACCGAAAAGAGGTTATATTAAGTTAAATAAGTTGTAAGTAATAAATTGGCACACAATCAAATGTTTCAAGTAAACTTTAACCTATTTCTAATTGACGTACCGAAATTAAATGATATTAGTTTCCTATCTTAAGCTGATATCATAATAAGCAAGAAATAGGTCAACTCTCGTAATAAAAAATCCTTTAAAGTTCAGTTCTGAATGTTCCTATCTACTCTGCATCTTGAAAATGTCATAAAAGATGTTTTCGTGGTAAAATAGTAAATCATTAGTAAGACTAGCAGAATACCTTAATACTTTACTACGAAAATATCTTTAATGACATTTATAAGATCAAGAGTAGAGCGGAGCCTAATTTTTTTTTTAGACAACTCCCGCATTAGGAATACATCCTGTGTCGCGGGGTACTTTACAAACATACATGAAACGAACACAAAGAACACCCAGACTCAGAACAACAATTTGTGGATCACACACTGTCGTCCCGTGTGGGGTTTGAACCCACAACACTCGACGTAGTAGTTAGCAGCGTGGCGACCGCTTAAACCACCACGCCATCCGTGCAGTCTAAGGTGCATAGGTAAACTGATTGATTTCTTTTAGGACAAAGATTTTTTTTTACAAAGAATTTATTTTACCAATAACTTTGACTATAAAAATATTCGCGATTAGAGCTTCCCTTTTAAGCAAATAATGCCTGTATTAGGAGACTCCGCTCTTCCAAAGCATACTTCCATAGGACCCTTATTTATGAAGTCTGGAATGACCACTTCAAGCTATTGCTGAAATGGTTTGAGCAGTTCAGGGTTGTACTCTACTCGTACCACTGCTGCAAAAAATTCCGAACTTAGTATAATCATTCAGAAATACATAAAATAACGTTTTTTTTTCAGACGGTTGGTTATACGCGGTTAGCACTTCTGCGAGTATTAATTGGCACTGGTAGTTGTTTATCGTTGTTCGGATTGTGTACTTGTATACCAACTTAGTTATTTAAAATCTAACAAGTCTAAGTCCAGCTATTTTATTGAAACAATCACAATTTGTGATAGTTTTTAATTTAAAAAATTTCAACCTATATTATAATGACTTTATAATCAAGGGGCGAGAGAATTTCATCCTCACGGATTATCTCATTTTCTGCAGTTATTGAAATTTGCTTTCGGTGAACCTGACAGTGCAAAGAGTGTAAACCTCAGAAGTTTACCCATTGTCACTACCTTAAGTTCCTCTGCTCTCTATCAAGCGGTGGAGGTTTATTTCAGGTTCCAGGGATCTTCTTATTTCATACATCATTCATATTCATAATCCAAAGGTTGATTGACTTTAATTTGGATTAGATTTAACTTTATGACTATTTAATTCGATTCTGACATATTTAATATCTTTGGTGATGCCTTGCGATGCGATGCGATGGTGATGCGATGAATGTTTTAGTTTGACCGTGTTGTGCAGAAATTATCAAAGGCGATCTTAAATATTACAGAAAACTTATACGAAATTATCAAATATCATCAGTCTAATATAATTTTTTTAGAAATACATCCATTTTATAATGACAAGAAATTATTTTTTTATTACAACTACGTAAGTGTTTTTTTTTTCATAATTTAAATACAGATAATTTTGACAGTTAAGTAGTCAGTATTCAGTACAGTATATAAGTTTGATTAAATTTTAAATCATTCTAAGTATGCAATAGCTTTATGGGGAATTATGTGTATTCTACAATTGAATAGTATTTCTTATCTGGTTCTGAAAACCTTGATAAGATTGAGTTAATCTGATAGTAGGCTCGATCGCGGTAGTAACATGGGATTTGAATGTTGATAAATGATAATACAGAAGTTCGACCAAAGATGTGTCATGTTTCTAATCTTTTTACCTAGGTTTTAAATCGTATTATCATCAGCCTATCGCGACATAGGCCTCTCCCATTGCACGCCACTCAGATCGATTTTGGGCTTCTCGCATCAAGCTCCTACCAGCCATCTTGCGCAAATCGTCACTCCACCTGGCCCTGGGTCCTACACTACGTTTGCCGAGACGCGTCTCCACTCAAGAACTCGTTTTCCCCAAGGGTTGTTGGTTCTGCGGCTAATATGGCCAGCCTACTGCAACTTTAGCTTGCTAAAATATAAATCTTATAGTAAAAAGGAATACCTATACTTCAATACTCAATAAATTATAGTTATTATTATTAGTTTCGTACGCAAGCTTGGACCTGATTGGTCAGGGTCAGGGCTAGGTGATATTTTCTTAAGGCAAATGGATTATCAATCATCAATCAATGGAAAATAATTAAGTGGACAGTTAATAGTCAACATATTTCATAAATTTATAATCATTAAAGACAATTGATATCGCCTTTAACATATTTAATAATTTTTTTAAAGCAAACAGATTTCTTTAAATTATATATATATCCTGTGTCTCGGAGAACCTTACAAACATACATGAAACGGATATAACGTTAATATATATTTTTTTTATGGTATAAGACAATGAGTTAACTACACAAAAAAAGTAAAGAATATTAGTTCTAAAATAATATTGTATTATGCAAAATTTCGACAATTTTTATAAAAAATCTTAAAAGTTTAATATCTTGCAAATGGTTAGGTTTGGGATATGGTATTTCATAGTGAAATCTGTCAGAAATTATGGCAACTACAAACCCTTAAAATATCTAGGTCGACTCAACCAGTAACCTTGTATGTATATAAATATATAATAGATACAAACCCACCTGTCCAATGTCATAAGGAGAGATTTAACCTCAGTCATAAAAAAAAATTTAAAATACTTTTTTGTGTTTTTGGTCTTGACTACTGCGAAATAAAAAATATCACCTCACTTTGCAAAATTAGGCAGATACATATTATTATATATAGATATTATTGAAATAAAGTATTGCCCATGTCACTTGAGGGTACAGTAACTTTCTAAATGTGAAAGAATGATTAAAATCGGTTCAGTAGTTTTAGAATTTATGGACAAAATAATGATAATCTTTATTTGGAACTGGTTACAAAGGTATACAAATAAATGTTTCGATAATGACTGCGGTAGTTGAGGATTGTGGCGCAGTCATTAACACTCCTCACCATAGGATAAGAACATAATTTATGTTCCACATGGATAAGGTCTAGACTAAATTAATCTAAGAATGTGTGACAATAACTAAGAACAATTTTGAGTGCGTGCGTGAGTGCGTGCGTAAGTGCGTGCGTGCGTAAGTGCGTGCGTGAGTGCTTGCGTAAGTGCTTGCGTGCGTATGTGTGTGTGTGTGTGTGTGTTATAAAAGTAAACTTTTCTATTTATAGTTGTATCAATGGATTATGTAAACCGTATTTCTTTTTCAGTTTAGACATCAAAATGGACGCTTTAGCAGACATATTGCAGCCGTACAAGGAGATCGTGGGCAATGTTGCAGCCATAGTGACTATCGGTCAGATGTTCTCTGGCACCTTCATCTGTTACGACATCTACAAGCAAAAGGGCACCAAAGGCATCGGGATGGTACCATTCTTGGGTGGTATTGTTCTGTGAGTATTTATTAATAATAATATGGAAATATTTTTGGAAATTGTTAAATGATACTGAAAAATTTTTTGTTTAATAAAAAAAAAATATGATTTGCTCTTGTGCGTGTACACTTTGTAGTATTTTTATCCTTTCTATTAATCTGTTATTTTTATTTTACATTTTTACCTAAATTACAATTAGTTCAAAAATTCTATGTCGCCTGTGTAAACAGAGGTTTACCCCAGTTCAGGAAGGCAATGATTCAACCACCTACTAACTAGCTACGAACTAAATTTTAATACCATCAATGGTAAAAAATCATGGGTAAAAAAACTGTAAAAATAAAATAGCATTACTTTGGCTTTACACTAGTGTAACTTAGTCTTATTATTATCTAAAATCTATTTTAAATCAAAATGTCGTAATATATTATTACAATACCTCACACATCTCGGACTGCCTCGGTGGCGCAGTGGTAGTTTATGCGACTGCTGTGCTGAAGTCTCGGATTCGATTCCCGGGTCAGACCAAATGTTTGTATGATCTGCACATATTTATTCCGGAGTTTGGGTGTTATCTATGTATAATATGTATGTATTTCCAAAAAAAAAGTATACAAGTATTCTGTCAGTCAATCTAGATTTCATAGTACTGGCTCTGCTTAGTTTAGTTTAAAACTAGATAGCGTTGTGTAAGATATCCGAAATATTATTATTATTATCTCAGACACGGCCGTCTAGTCCCAAATTAGGCAGAGCCTGTACTATCGTAACATGAAGGCAAAAAAAATTGAAATTTTCTACTACACTATTTCAGTATTCTTTACGAAGTCCCTTACAACGTGTACATATTAAAGATAAATTACACCCAGACAAAAACAAATGATGGTGCTCATCACGCAATATCCTCTCTCAACACGACCTCTGGATAAGCAGTCAGAGTTACTGCCATTAAACCAACAGGCCTGTCAGGATGGTAGAGTTAAATTTGAGCCTTTAATTTACACAGTCCCCTGTTGCTTTTCCAGGAGTATTCTCAACTTGAAATACGGTTATATTCTTCGTGACGATACCATGATCCAAGTCAACTTGTTTGGTTTAGCCCTCAACATCTTATATTGCCTATTCTACTTCCAATACACCCATGAAAAGATGAAGGTCTGGGGACAGATGGGTCTTGCGGGTGCATTATCGGCAGGGCTCATAGCATATGCCCAAGCTGAAGACCCAGCGCTGGTTGAGAATAGATTTGGAATGATAATTACTGCGCTTATGTTTCTTCTGATCGCAGCACCGCTTTTTGGATTGGTGAGTACATTTTTATGGGCTTTTAGCTGTATTTCTAATATGTTATTTCATTGACGAAAGGTAGACATTACCTTTCTAATTATTATAAGAGACAGATAGCAATTTCGCTATCATATTATTTTTCCATTACAGCCAAGAACTTGGCTAAAACTATTGCTTCTATTGAGCAAATTGACATTACCCATAGCGACTTTGCCAATCCGTTGGCAGATATTTCTTTAGACATTAATAAAAATTTAAATGACATACCTAATAATTTACATAATAATGAGATTGACATTTCAAATAATTTAAATTTACTGATAAGACAATAGAGACTACCTCTTGCACTATTAATTTGATCACTAATAGAAAGTTAAATCACAGTAAATTTATTAAAAATAATATGATAAATAATATAAATTTGGTGCATCAAAACATTAATAATAATAATAATAATAATAATATATAATAATATATTCTACCACATCCACACAACGCCATCTAGTCCCAAACTAAGCAGAGCTTGTACTATGGGTACTAGACAACTGATATAAATACATATATACTTTTTTTTTTGTAAATACATACATATTATACATAGAAACACCCAGACCAAATCAAACATCAAATGTTCATGCACACAAATGTTTGACCTGAGCGGGAATCGAACCCGCGACCTTCGGAATAGGAGTCCGTTACACAAACCACTACACCATCCAGTCGTCAATCCAATTAGAGGAATGATGGGCAAAGACTTGGAGGTGGAACTGTTCATGAACTGCAATGCAATTGATAATTTTTGTATTACTGAACACTGGCTAAAAGGGGATCAGTTTATGTTCAATTTTGACCACCACCAGGTAGGCAGCTCGTTCAGCAGAAGTACAGCAATACATGGTGGCACTATGATACTCATTAATAAGAAACTTAAATTTAAAGAGCGCCATGACATTGTTAGTTTATCAGTTGAGCGAACTACAGAAATAGCCTGTTTAGAACTAAAAGGTTTCATAGTAGTATGTGTATACAGACCTCCTTCAGCTATGTATGATTGTTTTGAACGTGTTATGGATGAAGTACTAGTTAAAGTAACAAGATCAAAAAAGAAGGTCATCATCTGTGGTGACTTCAATATTAATTAACCTATTGGAAAATTCAAGTATAGTAACCAAGTTCAAGGCACTTTTTCAATCATACAATCTGAAGAACTTGTTCTTGGAGCCTACACGAATCACTGCCACCACTGCCACATGTTTGGACAATATATTTACAGATATTGTTATTAAGGACAAGAAAATAATCAATCAATTACATTCTGACCACTGTGGTCAATTAGTATCTTTCTGTGATAGGTATGAAAAAGTGTCAGAAAAAAGAATTGTGGTGATACCTAAAACCGCAAAGCGTTGTGAAAACTTTAAGGATAAACTTAAAGCTGCTTTTAATAATTCAGTACTCTGTGTAGAGAATAACCCTAATACTTATTATAATCGTTTTTTTGAAACTTTCTCTTCAACATTTAACACCATTTTTACACCAAAAACGCTAGTGGTTAAAGGTAACGCCACATTTAGTGAATGGGCTACCCCTGGCTTACTCAAAAGTAGGAAAAGATTATACGAGCTATACGATGAGAGGAATTATAATAAAAGTGAACAGTTTCATAATTATGTTAAAGAATATTCGAAGCTGTTTAGGAAACTTTGTAAACTGGCTAAGTCTCGTTTTATTAGTTCAAAGATTAAAAGTAGTAATGATAAGATTAAAACCACTTGGAAAATTATTAATAGTGAAACTGGCAAAGATCCAAACCGTGATAATGAATTTAATTTAAACATAAACAATAAATTTATCACATCAAATGCTGAGGTTGCTGCTGCATTTGAGAATTTTTTTACTAACATTCCTGTATCAACTACTAAATCTTTGAACTCCTCACCATACCTTGCAGAATCAATTTTAAAAGAGAATGTTAGAAGAATTGATAGTGAATTTAAGTTCCAATATGTGTCCCCCTTTGAAATTATTAAAGCCTTTAACACTATTAATGTTAAAAAAACAACCGACCTATGGGGAAATTCTGTTTTAATTACTAAGACAATTATATCTCTTGTGGCTAATCAATTGTCATTTACATTTAATCAATGTGTTGATAGTGGTGTATTTCCTGATCTTATGAAGTCTAGTAAAATTATTCCCTTATTCAAATCTGGTAGTACATCTGACCCAACTAACTTTAGACCTATCTCAGTACTTAGTATTTAGTAAAATTTTTGAAAAAATTATGTATGATCAATTGCACAGTTTTTTTAATAATAATAATTTATTGCACAATAGACAATTTGGTTTTACAAGGGGTCGCTCCACAACTGATGCTAGTGTTGAGCTAGTAAAACATATATTTGATGCCTGGGAGGATGCCCACGATTCTCTAGGTATCTTTTGCGATTTATCTAAGGCTTTTGATTGTGTTGTTCATGAAACGCTGATCAGGAAATTACAGCACTATGGTATCAAAAATAAAGCCCTGGAACTACTTGCCTCATATCTATGTAATAGGATTCAAAAAGTTGATATTAATGGTGAGCGGTCTCCAGGCTCTGTGGTAGAAATGGGCGTTCCACAGGGTTCTATTCTCGGCCCTTTTTTGTTTTTAGTATATATTAACGACTTACCTCACTTTGTCAAGGACAATCTCGAGATTGTGTTGTTTGCAGATGATACATCACTATTATTTAGACTAAAACGGACACTTTCTGATTTCACATTTGTAAACAGCGCCATTTCGAAAGTGGTTCATTGGTTTGATGTCAACAATTTACTATTAAATGAACAAAAAACTAAGTGTATACGTTTCACTATGCCAAACGTCAAGCCAGTGAAAACTACTGTGATAATTAAGGATGTCGGGCTGGACCTTGTGGACACTACGACATTTTTAGGTATAACACTAGATGCTAAGCTACAGTGGGGCCCACATATTGATAAATTGTCGAGTAGACTCAGCTCAGCAGCATACGCAGTAAGGAAAATCCGAGAGTTGACTGATGTTGATACAGCACGACTTGTTTACTTCAGTTACTTTCATAGCATAATGTCGTACGGTATTCTGCTGTGGGGGAATGCTGCCGACATTCAAACTATTTTTGTGCTGCAAAAGAGAGCTATTCGAGCACTTTATAATTTAGGCAATCGTTGTTCATTGAGGCAGAAATTTAAAGAAATAAATATAATGACAGTGGCAAGTCAATATATTTATGAAAATGTAATATATGTTCACAAAAATAAAGATAGCTTTTTGAAAAAAAGTGATGTACATGCCATAAATACCAGAAATAAAAATAAATTTGTTGTACCCGTATCTAGGCTCCAAAAGATAAACAAGTCTTTTCGAGGTCTGTCCGTGTAGTGACGGATTAAGAATACGGAATGTCACTACCCCAATTCATCCCGTGGGTGTCGTAAGAGCCGACTAAGGGCGCAATACAACGCAGGACACCAGCACTGCAAAAAGAAGGAAAACTCGACACAAACCCTATACCAACCCGCCTGGCCAGCGTGGTATAGTAGGCCAAAACCTTCTTTCTAAGGAGAGGCCTATGTCCAGCAGTGGACTATTAAAGGCTGTTGATGTGATGTGATGTGATGTGTGTCCGATTTTATAATAAAATCCCAAATAATATTCAGGAGTTGAGTATTAACAAATTTAAATCCGCAATAAAACGTGGCTTGTGCCAGAGGGCCTACTACTCGATTGTGGATTACATGGAGGACAAGAATGCTTGGGATTAATTAGCGCAGGCTATTTCTTTCTTAAGTAAAAATGTGGTGTGGCTAGTATGTTTTTTATTACTTTTTCTATTTTTTATGTTTCACTTCATTTTCTCTTGTATTCGTTTGTTCTTCTTAATCTTGTTTTCTCTTCATTGTTTTTTCACCTTTAAGTCCTTAATAACGGACATACTAGCACACATCAAAACAATGTTGTGATATATTTAATAGTGCCATTGTATCTACTTGTGAATTGCAAAAGAGTGGCCATGAGTTTGTTTGCCCTTTCTTCTCATAAGGCTCAACCCCTTGGAAACGGGCGGTTGTAGATCGGCACAGGCATATCATAGATTTTGTATGGGTTTGATTTTTGTTAAATTTATTTGGTTACTATTTGACAAAACAGAGATTGTTGCTTTTGTGTGTGTTGATCTATGACTTTAGAGTCTACATGGAAGACGATTTCAAACAATTTTGAAAATTTTATGAAATAAAGAAAGTTTGAGTTTGAGTTTAGTGACTAGTTAAGACAGTGAGATCAGTGAATCAACTTTTCTAACTAGTCGAGGCGAATGTATTTTCATAAGTTAAAAATAAAAAACAATGGATTAAGAAAAAAATCTTTTTTATCGTAAATAGGCGTGGGGTGCTAGATGTCAATTGTTGTAAATATTTTATTGAGAGATGTTGGTAAAAGTAAAATAATTATGTTATAAAATATCTTAAAAAGCATCCCACGCTTTTTTTATAGCGTCTGTCACTTGTTTCGGGTATTGAAATGAAATGAATTGAACTTAAAATGAAACAGAAATGAAATGAGCATTTTCGCCGAGGTAGTCTGTCAGAGAAAATTTACTCATAGTTATATCATATCAGTTATAATGTCCGCGAATGGATATTTATTATCGTTAGAATATAATAAAAAATATTAACATTTTTACAATTTTTATATTTAATTTATATAAATAATTGAATTGCCTGGTTGAGCTTATCTCACGTAAGATACGTTCGATAAATTAAATAAATATAAAACCGACGGATTTTATCGGAATCGGAATTTATCCTTCAGCGCTCTTTTAATCTTACACATATTTACTGGCCTTGAGTTTTAACAAAGGATTTGAAAAAAAAACAGAAATTGTAGGGATTACATAGCAAACCCCTGATCATTGAGAGGGGGGTGGGGGGACCAATACTTGTGACCCTACTCTACCATAAAAAAACACAAAAAAATTATATGCTTTCAGCATGTTTAATACAGCATGTTTAATATAGCATGTTTATAACTTTTATATATTATCCATGACCAAGTGAGTCTATGAGGATTCCTTGTTAGGACTATAGAACTCTTGAAAACTATAAAAGTTGTCTGTGTAAGTGTAATTTAAATGTTTTTAGTTATTTATATTACTGACCCGCCAATAGTACCTATACCTAAATATAAAACATAAAATAAGAAGATACACTGTGGCGCAGTTGTAGGTAGACAAATTTTTCTATAAAACGCATGCACAGTAGCTATACACAAACAGATTTACATATTTTAAAAATAAAAAAAATCTAAATAAAGACGAAGGAAATAAAACAGATTCATTTTAATAAGGAAATGGAACTTAAAATTAGTTAAAAAAAACACTGACTTGTGTTTTAATTTAATGTTAATTTCTTTTTAAAGAAAACTATAACAAATAATAATCTGTTTTCAATTATTTTCATATTTCGTTTAGCTTTTTTGTGTAATAAGCTAAAGTATTAATATTTACTTTAATGTTAAATTATGGCTCAAGGTTTCTTTGGAAATTGAATTTACGAATGAAAGAGATTTTGACTCCCATTTCTATTTAAAAACTAGGAATGATCTCGCTTGAATAATTTAATATGACATCTAAGAGTACAGCGTAAATTATCCTCCATTATTAGTTTAATATTTTTGTTGTTTTGATATATTTAAATCAACATTATATATATATAAATTATTTACAATAACTGGGTATGAGGCGTCACAGTATTTCATACAAAATCTACCACATGGCGCGTTATTAATCGTCAAAACTATAATTAAAAAATATTTTCTTGCCATAACACTGTTCAGGATTCCTAGAAGAACGATCGATTTTAGGCGATCTAATGATTTAATACTTTTAAGCTAAATTATAATTTATTATTACAATTGTAACTCGTAATTTAAAGGTTTTATTTGTGTTTCTTCCGTTAAAAACACCAACGCATTTATGACTATTACATACTAGTATTTAAACTGATAGGAATGTCTTATGACTGTTTAACTAAGATCTACACTGATAATAGAGATTACATTCGCTTAACATGTTTCGAATGGTATGTTACATAATTAATGTGAATGTGACTGACACTTATCATCATTATCAACAGCCTTTAATAGTCCACTGCTGGACATAGGCCTCTCCTTAGAAAGGAGGTTTTGGCCTACTATACCATGCTGGCCAGACGGGTTGATATAGGGTTTGTTTCAAGTTTTCCTTCTCTCTGCAGTGCTGTTGTCGTGCGTAGTTTGCTCCCTTAGTCGCCTCTTACCATGCCCACGGGATGAATAGGGGTGGTGACAATCTGTATTCTTAATCCGTCACCACACGGACAATAATAACACTCACGTTATGTCAAAATTTACTTGTTCAGTCAATAATACATAACTAGAGATAGACTTCGACTACAATTCATAAAGTTTTTATTTATTTATTTCAGTATAACTTGAAGTTGACTTATTAAAAATAAAACAGTAATGTTATTATGTAGATAAGTTACTTAATTATAAGTTACTTTCCTCATCTCTGGCAACAGCTTTTTCTTATTTTTTTTAAATTAATATTTCAGTTTACTTCAGTTATACCAATAAAAAGTTTTTTCCTTACATTCAACCTAAAATAATAATATGGTCGTATTTCGACCAATGAGCCAGCTATAGTGTAAATAGGAACTGTTTGTATGTTTTTGTATTACAGAAAGACATAATCAAGAAACAGAGCACAGAAGGTATGCCTTTCCCCATGATACTCTCCGGTACCGTCGTGACCTTCGCGTGGCTGGTATACGGCATTATCCTCAGAAACAAGTTCTTGGTTGTGAGTAGTTTTGTGTATGTCATATTTTTTTTAGGCGGAATCCAGAACATCGATGCATGGTGTCGATAAGCTAAACGATCTTTTTTATAGTTTGGTTAGTTTACAATTTTTTTTTATATCTATTTTGATGTACATTGTAACACAAATGAGGTTAAAGTTATTTTTTTATAGTGTAACATAATTATATACATAATTATGTATGTAATGATAAAACTTATGTCAAGGTTCATCTAACTATGGCGTATCATTTAAGTAAATATTATTTTTACGGCCCTACATTATGATTTTTGACCGAAAAAGCGGACATCTTATTTTATACTAGCTAACCCGCGCAACTTCGTCTGCCTCTCAATAGTAATAAATTTTCTCCGTTTTTGAAACATTCTTCATTGGTGCTCCGCTCCTAGTGGTCTTAGCGTGATGATATATAGCCTATAGCCTTCCTCGATACATGGGCTATCTAACACTGAAAGAATTTTTCAAATCGGACCAGTACTTCCTGAGATTAGCGCGTTCAAACAAACAAACAAACAAACTCTTCAGCTTTATAATATTAGTATAGATACATATCAACTTATCGATAAATGAAATCATTTTCAATGGAAGAGTAAAACTCCCGTGCGACAATTTTGATTTAAACGTAAGATATTTGACATTAAAATATTTCTATGGAAAATATAAAAAGAAAAATAAAATACTTTGAAAAAGAACACTTTTCATTGCTTGTGGGGCATGTAATTATATTAACAAACATGATTGTTTACAACAAAAAAAAACTCAGTATTCTATGCTTAAAAAGAACGGAGTTTTTTTTGTTATTGTAGGTATCTAATCTCAAAAAACCTGTCAATAATTTTAACAGTATTACTTATTGTTGTAACTATACAATTTGATCTTGAAAGAAGTCCTACCGTGTGATAAAACCTAAGGTGAAACCTGGTAATGAGGACGGCCAGTTTGTGTTGATTAATTCTTAAAACATCAACTGTTTAATACAACACGAAAACACTTGTTTTGTACAAATTATATAAGCGTACCATAAACTATGATTCACATAACAAAGTGTAATAAAAATTGATAAAATATATAACGAGAAGTCCAAGGCTTATTATTTATTACGTTCAATATTTGTTACGTAATATTCTGATAACCTTAATGTGTAATAAGTGTTATAACGAAGTTTGTTTTTACTTTGAACCCGAATCGAACCCGAGACCTCAGCACACCAGCCGCATATACTACCACTGCACCACCGAAGCAATCAAATTTATATGTATCAAGTGTAAAATAAGTGTACTAGTAAGTATAATAATTCCTGTCTTTTATTTTCAGATCCAGAACATGGTAGCTGTTCTATTATGCTCAGTTCAGCTGGCGTTATTTGCCATTTATCCTTCCAAACCCAAAGGCAATAATAAAAAGGCGAAAGCGAAGAAAATCAACTAAATTTAATAGCTCAATCGGATCACGATGATGCCTCATTAGTACGTAAGATTAAAATTAGTCGAATAAAAGGACGCATCTAAAGCTGGAACCCTAGAAGGAAAATGTAATATTTTCACGACAGTCACTTGATAGAACAGCGTATATCAAAGTCGATTTTGTTTTTGTTTTGTAAGAAAAATTAACCCGACTTCGTTTTTCTGTGATGTACATATCAGTGTGTTATTTACAGCCCACAGCAGTATTTTAACCAGTATTGTAACCACAATGTAGTTCTGGCTTAATTATATATAATTATAACGAATAAAACAATTTTTTTAGGGGATTGTTAACTAGCAATTCTCTAAGTTTAACTATTTTTATAGAGTTTTTATTATATGTAAACTATATAGGTAATATTAATTACATAAAACTAATAAGCAATGGTTTTTCAAGATTATGTTAATTTTTTCCAAAACGAATTGTACTCACTAAGTTGTATATGTACAAAATAAATGAATTGTACTAATATTTTCAATGTAATTTATTTTGTTTTTAAGCTTAAAATAATAAGAGTTGTGGAATTATTATAAATCGAATTTAATTCGATTTAGTGAAAGGGAAAAGAAAATATCATGTATCGATGATAACTGAGTCTGCTATTGTGACCCATTGCCTTATTGAGTGTACAAACCTAGTAGATATTTTATTTAAATAATTGGAAAATCATTTAATATATATATTTTTAAAAATTGTTTTTATTTCATTCCGACTATACGTTATTTATACAACCATGTATTTATAAACTAGAATAAGGTGTTTTTTTTTGTAATAAATTCGACTATCTAGTCGTTAAAATCAACAGACTAATAATTAATGAATAAATTATTTTTTTATTTGGCGATAATAAGTACAGTAACATTACATGACAATTTTTTTTTATTGTAACTGTCAAAACTAAAGACGCGAGCGGCTACTGACTCTGCGTTGCGGGTCGAATTCGCAATATTATCGTTTTTATCGCGTTTCGGATAACAGGGTGAATGCACTGCAATCGGAAAAATATTGTATTGTACCGATAATATACATGATAACTAGATCTTAGGTAAAATTTGCTCACCAGGGACTTCCTTTCTAGGGTATACCTGGTTCCCCGGCTATTAGTACCAGAGACGTCGTGCGGTTTTAGTCAGTTCTAGGCCGACATGAAACCGATAGGTGATATCCGAGGGGATTTCCGCACGGAAAAAAAAGGTAAAATATGCTATTACCGTTGAGAATGGCTTAAATAAGCAAAAGCATATGCAAATATGCAAATGCATATAATCCGGTCTCTATTTATTACCTAACTGTAAGTTCATATGTAGATTTTCCCGGGCCTTCGATACCATTAATACTTGTTTGTTGCTGTCAAAGCTTAAATACTACGGGTTCGACAGTAATGCAGTTAAATTGTTCCACAGCTATCTGTCCGGTCGATTGTGGTAAGTGTGGAACAGCATCTTAATGAAGGGGCATCAGTGGTTTCTGAACTCACCCCTGTTACAAGGGGAGTTCCTCAGGGATATAACAAAATGTTTGATTAATTCACGATATTAGAGGACGTAGAACATGTTTTGATGGAATGTGTTCGGAACCAACAACTGAGAGAACGCCTGCTCAATGATAAGTTGATGGACATTGGAAGATGTAACAGCAACCTGGCCAGTCCTTTGACAGATATAGCTAATGATATTTATACTTTGTATTTTCAATATTTCAGTTAAGTTTAAAACAAAAAATGGCTATGATGGAGCGACGTAGTCATCTTTGGTATTGTGGCTAAGCTCCGGAAGAAAAGAAAAAATCACGATATCATATAAATGTTGATGACATTCAAATTTATATTTCTTTTAAGTTAAGTGATTATGATAAAGCTATATCTGACTTAAATGATGATCTGAACAGAATCGTGCACTGGGCGGAGAAAAATACATTGGTTTTCAATCTAAATTAAACAAAATACATGATATTCGGCACTAAAAGTAATATTAGGTCTTTACCTATGAAATTGCCGTTTTGTATGCAATAAGTGAAAGTACTTATTTTTGAAACTTTTTTATTTCTGTTATTCGAAGTAATCACCCATGCAATCGAGTCGATTGAATCGACGCATCTTTGCCCACGCATTGGCAGTTTATTGATGCCCTTCTTGTAAAGATCAGCTGGACGGGAGGCAACAACCTCTTCAAAGGCATTTTGTACTGCCTCTCGGGAATTGAATTTTTTACCCACTAAAAAGTTGTCTAAATTTTGAAGGTTGACGTCACGTTTTATTCAACCAATAGCGTTGCGTTTTAGAAATTTGCGAGGGAATCTTAATAAAGCCAATTTTTGATGATTAAATTTCACTATTAAATTATAATAAATTTCAAAAATAATTGTATGGGTATCTTTTTTTAGCAATAAAAATTACAAATAAAAATATTTTGTCCATTTTGGTGTTACGTGCATATTCCCTATTAGGGTCTGCAACTGGTTTTACGCATAGCGTCATTTTGGGCCCAATTGAAAACCAGCGTCAGGCTTTCATCTGACACAAGGCTGAATTGGGTCCGTTTTTGGCATCTGTTTTCATTTTATCAAGCTGCAAAATTGTCAAAAGTGTTGTGTTATTGCTAAAAAAAAAGTTTTTTCTTTATTTATTTTTAGATGTTACAGTTACATGAATTATTATCAACATTTAAGTCATTTCGGTTATGGAAAGAATAAATTGATTAATAATTTACAAATACATATCTTTTAGTCATCTATGCAGCATTTTTAAAAAAAAAAATGCATTAATTCAGTTTATTTTTAGTTTATGTTTGATGTTTTTTTCATTTAAATTGTTTGTTTTTCCATTTTTGGTATAAATAATCATAGGTACGTAGTAGGGTGAACTACTGCATACAAGTCGCTAGAGGTAACAACCGACCGATTTTGTGGAACCGTGGACCGAGGTAGAAAACGACCAATTCAAATGTTATTCCTGCTGATGCGAATAACTATGGTGGTTTGATGCACGTATTGAAACTGGGCATAGGTTATGATGAGACGCAACATTTCTGTTACTAAAAGCCTGGTCTAAGTATCTTATCTAAATTTAAATGGCCTGCCCTTCGCCGTGATCAAATAGAATCAGGCGAGTTTCCGATTTAGTTGTTATAAAATACCCTGCCACGCTTCGTTGTGGCACATTGTGGTAGCAAAAGGTACTTAGATAAAAAACATCTCTAAAGCATCAAATGTAGTAATAATAATAATAGCCTTTCATTCCTAAACATAGGGTTACAAGAGGTAAGTTCGGTGTGCCTTTTGGCATAGGCCTCCTCCAATTCCTTCCAATGGGTCCTGTGCTACTCTCAACCATAGAGCGTCTTTCTTTTTGAAGCGGGTTAAAAAATGCCGCGATTGTATATGTCTATCTCCTTTTTCTTGTTAACGGGGTGGAAGATCTTCATGGATATACGAGTAATCTCAGATAAAAAAGTTAATATGGTACTGTGTGACCAAAGAAGTGAGGCCAATCAAAACTACGCAGCGCGTGTACATACACAATAACACGCACACACCTACAACGAAACTACGCCTTCTGCCAAAATGCCACAAAAATATTTCCAAGTAAAATTGCTGAATTGTGTTGTGAAAGGGAGTAAAAATCAAACTACAAGAGGTAGATAGTAGGACGGAGTTGCATTTCACACATAGGTAAGCGTAGAAATCAATATTTTCAATAAAATAAAATTATGATAGCCCACGCACATAAATAGTTTTTATTAGTCCACTGCTGGACATAGGCCTCACAATAGAAAGGAGGTTTTAGAGGAGCCCACGCACACATGTATATAAACCGGCCTTACTTCGTTCTTTGCAAAGTTCCATATTGATTTTTTTATTTGATCTGAGACTATAATCGATTTAAAAAAAAAAGAACACGGTTATTCCATTGTTTAGTTTTCACTTCTGTCTACACTCCTTACGACTACCTCTGACTTTTTTTTTAAATATCTATATACAACTCTCTATAACATATTAGTATAGATATTAAAACATCTGCAGTATGAACTAAGGAATAAATGATTAAAAATTTCCAGATAAACGTTCCAAATTGCAATAATTGACGTCGATTATTTCTATCAACCTTTAAATTGTCCTCTAGGGTACGAATACGATCAGATGAATAAAACACAGTGTACACACACACACACATATGTTTTTTTTTATCTTAGAGGGGGCAGATGAGCAGACGGGTCACCTGATGGAAAGTGACCATAGCCGCCCATGATGTCTGCTACTCAGGAGTCATAAACGCGTTGCCGGCCTTTTAGGAAGAAGTACGCTCTTTTCTTGAAGGTCGTATCAGTCCGGAAATACCGCAGATGATAGTAATAATATGAATGTATTTACACTTTGTTACATTAGTCAATAAGCTTACCAAACACTTAATAAATGTTGCAACGGGTAGTTACCTAGGTTGTTTAAAATTGTTAGCTGAAGAATAAATCCGGTATCTTTTTTAACTATATTGAATTGATGGCTAAATTCAATACAACTTTCTGTGCTGAATTTTGTGAATAGTCGTAATCAATAAAGGTGGTCGAGTGAACCTAAACGAAGATTCTAAACTTGGTGACCTCCAACTGCAGTAACTCATGAATATGTCATCAGGGTAGAAGGGACATTGCGGGATAAGACACATTAGTCATCGCGGGATATAGAATGAACTACGATTGGTCTGCGCTGAACTCTAAACAAATCACAGCACCGACCGCGGTCACCGTGACGATCGAGTAGATGTGAAATAAACTGTAAAAAAGTTAAGAAGCTTGCTTCGCGATTGATACCTCGTTCTCTCACCGAAGACCACAAATCTGGAACAAAGAACGTATACTGACGAAAACACGAATAAATACTTCTACACGAAATATCGATACAAAATAGAACGGTAGTAGCAGTAATAAACATCATCATCATCATCAACAGCCTATAATAGTCCACTGCTGGACATAGGCCTCTCCCCTGAAAGGAGGGTTGGTATAGGGTTTGTTTCAAGTTTCCCTTCTCTTTGCAGTGCTGTTGTCCTGCGTAGTTTTCTCCCTTAGTCGACTTTTACGACACCCACGGGATGAATAGGGGTGGTGACACTACGTATTCTTAATCCGTCACCACACGGATACAGTGTGCCAGTAATAAACAGATCTTAAAAACTACCCAAGTAATATCACAAATATTCACAAACACAGTAGGTACTTCGTGGTAAATAAAGGTGAGTCCTATCACTGCGCTAGATGCGTGGCAGCTACGCGTGGTGTTGCATTCGCCGGACGCACGATCTATACAACACAATCATGGCGGTGTAATGATAAGTCATAAAAAATATTACTTATTAAGTTAACCGTGAATCAATATTTTAAATGCTTAAGTTTTAGGTAAATATGTTTCTGCCGTATTTCTTGACCGCGTGAATAGTTTAGACCTGCGCGGCATGTCCGTAACATACCCATTATTATTACGAGAATGTTTTCAGCGAGTAACATTTTTACCGAGATAAACGACATACGCGCAGGTGGAACCGCGGGTAAAATCTAGTTGTGAATAATAATGTCGGTCTCATCTGCTGAGTTAGTAACTCAATTTTTACGGAATAATAATTTCCTGTACTATTTATCTATTCTATCATTATCATCTGTTCTTTAATTTATAAAATACATAATTGTTTTGAATTAAAAATACTTGTGCATATATACGTAAATGCGAATGCAAAATGGTCACAACTTTTAATAGGCTGCGCGGAATACTCGTAGGTGGTCAAAATGGTGTTAACGAAATTATCTGTAATATTCGTTATTTGTGCTCTATGGTTTCATGTCGAAGTAAGTTGTTTTTTTATGTGTAACATCTTGATTTATTGTAAAGGGGCGAGAGTGTTAATGTAATAGCAAGCAGAGGATAGGTATTTGATTTGACCGATAAGTGCGAGCGCTGCTAGTGTTGGCGGACATCTGACATCTCTCTCGATAAACAAAGAATGAAGCATCAAGGCCAGGCACGTCTTTACACTGACTGCACGGATGCCGTAGTGGTTTAAGCGGTCGCCGCGCCGCATCCTACTGCGCTGAGTGTTGTAGAATCTATCCCCGCATGGGACACCACTATGCTTACAGCTTTACAAATTGTTTTTCTGAGTCTGTGTGTTCTTTGTGTCCGTTTAATGTATGAGTCCCCCCGTGACACAGGGTTTACATTCCCAATGCGGGAGTTGTCTTAAAAAAAAGAAAACATGGTTCAAGTTCTATCAAGATCGGGCATCTAAGTCCGGCCGTCGAGGTGGTTTCCAATGAAAACACCACATACTCCTGGCTCCTGCATCGGCCTGATGGCGCCCCAGGCGGCATATTCATTATGGCGGGGGCGTCAATTTTAATAATAGGTTGCCACAACATTGAAAGTGCCTTTACTGACTATATACTGCAGATTTTTTTTTTATTAGAAATGTTATTACTATTCACCATATACAAAAGTTTTGTCATCTAAGACCAGGCACGAACTGTCGTAATATAAGATTTTTACGGTACTGCGCACAAACATGGTCCACCACGCAGGCAAGATCTACTCCGATCAGGCTAGGCGACGCGGCCTAACCTCTGAAGTTGAGAAGCTATTAAATAAAATAAAAAAAGAAACTTTCATTGCGCGATACTGGAAAAGTAGTTACTGTATAATTCAGCCCATGTTCGTTAGATGGCGCTGGATTGTGTTTTGTTGTGATTGTATGTCGTCTCAACAAGTGTGGCACTTACTGCAACGGCGATAATTTTGGAAAAAGAAAACCTACATCTTTGCAATGCTTCGGAGTATACTTGCCCCTGATGGTGCAGACATTTAAATTTTTCGATAACTTGCATTAGTTTAGGACCCAAGATGAAGTCTCTCTCTAAACGTAAGTACTTAAATTAATTTTCAGTGCATGGTTGTGAAGTTTGAACGCGCACGTGTTGTCTATCTGGATGACGATTACATGTTCAATACTACGGTGTTCGTCAGGCGATACAGCAGAAAAACCCCACACTACTTGCACATCATTGCAAACACAAGACATCTATGGAACAACAATATAACGGTAAGAGCCCATCCCAAGTAATCTGCTTTTTAAGCTAAACTTGAATTTTTTCACCTCAAACTCTTTTTATTCTCATCGTTTCCAGTCTCTATTGGTGATCTCAGACGAAGATTCTGGATTAATTCTTTATTTATAATTGTAATGATATATTTTCCAGGTGGATATTATTTTCGACCAGTTTCTTCATAACGAATATCGACCATCGTTTGTAGAACTGCATCATAAGTTCTGTGACTTTATTCATGGTGAACCTTGGGTGGGTGGTATGTTGAAAATGTTTGGGCTGACTTGTCCTCTGAATCCTGTAAGTAGTAACACTACAGTTGAATATTAAAGATATTTGATGAAGCGAGAGCATAAGTATACCTTCACATACCGGCTGGCGCAGGTAATCACCGGGCAAGGATGCTTCAGAGATCACCTGTGTCTGATCCGCAAGTAGCCAACGCCTGAATGCCACCACTGTGATGACCACACCTTGAACACGAGGGTCCAGATGCTGGCAGAATGCCCGGCATGGGTGGAGCAGAGGCCTCGTGGCGGCTATCAACATTTCTCTCGCTCGGTACCATGATTGCAGCCATGGTACGGAGCGAGAGCGCGTGGAACTCCGCCATCTCCTTATGCGAGTAAGTTATGCTTGCGAAGGAGACGGCGAAGATCAGAATGGCAGAACGATTTTCATCCTCTACAAGCGTGGGCTTGGGGGTGACATGTGAGGCCGTCTGTTACCCTAATAGAAGCAGACCGGGATTGCAGCGCACGAGGGGGTCATCTACAAGCTGTAGACGACCCGGGTTTTGTCGGGGTACCAGAGATTTCCTTTCTAGGGTACATTTAGTTCCCCGGCTACTGGTACCCGAGACGGCATGCGATGTTTATCCGGTTCTAGTCCTACATAACCCCCCCACCGGTGGGTGGTATCCGAAGGGATTTTCGAACAGAAAAAAAATGTTAGGGTAAGGGTGTTAGGGTCTTATTTAAATGCATATTTCAGGGAAGGTTTAATACTTTTGTGTCTAACGAGCGCCCTCTTTAAAGAGACAAAGTGATCAGCTGCGTCGGTGCCTGACTTCTCACGGCCTGGCTTCACCCCGTCGCTCCGTCCCGTCGTTTTCCGATATTGGATGCGTATAAATGTGTGTTTAGATAAAAATAGTACTAAGCATTGATTTTTGTAGTGGGAGGTAGAAAAGATTTATAATATTAGATTATAGTTTACATTATAAAAAACGTTTAAATAGTTCAGGGCAATAACATTTTCCCCTTTTACCTGCGAAACACTTCTTCAGCAACAACTAGAATTGTATAATACGTCCCAAAATACATGTTTATTACCATTTACCCTTCACCCTTTTATACAGACATTTTTGTTTTTATCTAGGGACTACACGTGTTAGGGAATATGACGGCACCCACCCAGAACTTTCCGAACGTATTTCCCTTTGAAAAAGGCCGCGCGAACGCCACTCTCAGCCTGACAGCCACTAAGAAGCCGATCTTCGTCCTCCATGTAGAAATTACTTTTAAGCAATAAATCTGTCAAATAATTCTGAATTGTTTTATATTTATTCAATTCCCTGTATTAAGGTTTATATCACATGTGTAATATAAATATAAATAGGGACGAGGAGGATATCCATTATAGGGTCTTCCAACCCGTCCCATGGGGACAGGGACAAAGGCGTCTGTCCGTCTCCTACCGACTAAAAACCAACCTGATGTTCCACTGCTTGACTATGACCATAGGAGTTAGAATCCGCTTTGCATTCTTCCTCTACCTCAATAACCGTTGGCTCTTCTCACCCAAAATGGTTTACACAATCATGTCTTCACCATTAGGGCACAAGGCACCCGTGCCCAGGGCCCCCATGGTCACCGGGCCCCCGAAAAGCAAATACATAGAGCGATTTATTCGCTAACATAATATATTTTTTTCTATTTTAGATCGATATAATGCTACAAAAAAATGTAAATGGGGGCTTAGTTCGCGACTTTATGGCAACCCTGACCAATGTCAAGCCAATGATATTGCGGAATTTGACAGAAAATGTTTCATTGCCAACCTTTCCAGATAAGATATTGTTAGTTCCCCGTTTCCCCACCATCTAAAGTTTTTGTTAGGCTGTAAAATCGCCTGAGTAATAGCCTGTTTTTTTTTTTTTTCAGCAACTATATATATTCCAGTAACTGTATTTCAGTAACTATAGGTCCTTACATATGAAATTAGCGTTTTGTCGTACTGACCACTTTGATCTGAAATATCTCCTCTTTGGTTGAGAATTCCAAATTCAAATTTATAAATTAATTTAGCTGGTACATTCGAGTTTTGAAAACAGTCATTAATTTATTTTTTCCTCATTACTTTTTTCTTTGGCGTCGCTTATTACCGCACAATAAAAAACATGAAATATTGGTATATTTACAAGGACGAGTTCTACCATGGCACCAGTGCTGCAGAAACAGATTAATGATGTGTACGGCGCTGGTGTCGCAAAAGAAAGCACGGTGCGTTTTTGGTTTCAACGTTTTCGTTCTGGAAATTTCGACCTTCAGAACCAACCCCGTGGACGGCCGGAGACCAAAGTGGAAAATTAAAAACTAAAGTCTATTGTGGAAGCGGATCCATCACAAAGCACTTCAGAGATAGCGGCAGGCTTCGGGATAAGTGATAAAACTGTATTAATCCACTTGAAGCAAATCGGGCAAGTAAAAAAACTTAAACCATGGGTACCTCATGAATTGAGTCAGAGACCAGTAATAGAGCGGGAAACGAAGAGAATAAACATATTGATGTTTTGAGGTGAAAAATTTAAGATTAGCTTTAAAAGCAGATTACTTGGGGTGGGCTCTTACCGTTATATTGTTGTTCCACAGATGTCTTGTGTTTGCAATTATGTGCAAGCAGTGTGAGGATTGCCTGCTGTATCGCCTCACGACCACCACAGTATTGAACCTGTAATCTTCATCTTCATCAGGTTATATACCTGTATATTATGTGCGCGTTTAAACTTCACAACTATGCATCATCATCATCATCATAGCTTATAATGGTCCACTGGTAGACATAGGCCTCTCCTTAGAAAGGAGGTTTTGGCCTATTACAACTATGCACTCAAAAGTAATTTACTGTTACTTCCCAATTTCAGAGGTTAGGCCGCATCGCCCAGCCTGATCGGTACAGATCCTGCCTGTGTGTTTGAGCTTGTTTGTGCGCAGTCCCGTAAAAACATTTGTATTACAACGATAGAACGATTATTTAGATGAAAAATTTGGTTGGGATTGATGCCACACTTGAAAGTGATGAACATTAAATTTTTTGTTGTAATTCGTATTTCGTTTGTTTTCAATTTGTTTATTTGAAATTGAATTGTATAGATTTTTTTGTGTAAGCAGGTAAATGTGCGTTTAGGGTTGTAATGTTAGTTCATATTTTAGTAACTTTCTGGTGGTTTTGAGTGTTTCCACGGCATAGTCAAGTGTCCCGCTGGCGGGTGTCGTGTTCCGGATTGTTGATCCTGACATCAGTTAGGCTACACCATGGCTGGGGCTCGTATGCCGTCTGTATGGACGGGCCGACTCAATGTTATGGTCATTTCTTCGAAAGGCCAGCTCAGACCCTATACTGCACTCACATAGTTCTCTTTAAAATTGTACACGGACTTAAAAAAGAAAAAACACACCTCTCTGATTTGTTTCGGCGTTTCTCAGTCAGGCGTCAGGGTAGAGACACTACGTATTATTAATGCGTCACCACACGGACAACTTGGTTCATAAATAGTAATACCAACATTAATAATTAATTGACACAGCCGTCTGATCCTAAATTAGGCAAAGTTTTTTTACTATGGTAAAGGTTGATGGTTCATCAACGGACTGTTGATGAACACTCTTATACATACTTAAAGATAACTTAAATTCAGACACAAAACAAATTATCGTGTTCACATCGTCATCACCGTCAAGAATCAGGCCCAGATGAAGTATCTGGGCCTGATTCTTGACGGAAGCTGGCTCTTTGACGAGCACTTACGACATCTTTTGCCCAATTAGGGTGGAGCCAGCGGCGGGCACGCCGTCATCGCGGGCCAGGGCCAGGTACCGCAGGCGACTCAGGCGCCGGAGATCGCAGAACGACCTCCGTCCTCCATAAGCGCAGGCCTGGGGGTGACAGGTGAGGCCATCTGTCGCGCTCGCTTCCAGGGAGCACAGGGAACATGGGGTTCCCACACGGGGGGGGGGGGGGGGTCGTCTACTCATCTGTAGATGACCCGAGGTATGTCGGGGCACCAGGGACTTCCTTTCTAGGGTATACCTGGTTCCCCGGCTATTAGTACCCGAGACGGCGTGCGGTTTTAGTCGGTTCGAGTCCGACATGCCACCGACAGGTGGTATCCGAGGGGATTTCCGCACGGAAAAAAAAAAAAAAGGGTGGAGCCAGCGTCACGAAAAGACGGCTGTACACGGGGGTTGTCCGGTCAATGGCACTGTACGGTGCACCGGTGTGGGCGGTGGCTCTGACCGCCCAGAATAGGGCACACATCTGGCGCCCTCAGAGGATATTGGTGGTTAGAGCCATACGCCGTTACCGCACCGTGTCGCCGGAGGCGGTGTGCGTGTTGGCCGGAACATCCCAATGGGATTTAGGGGCGGAAGTGCTCGCCGAAGTATATCGGCGGACAGCTGAGTTCCGGGCGTATAGCGGCATTCGGCCCCCGCCCGATGGGATACTTGAGTGGCGTGAGGCCGCTCGACGAGCCACGATAGCTCGTTGGTCGTCCCGGTTGAAGGCTCCATATGCTGGCTTTGCCGCCGTGGAGGCGCTCCAGCTGGTCATCGTCGAGTGGGCAGGGCGACAGCATGGGACCCTTTCCTTCCGGCTGACGCAGGTCCTTTCCGGGCTCGACTGCTTCGGGAAGTACCTGCACTGGGTCGCTAGGAGGGAATTGAGTCCCGCCTGTCACCACTGCTACTGCAGTGAGGACTCGGGAATTCGTCGCCAGCGAACCGGGCGGCGGAGGCGCGCTTACCACCGCCAAATGCCACCCTGAGCTAAGGCCGCGGGTGGACGGGACGGGTTTTCCCCTCCACCCGCCATAACGGCCAGCCGCGAGGAGGCGGCGTCCGCGTGTGCCGGACGTCGCCTATATGGAGAAAGTACCCAGGGATGAAGCCCGCGCCATTGCGGGCAGGCGTCAGGAGGGGTCCGGATGTCTTAATAATAGCAGTTCCCGGATCCCTCCTATTACAGGCGCAGAGGTTTTAGTCGGTCCTATTCCGACACACCACCCCGCTGCAAACCCCGGTGCGGTGACGGCCCGAGGGGTTACCCGGGGCCACACGTAAAATAAAAGAAAAAAAAACGGGTGTGTGTCAAGTGTTATCTTGCTCATTATATAATTATTCATTTTGGGTGAGAATCGCAAAGACGAACATTGGGTTTCAAAGTTCCAAACTACCTATATAAATATAGTTGCTAAAAATAACATTTTCATAACAATAAACTCAATTATTGTACATCCCTTTTGTATGATGTATCATTTGTATATTTCCGGTTTATAAATTCTATTTGTAATTGAGAGTAAACTACCAGAAAATTAAACAAATTATGTTTGATTGTGTCGTTTTGTATTATGTATGATACGTACTAGCCGTCGCCCGAAAATTCACCGTTGACAACTACTGTCATGCTCAGTTTCAACGCGGTACCTGGTACTGCTCCGCTTCTAAATGTCCAAGCGTGATGCGTCACACATTCTCGATGAATACTCTGTCCAATCCGACAATAATTTTTGGAGTCTGAGTGTGTATACCATATGTATTTTAGAATTAAGCGTTTTTAAACAATGGAATTTAAAAGACAAAAATATATTTAAACTCCTTTTAAATCAACTCTTATAGTAGTTTAATTATTGTACTTTCATCCTTAGATAGTTTCGTTACCTTTGGAATAACATGTTAATAGCTATTAAACTTGAAAAAAAAATGTCTATGACCGCTATTGTCCACATTTGAGGGTAATTATAGTCACTATAATGAGAGTCAGCCTAGATTGACAATTGTCGCATACCTAACTTCATGGCAAATCTCACTCTGTGCAGTTTGCATGTGCCCACAATCCGTGAGAAGTGCACTTTTAGGACAAATTAAAGCTGCGACAGCCAAACTCATCACATTGTTAACAACTTAACATACTTAACGAAATCGTCGGCACCACCTATCTGATTTAGACTCGTATCTAATTTTGGGGTATCCTTAGTATCAAATTTTTAACAGGATCTTGATCTTGCACTGCAGGCAAAATTGTTTAAAATTTGAAATACTTCGGGATATTGATTTGCTGCTATACTTACTTGCTGTGATCCCTTAAAAAGCCTAAAATATTTATTTTATCTGGTCTGATAGAACTTTTGCCATTCTCTGCTATGAATGCAGGTAGCCAACCTAGGTGTGGTTCCGATGAAAACACGACAATTGAATAGTTTTGTTTTGACTGCTGTTGGAAACTTGAAGAGTATGATAAACATGGCTTTAGCAGTCTCCCTCATAGAGTGACCTTGACTCACGAGTTCTTCTGTTTTTAATAGTGTGATAGACAACCACTAAGGTTTATTTATTAAATAGGGTGTATTTTCGGTCTTTTTGAAATAATAAACAATAACAGTTACTCTTATTACCCAATTATACATAATATTGATAAAAAAATGATAATATTTCGTACATCTGAAAAACAACGCCATCTAGTTTCAGACTAGGCAGAGCTTGTACCTACTATGAAAGCTAGATTGACTGATAGAATACTGACTGCTGTGCTGAGGTCTCGGGTTCCTTTCCCGGATCAGACTAAATGTTTGTGTGATCTGAAAATATTTGTTTTGGAGTTTGTGTGTTTTTTATATACTTATAATATGTTTGTATTTACCAAAAAATATTAGTATATGAGTATTCTGTCACTCAATCAAGATGTCAAGATGGCGTTGTGTGTTAGATGTCCGAAATATTTAAAAAAAACAGGAATGCATGTGTGTGTTAAATAAACGCAAGAAGAGATTAAAACATTTTATTTAGTTTGTTTTCTTCCGTACGCTGTTTCTATGTTTTCTTCTATGTTTAGAAGGATAGATGGCGAATAACGACAACTGAAGCAATGATAACAAAAACGCGATTGTGTTTTGAATCTGAAAAAAAAAGCTCATAAGTATCGAGTCGAAGGTTTTTTAATAGTTGCACCATCACCATTTTAATTTATCGATACAATGCTTAAGAGACTAATTACCATAGATCGGCATTTTGGGTGCTATTATTATCAAAGTATAGATATGACATAAAATTCCGGGAATCTCTACTTTGAACAAAAATTGCTGGGAATTAGAATTCTGAATGATAATGATTCTTGTGCCTCTATACAACAATTTTTTTCTATATAATTTATACTTCACGCATCAAAAATATATTATGTCAGGATTTTTTTAATTAGCAAATAAAACAATCATTTACTAGGTAGGTACTTAAAGTTTATTTATATTATTTAAGTTTATTTTATTTTTTTGACGACCGAATGGCGTAGTGGTTTGTGTAACGGACTGCAATTCCAAAAGTCACGGGTTCGATTCCCGCTCAAGTGAAACATTTGTGTGCATGAACATTTAATGTTTGATTTGGTCTGGGTGTTTCTATGAATAATAAGTATGTATTTACAAAAAAAAGTATATATGTATTTATATCAGTTGTCTAGTAACCATAGTACAAGCTCTGCTTAGTTTGGGACTCGATGGCGTTGTGTGAATGTGGTACAATATATTATTATTATTTAAAAAAAAAACAAGTAGTAAACAATTTTGTAAAAAACAACCATAAACAATCGGCCAAACTAGTTTGTTTAAACCAATCGGGTTTGGCTTTTGACAAAGTATTTTGTAGGTAAACTTCCAATGAGAAAATTTGGGATATCTAAAATTACTTAAAGTAGTGGTACGCTATGATGGCTGTTTTGACACATTAAATAAAGTACAGCAATTCGACGGAGTTCAATGTAGCTATTAGTTAAATAAGAAATTGACGAATACAATAAAGTAAAGTAATATGCTTCTTCAACGTGGTTATTAATTAATACGAAAGTTGATGAGTGAACAGACGCCTTTTACTATTACAGGAGCTTTTAGCTTACTAACCCATACGAAAATATTTTTCAATGAGACAATTCTCATTGAAAAATATTTTATTTATGGCGGCAACGATCTAACGTCAAAATTTCGCTAGGAATATTAACACATTATTTAAAGAAAAATATTCTATCTAATTGAGGTCTTTTATTCATAAAATAAAATCAATTTCATGTTTGGAATGTATTAATAATTATTATCTGTTGCATTTTTAAGGATGAGCCTATCTCTTCATTGGTAAGTCTCTACTGTTTCAATCTAAACGCTTAATACTAATGAATAAACGTATTCCTTAAACAAACGCGATTTCCACACATTTTAAATAATATCAAATATATTTAAGCCTTACCATAAGTACCGAAATCAATTTCCGGAATCCCGGGTATGTCGTTATATCCATACTAGTGATATCGTCTCAAATAGCACGAAAATTCCGATCACTACTAATTACACAACATGACAAATGTGTTGCATGTGATAGTAGGTAGGTACTAATAGTTACTTTGTATTTTCATCCGCTAGTTTAGCTTTGTGTGAATATGTTTAAATGTATATGCATTGAGAAGGGTAGATGACTGTTAAATAAATTAGTATCCATTTAAAATAACCGTCAAAATGGTAGACACAATAGCTTCTTGTTATGAAATACCTAGGCAAGACTTTAGTGTTTGTTTATTTAACGGTTAAAACTTAAACACAATGAAGTTATGCTTGTACACAATTTTAAAATGATTTAATTGAAAGGATTAGTTAAATAAATTCGCTAATTCCTTTAGGTTACGTACGCTTACGTGCGCGCGCATGTGTTGCTAGATTAAAATAATAAAATTAGAAATACTCACGACTATGACCTCATTTCTGAGAATAACTCCATATATCAACCACGTAAAGGTTATGGTTGCACCTGACAATATGAAGGGGAATGGCAAACCTTCTGTGGTCTGATTATTGATAACATTTTTCTGTAAAATAAAAATGCTTACAAAAATGACATACTCGATTGTATGAAAAGAATAAACTTTGCGACAACCAATGTGCGCTTTTTAAGCCACTTTTTGCCTCGCACAACCAATCTGAAGAACAAGTTATCTTCTGCGGTATTACCGGGACGATACGACCTTTAAACCTTCAAGGGAAGAGCGCACGCCTTCCTAAATGGTCGTCAATGCGCTTCTGACTCCTGTCATTTTAGTAGTTACTATCCATCAGATGACTCTACTCGTTTGCCCCCTCTTCCATGAAAAAGACTTCACGAGATTCGTGAAAACATCACGTAAATGGGTTCGCGCCACAAATCTTTGCAACTATCAGTTTTGTCCTGATTAACTCGGGGTTTGACAGATTGGTAACCGTAAAGTTGATTCAATTAAGATTCGAGAAAGTCCTGTAGATCGCCAATTGAGGTTATTACCTGAATCTTTTAGTGGGAGGGAGAGATAAGAGAAAGACAAATATTAGAACTTGTGACAAAAACTTGAGCGTCCCAAAAAAGCTCGTGGCTGTCAATCCGCTTTCAACGGAATACTCAATATCCTTACTTTTCCTTATATTGATTTGTTTAATCCATTAACTCCTATTCACCTCAAAGAATGCTTTAAGTATTTTCATGACATGCCCGAGGTCCTCTAAAAAATTGAAATTGGGAATACCTAGGCATTCTACCAATTTTAATTCAAAATAATTTTTCGTACAAAACTATGTTGTATGAGCATCTGTCTCATCTGTCTCTCATAGTTGAAAATTAGTGTACCTATGAATATATTCTACGAATGTACTCTTATATATTACTGTATGTATCTCTATTAAAAGGTTTTTTGACAATGACAACTGACAACACTTTGACAGACGTTTGCGCTATTTTTTGTATTTTATTTAAATGACACACGTATCATTATAATTGTCAAATAATTATGTAAAATAATACAGAAACCAATGTGAAGAGTCGATGGTCATAAATAAATTGATGAAATAAAGAAAACATCATACAACACCGTTATTTAATAGCCCACAGCCCAAAAGAAAGAAAAAAAGATTCTAAAAGAAAATCTTTTTTTTTTAATTTTTCACTACAAGACCCTGCAATTTGATTTCAAAAAAATTTTTGTATGGAGACCTGCTAATGTACATTGAGTACGAAACAGACCCATCAATATATCTGTAAGTTAACTATACGTAAATTCACAATAAATAAAAGAGATCTTGACGTGTTTAGATATTGTCTATGCCCGATTCCCGGGCAAGAGTTACAAGTGAATTTCAAGACTGTGGGTTTAGAATACGATCTTTTCTTGAAGCTTTGAAGGTAATATGACCTTCTACGATCCGATACACACAGTCTTAGATTAGCCTAAAGGCTATTTAAGCAATTGCTTAGGGCATCCCGTCTAGGGGGACAGAGACGGCCGAGAAAAGAAAAAACGACCACACGAAAAATGAAGCAATTTCAAAATCTGGGCGTTTTAAATTGTCGTTGACGTTTGGTACGGTCACAGTCATGACTTCACCTCTCTTCAATTAATTCTTTGTAGTTCACTTAAGGATAGGGGGGCCCATAGCGGAAGATTGCATAGGGCATCAAGTTACCTTAATTAGGGCACTGGACGTCGAAACCTCACGCAACAATATGTTCCACAGATTGGTTTTGAAAGGCAAAAAGTTTATTGAAAAGCTAACAGTAGTCAAAAAATTCGTAGAATACGAATGCTAATAAGATTCCGACAGAGGTTGATCTTCTACCAGATTCTTATTTGTAAAAACATATATGTATTCATGTATATTTGTAGAAAGTTAGAATACAAAACCACTTACTAATTGTAGAAGCGGTGACGCAATCAGTGTTAAGAAAAACACAGTGATAAGCAGTCCAAATCTTTTTTGTACTAAACCTGGATCTTCTATTTGAGCATATCCTATGAGAGCGACTGTTAGAGAGCCCATCATACCAAACTGTGCACAGATTTTCACCTTTCTCTGGGTGTAATAGAAGTAGAAAAGGCAATAGATGGCGTTAAGAACTGCACCCATCATGCCGACTTGGATAACTGGGTTGTCACGAATTATAGAGCCGTATTTAAAATTAAGAATACTTCTGAAAAAAAAGAAATGCTTGTTCACTTTTAAATAGTAGGTACACACAGGCACATGAGTCGCCTTGTCGCAAGCGAGTCATTTTATACGCTAGCAACACCGATGTACATCACAATGTTTTTGTGTTGCCAATTTTTTTCACTCTCATGAAGCTCTGAAGGTCAATTCACGTAAAAGAATTCGGTCCAAATTAGGTTTCAATCTACTCCGAAAATTATAAAATTGTAAAGTATAAGAATAGCAGATTACTGATTCAACTTTCTTTCACGATACGATATAACCACATTACAGCCGAGTGTTGTGAGTAGAACGGAACTGAATGTTGACCAATTTTTTATAACGGGAATTGGCCTTCAGATGTTTCCTTTCGTTTCTAGAAACGACACGACATAACGGTACTTGTGAACCGGGTTTACGCAATGTAATGCTCGACAACTTTGAGTGAGATCGCCTTAACCGTTAAAATAACAGTTATCAAGATAAAATTCTGTGAGTTTAAATAGTTTTAACAAAACCCAATCTGCCAGACATCCAGCATATAGCATCCAGACGGTTAAATACGGGCAATTTTGATGATTGGCATTTAAACAAATCTACTGCATCACATATCATCATCATCACATAACATCATGTTCTTATCGTTAACCTTGTTACTACTAATACTAACAAAAAATAAAAACAGTCAAACTATTGTGAAATATAAGCAAAACGAAAAGAGTAAGATTTTAATTTAAAAACTAAACTAAACTTTCTTTTCTATTTTTTAGTTCGACTAGTTACTTAAAAAAGCTAGTTTTTTTAACTAAGTATAATTTATTTTTGCGTTTTTAATCTTTAATAATGAGTATTTAATCATTGGAAACAGAAAAGTAACTCAGTTACATATGCTTCATTTAACGCCATAGTACATGTGTTTTCCGATATAAAAAATCGTTAATTCCGAAGATCCTGATCAGAATAATCGGAAAAAACTTATTAAATAATTGTATCTATCTAATCCTCGTTTAAAAGTCGGTGAAAATCACGTTCAAGGAAAATATTTTATTACATGCATACAGGTGAAGCTAATAAAAACGTGTTAAAAAAGGAATACGTACAATGCCAGACCAAGAAGGAAAGGCATAATCCCAATGCCTCTTGTACTGCCTTGCTTGTAAATATCCCAACAGATTAAAGATCCGGATAACATGCGAGCCACGGTCATTATTTTAGTAACATGGCCGATGATCTCTTTATACGGCTGCAATATGTTTGCAGCGGCGTCCATGTTGATTCTAAATTCATAAAAAAAATTGTAGTTGAAATTCGGGACGCGCACATAATCCACAAGCGTTTTGTATCGCTCAATCTGAGCACTGGCTGTCAGGTGATTGTAAATTAGGAACATTGCGATGTGCACAGATAAGATATTCAAGAAAGATAATTTACGTAATGTTTAATTAAACATTTGTTGTAAATTAATTAAGGTTTTTGACTCGTATATCGCACACGGTGTGTACACAATTGTACTTTCTTTTTTTATAAAGGGGGAAAAGAGCTGACATGTAACCTGATGGTAAGTGACTACCGACAACCACGGACGTTACCACAATAAGTTTTATTAAAAATTCTACGTATAACTAAAGTTTTTATTGGTATACGATTGTCAAGCTTTTTCACTATGACTTCTTATAAATGAGTTTTAATTAATAAAATTAATTTTATAATAATAATAATATCTTTAATATTTCACACACACCTTACACACGGCGGTCTGATCCCAAACTAGGCAGGGCCGGTACTTTGGTAACCAGACTGCTGCTAAACATACTTATATATTTCTAAATACATACATAATTGACTTGTCATATGCGTATAAATTACATCAAGCAAGACTCAGAACAAATGATTATACTCTTCACAGAATTTCCCTGCGTGAGAATCGAACTCACGACCTCTGGTTTAGCAGTCTTATCAAAAGCCACTAGATCAACAAACCAAACATTTTACTAGAAAAAATTATACTTACGTGTTATGATATGATTATGTATTTGCGGCATTTATTCCATGAGATTGTCTTAAAGTGATAAAGATTCTGTTATAATGTTTCAAACTGTGTTTAAATGTTACCTTCGAGTTTCTTTTTACAAATATTAATCTCGTAAGATATGAAAATAAACGCAATACGACACTGCCAACAGCTTGCAAGTTCTGCAGCTAATGTAAGAAATTCGTTGAAGCTTTTTTCTGTGATGTGAATGGCCGCAGAATTGAGAAAAATAATTAAACGATCATAGCCAGGAACCGTTACGGTATAAGTACATGCGTTTTTTTTACCTAAGATTCATAATTTGGACTTTTTTTTTTAATATTGTGGATGGTCGAAACTCTAAAAGACAATATACAGTCTTCGCATTCTCATCTTAATGAAAATATTAAATAATTTTAATTACATATTGCCAATTTGTGTCTAAAAGTAAACATTGTTGACACATTGTCATTTAGTGTTAGACGTAAAGAAATGTGTTGAGGTTAAAAAGTAATATTACTTACAAGTGGATCATACAACCTCTATGGAATTGTTAACTCGAAGAGAGAAGAGGTCAAATCTTTTTCTGATGTTTAATTGTCTTTAAGAATGAGAATATCAGTGTGAAGCGAGCATCAATTAATTACGGTAACACCATAAAGAACAGGTAGTAGTACAAATTCCAAAAAGTATAACAATGATTGATAAACGAAATTAAATCAATATGGGAAAAGTAGTCTCCCCAAATATAACTTAACGTTAGCTAACCTAGTCATGTCAAATTAACACAAAAATAGTAAATGTAACTATGACTTTCTTGCTTGTCATATGCTCCATTTTATTTTATTCCTGTATAATAATATCCGGCTTCATCATCATTGATATCAACTTGCAGTATTGTCATTAATCAAAACTCACAAGCAGAGGCGGATTAAGTATCTATTGCGTGTAACAGCTGGTAGCGAGAAATCCTCTCCGACAACTGCAATGAGCGCCTGACGATACGTTGACTAGTGTGTGCAGAGCTGAGTTGAAACTGCACTGCAGTAATGACAGGCGCAAATCAATTCATTCCTAGCGACCAAAAGCTGGTACCTCCCTAAGCAGACCTGTGTCAGTCGGAAGGAAAGGGTCTCGTGCTGCCACCCTGCACCCTAGACTATGACCGACTGGACCGCCTCCATCGCGCCAAAGCCAGTACGTGAAGCCTCCAGCCGGCACAACCAATGAGTCATCGTGGCTTGGCCAGCGGCCTTAAGCTACTTATTTCCGCCTCTAAATCCAGAGAGATCTGCCAGCACCCTCTGAGGGTTTGTACTCTTAGAGCGCGCCTTATTCTGGTCGATCAGAGCTTCCACTGAGGCTGAACAACCCTGGTCTATAACTACAACTCATAGAGTAATCTCCACTACAGCTGCAGTTGTAGCAGCTGCATTCTTGTGTACACGCACTAGCCTCAATCTTCGTAGGTATTACAAACTGAAAGCAAAGAAGTAATAGCAATTACGTAATATTAATCCTAGATGTCGCCCTTAAGCATGTCTATAGAATTAAGGGATTGTTTATATTGTGTAATTATGTGTGTATATTTCCTAACACAGTTCTTTTTTCCTTTTAAAAAAAATGCTGCGCGTGCGCTCCCCTCTGTAACCTTGCACCCCTAGGCACGTGCCTACTTTGCCTTAGGGTTAATCCGCCACTTCTCACTAATGCTTTGTCGCCATTTTAATCTCCCACCCTCCAAAAATAGGGGAGCTCCAGTAAGCCCCCTCAAATCAAAAGCAATGAAATATGTTATACGTAAAAAATTCTAAACGAACTATGTTTATTATCCCACATCCAAAACCGCTGTTTTGTTAAAAAAAAATTGAACTTGGGGTAACTCAAAACAAAAAAAATAAGTCATAATTAAAACTGCTACTTTATAAAAAATATCAGGACTTAGTTTCATTATACATCATCTAGGTATTAATTATCTGGAACGCCACCTGTCGGCGCTTGAAGTAGTCAATGTTTAAAGGCACTTCTGCAGTTGGACCGAGCGGTCGAATATTGAAACCGTCATGCGTTCCTAACGATATATGTACGTATCTAGCTATATTCGTGTGTCTATTTCAAATAATCTACATCTACATTATGGGCCCTAGTGAAGGAAGGTAATGCTCGTCCCTCCATCCCCCCTCTCATACATATTTTCGTAGCAGCACTATGCTTCGGCACAAATAGGCCGGTTCGATCGACGTGATATCCTTGGCCTCAAAGGAAACTGGTTTAAGCAATTCTGTTACGCCACAATAGATTAACACATTTGATCCACAACGGGTTATGTTAGTACCCATAGTACAAACTTTAATAAGTTAAGGGACTAGATGGCGTTGCGTGAATGTGATAGAATATTATTATTATTACACATTTAGATAGTTTATACATATTCTTGTTGGCGACCGGATGGCGTAGTGGTTTGTGTAACGGACTGCTATTCCAAAGGTCGCGGGTTCGATTCCCGCTCAAGTCAAACATTTAATGATTGATTTGGTCTAGGAGTTTCTATGTATAATAAGTATGTATATACAAAAAAAAAGTATATGTGTATTTATATCAGTTGTCTTAGTAACCCATAGAACAAGCTCTGCTTAATTTGGGACTAGATGGCGTTGTGTGAATAAGATATAATCTTTTATTTAATTCTTAAAATTAATTTATCATTACATTTGGATTACATCCAATTTCCATATTTTTTTTGGGCTGGAGTATTATTTAAATTAACATAATTTATGAAACCAAGTCACGATACAATATGTTATTTTGTCAGATCTTTATTACTCTAAAACTTGACTTTGGGGGTTTAAGATCCCAATAACGGACTGGAAGACAAAGAGTGGGGTGACCACCCCACGACACGGACCAAAGACTTCGTCGAAATGGCAGGATACGTTTGAACAAGCCAGAGTAAGACAGCTCCGTGCGAAAATCTGTGGAAGAGATGACAATAGTTATTCAGCCGTTTGGTATGCAGGGCACAGATACATCTTCTTTCTAGGGTAAACCTGGTTCCCCGGCTATTAGTACCCGAGACGGCGTGCGGTTTTAGTCGGTTCGAGTCCAACATGCCACCGATAGGTGGTATTCGAGGGGATTTCCGCACGGACAAAAATAAGGGCACAGATACATCTTGAACTAACGTGCAAAAAATATTTAGTGAAGTTTGCACCAAGCATTAATTGATTTAAAGCATCGCTAGAGGTATCTAGGACAGGATTATATTCAAAAATCGACTTCCTATGACTCGGTAGCGCTGTCCATACATAAAAATGATGAATTTAACATTTATTTACATTCAAATAAGCATAACAGGAAAGTGCAGCTTGAACGTCTACTTATAAGCTAGACTTTTGTCTTTATAAAGATCGCAGGTTGAGGGTGGATGCAGGGAGCTCCTATGTCCAGCTGTGGACGTCCAATGCTGACATAATGATGATAATGATAGAAAAATGTAACCGACGCTGTGGGACTCATCATCCCTTAAGGAAGGGCCCTCAAGGAGTATGTAAATAGCCGGGCATCAACAAAATATACACGTAAGTAAAACCACCCTAATTAAATTATTTATTTAAAAGATCTTTAAAATAAATATTAAAATCCAAAATGTTTTTTAGTATGTTACATTACACCTTTATATAGATTTACACTACCAATTGGACTCTTAGCGAGATTAATTCATTCAGACTGTATTATTAAAAGATATGTATTTGACAAACTACTTATAAAACAATACTTAATAAGTAGTCGACATATAATCGTAAGTAAATAAATATAACATAAATATAATATAATGAATATAGTTAATAAATTATGGTCAAAACTGTACCTCCTGGCAATTAATAATAAGATAAACACCATAGATAAAATACTATATCTGCGTAAACACTGCACCTGCGCTGCGGCAAATATTTGGTACATGGGGTGAGTATTATATGACTGCACAGACAGCGTGGTGGTTTAAGCGGTCGCCACGCCGCTTACCTATACGCTGAGTGTTGTGAGTCCGATGAGTCCGATCCCCACATGGGACGACACTTTGTGTGACTCATTAATTAGTTGGTCCGAGTCTGGATGTTCTTTGTGCCCGTTTCATGAATGTTCGTATAGTCTCCCGCGACACAAGATACATTCCTATTGCGGAAGTTGTCTTTTAAATGTTATCTATACTAATATTATAAAGCTGAAGAGTTTGTTTGTTTGTTTGTTTGTTTGTTTGTTTGAACGCGCTAATCTCAGGAACTACTGGTCCGATTTGAAAAATTCTTTCAGTGTTAGATAGTCCATTTATCGAGGAAGGCTATAGGCTATATATCATCACGCTAAGACCAATAGGAGCGGAGAACCAATGAAGAATGTTTCAAAAACGGAGAAAATTTATTACTATTTAGAGACGCAGACGAAGTTGCGCGGGTCAGCTAGTGTTTTATAAAAGTAAAATCCAGTGCCAATAAAACACACAGATATTTTTTCTATCTACAACTACGGCTCCAAACATGCTGAGTTCGTTACAAAAGTTCTCGATAGAACAAAATATAAGTGTTTATAAACACAGACTACGTATTTTGCCCATAGCGAAGGAACCTTGGCAAAAATGCTGGACACATTGGGTAGCACACAGACACACACAATTCTACTTAGTTTGTTTTCTTCGCTTTGCCTTTGGGTTTGGAAGGATAGATCACAAACAGCAACAACTGGACTGACGATAACAATAGCGCCACTATGTTTTGAATCTGAAACAAAAAACCGTTATTCTTTAGCCATCAGTGGAATCACTCGTGGGTGAGCCACGCCTTACGAGATATACCAAAATCTTAAAAAGATCTACAAAAAAGTCCGCACTGGTAATATGTCTATCTCCCAAGGAAACCCCACAATAACCATTTTTATTTTTGAAATATTACAAAAAAAAAAGGGTTAATTACGAAGCAATTTTATACTATTATTCTACAACATTATTACAACATTATTATTATTATTCTACAACTTATTCCTTACAACATTATTGTTCCTTATCCAATTAAATACGTTAGATACGTTGTGCATTTAATGTAGATTAAAATTGACTCTCATAGCATTTCATTTAAATGAATATTTTAGAAGATATTAGAGGTTTAAAATGGGGGTGGGGAGCCGTACGTCCGTCAGAGGTATCAGCGGCCGGCTCGGGCCTATAAAGATGTCCTGTAGTATATTCCTATCATCCACACTGACACCACATTAATAGCATTAGTAGTATCTACATTGCACCCGTACTAAGCAGGGTGGATCGCACTGATCGCAGGTTCCAAATTAATTGGTTAATAGTGCAACTACTATTTTAGACTATAGAATTGTGAAGTTTAATCGATAGAATATTGTTTTTACGCCTATATTTATAAAGTTGACGGAAACGTCCATTTCAATATGTTTTATAAATACAAAAAATGTCCTTAACAAGAAGTATCGAAACTTACACGTGTATAAATAAGTATGCACTGTATAATATTCATTGGTGCATCATATGAAAAACACAAAAAGGTGAGCTAAAAATACGAAAAACCATTTTGTTAATGACATTTTGACAGGAAAAATGTGTCCTGGCTTATGTAACAAACTATCACTTACACTTACGAGTATGTATCACTTACGACTATGAGATCATTTCTGAGAATAAATCCATACACCAACCACGCGAAGGACACGATTGCACCTGACAATATGATGGGGAATGGCATTCCTTCTGTAGACTGGTTCTTGATCACAGTTTTCTGTGGTATAAACATTTTGAAATACTCATTTGTTAATCCTCATAAGCTTGATTTTATTATAGGCAAGTGAAGTGGAAAGTTTCTACGAAGAATATCTTAATTGAAGTGAAAATAAAGAAGTTTCCTTTTCGCTCGTTTGTCTGCGTTTGATTGTCATTTGCGTTATATTCATATAATTTAAAATGAAGTCGCTTTCTGTTCTTGTATACTTCATCATCATCATCTTAGCCGAAAGACGACCACTGCTGGACACAGGCCTGCCCCAAGGCTCTCCACAACAACCGATCCTGTGCTGCCAGCATCCAACAACAATGATCTTGCACGCTTAATCGAGTGAAAAGCGAAAAGCGAGTGTTTTAAGAGGAAGATTTATATGTAAGTATTACATCCGTGCGAAGCTTGAGCGGGTTTGCTAGTTTTCAAATAAATACAGCTCAGCAACAAGCCAGCGAGGTATAGTAGGCCCAATTCTCCTTTCTAAGGAGGGGCCAATGTCCAGCGGTGGACAATTAAAGGCTGTTTTTGATGATGATAATGAAATCTATAAATTAGGATTGCAAGATATATTTGTATAAACTTAGAAATAACAGAAAGAAAAAAGTACTCACCAATCCTGAAAGTGGTGATGCTATCAGTGTTAGGAAAATCACCGTGATAATCCATCCAAATCTATCTTCTACTAAACCAGGATCCTCTATTTGAGTATATCCTATTAGAACTGTCGAAAGTATGCTACACAAACCAAACTGCATCCATACTTTCATCTTTTCATTTGTATATTGGAAATAGAACACAGAGTATATGAGGTGGAGAAAGGTACCCAGAAGACTGACTTGGATACATGGATCGTCACGGATAATATAGCCATATTTCACGTTCAGGATATTCCTGAAAGAAGCCATTTCATGTTAATGTTTTTGTTTAATAATAATAATAACACATACACATACAGGAAGTTCCTGTCTTTAGATTCCTAACCACCGATGGCTTGTTCCCTGTACCCGATGTCGGTGGTCTAATATTTTTTATATTTATAATCATCATCATTAACCTATCGCAGTCCACTGCTGGACATAGGCCTCTCCCATTGCACGCCAATTAGATCGATTTTGGGCATCTAGGTGGCGTGCAATGGAAATTTTTGAATGTTTTTATTATTCTTTTGTTATATAATAGGTCTTTACCTATGAAATTGCCGTGTTGTATGCAATAAGTGAAAGTAAATTTTGGAAAAAGTAATAGTCGGTAAAGTAAAAACTTTTTAGTGGGTAAAAAATTCAATTCCCGAGAGGCAGTACAAAATGCCTTTGAAGAGTTTGTTGCCTCCCGTCCAGCTGATTTTTACAAGAAGGGCATCAATAAACTGCCAATGCGTTGGCAAAGATGCGTCGATTGCATGGGTGATTACTTCGAATAACAAAAATAAAAAAGTTTGAAAAAATAAGTACTTTCACTTATTGCATACAAAACGGCAATTTCATAGGTAAAGACCTATTAGTTACCAATCTGCTGACAAACATACTTATATATTTTTAAATAAATTCAAATTAGAGATAAATTACGCATAGACACAGAACAAATGACCGTGCTCATTACTATATAATATTTGTCCTGGAATCGAACCCACGACCTCTAGCAGTCAAGGTCACTAACCACTAGACCAACAGGCCCGTCGAAAACAATAGTGCTTGTTTGGAATAGAATTGACATTAAAATTAGGGATCGAAGAAAATCACAATCACTTGTTATAAATCAGATGATTTATAAATAATATCATCACACCAGTGACTAAGTTACAGAAGCCCTGCTACTTAATTATTATTATTACACCAGCGCAAACTCGCAATAGTTCTAAACCTAAAAAAAGGGTCGTAATATGTAATAAATAGAATTTTAATGCCATTTATCTTTGTCCATGATGAAATCACATGTGAAATCGATGTGACTAACTAATCACTTGATCAAATGAATATGACTCAAAGTGGCAATAATTTCCATGTCTTAAAATATTCATGATATATATAGGACTAGCTGACCCGCGCAACTTCGTCTGCGTCTCTCAATAGTAATAAATTTTCTCCGTTTTTGAAACATTCCTCATTGGTGCTCCGCTCGTATTGGTCTTAGCGTGATGATATATAGCCTGTAGCCTTCCTCGATAAATGGGACATCTAACACTGAAAGAATTTTTCAAATCAAACAAACAAACAAACTATTCAGCTTTATAATATTATTAGTATTAGTATATTAGTATAGATTATATTCTCGGAAACACACAGTCCGTCTCTCTCTCTCAGTGATGATCCTTTTTCTGTACAGGTGCAGTAGTCGCAGACACACAGTCAACAAAAAGTCTAACAATAAAGTATGTCGAGTAAATTATACTTCCTTGCACAATACGAGTACATAAATTTATTACACCCATTGTAAAACAAATGGAAGTCTTCTTTTTTCATTGGAAACCGGGTGAAAATGTCGGAGAACCTGTAAACCAAAACCTCCTTTCTAAGGAGAGGTCTATGTTTGGCAGCGGACTATTAAAGGCTATTGAGAATGATGATGATGATGAAACCTCTATTTAAATAGGCAAGAAATGGTAGGAGAAAGCCACCACGTTCGAATTTACTGTACGTAGAAATTGTCGCACAATTATTTAGATAGCGTCACACTATTAGGATCTCATCGGAAGCAGTGTCATGCTCCTTCACGGGCTCAGCTATCGTGAACGAAGGTAGGCCAGCTCACGTAGATGTTTTATTAAAGAAACATACAAAAATATTTTCTTTTCTGTGTTAACATATAAACGGGCATAGCGTTTACAGTATTTGATGTTCATATTTGTGTCTAGTAAATCAAGTATTAGTAGTATTTTATCCCAATGAACGAATCATCACCGGTTTCGAGATAACCTCTTCTTTGAATGCTAGGTGTGTGTGGAATCCACACGAGAGCACATACACTCTTCTGCTTGAAAAAGTACAAAAAGCTTTCCTTAGATAACTCTACAAGTGTGTCTCTACAATCCATACATGTGTCCCAAAAAGTTTCTTCTCGGTTGTCTAGGATACAATTCATTGGAAGTTAGACGAGAGATGCACCAGACCTACATGATGAGTTGTTTCGTTTTTTCGTGCCGAAAAACTTCCCAATAACCCTTCGCAACCGGGCTCACATTCATTTCTGCACTCAACGCTTTCTTGCGTGCCAATCCCGACCGTAATTTGTTTTCGGATGGATGGCCGAATATATTGTTAGTATGCTTGCGATTTTTGTGTTGATGTATATATGTATTAAAATAGTGTAATAAAAGAAAATAGCATCACGCAAATCTTAGCCGAATCTTACTAAATCAGACTCAAACTCTCTGCTAAACGAGACAATAATCGCGATCGTCGAATCGTAAAATATGATGATGGTTTAAAAAAAGAATACATACAAAACTAAACCACCCAGCAAGGGTGTAATCGCGACACCTCTGGTGCTCCCCTGTTTGTAAATATCCCAACAGAGGAAGGTCCCCGACAACATCTGAATCACGGTAACCAAGGTAGTCACCTGGCCTACGATGACCTTATACGGCTGCAGTACGTTTGCAAGAGCGTCCATTTTGTTTCTTTCATTTAAAACTTAAATAGTATCAGTTAATTTACAACAAACACAATCACACACAGTTCCACGTCAGCCACGTCTGAAGAGCTCAATCAGTTATAAAAGGCAAAATGAGTCAGTAAAATAGATAAGATTTTAACTAGGCACGACCTTCAGATATCGTATTAATAAAAATAAATAATTATTCTTTAGTCTGTTCATTAAAATGTTTAATGACTGTGTGTGTGTTTTTTTGTTTTAATAGTAAATAGAGTATTAAAGTACTTTTTTGACTTGACACCTAGGTTGCATTTGTTTCATAGTTTTTCACCGAGTGACTGAGGTTACCGGTGAATATTGATGTTGTCATAAACAATAAACACTTAGATCATTACACATATACACTAGATGGGCTGTCGCACCACTAAACAACTAAAAGAATCGGGCAACTTTATAATGCTTATGTGTGTGCAAATAGTTATATTAATCTTGGTGTTCTGTAAATAAGGTACCTATTTTGATTGCATCATGTTAACGACACATAGCCGTAAGGAATTTAGTGGCCAAAATTTGGACACTATATATTACAACGCTGTTACAGCATATACAGTATTTACTTTTTACACCATATTGTAGTAATCCGTCAGTATTTATCTGTTTCTGAACGTACCCATATGGTTCACAATCCCGTGCCGTCCAGTGTCCATTTTGGAATTGGCGCGGTATTATCGCGGTTAATGAACTCTCTGGAAGTTTCGTAACGTTCGTTTTGAAAAAAAAAGGGAATTCAGAACCAAATCCAGAAAATAGCATTAAATGTCTTACCATATGACACAAACAAGTTTATCAACAGTCGAACTTATCAGTGTCACATCAGTGTTGAATGAATTTATTGAATTACGGATAACCTAAAACAAGCGGAAATGAGCGGCAATACTTAGTTTTAAGGGGTGGAGCTTAGTGACGTCACTTGTCGGTTAGAGTGAGTGAAGGCAAATCAATATGCAAATTGGTCTTCTGCTAATCTGGGATTTTGCTATTCCGGGATTTTGCTTATCTGTCCTTTTGCTGCAGAGGGGCATGGAGGGGTAGACCGTTCGACCTAGTCCAAGCTCTCTTTTAAAGCAAGATCTAGGAGGAAGTGTTAGCCTCGGGGCACCAGGGACTTCCTTTCTAGGGTATACCTGGTTCCCCGGCTATTAGTACTCGAGACGGTGTGCGGTTTTAGTCGGTTCGAGTCCGACATGCCACCAATAGGTGGTATCCGAGGGGATTTCCGCACGGAAAAAAAAGGAGGAAGTGTTAACATCGCGTTTTGTCGCTGTTTGTTATTTGATTCGATTATTCCATAATTGTTAAGAAGGTATTTTAAAATTTAAATTAAAAATAATGTTTACTGATACAAAACAAGTAAGTTTTTTAGTACTTAGGTTTAAATTTATAAGCCTAGTGCATGGACGTATAAAAAAAGGTCGTCCATGGTCTAGTGTATTTGTTTTTTTTACAGTTGAGTTCCTCTAAAGGGAAATAAGCCTTTAAAGGATCGCTTCATTGTCCGTCTGTCTGTCTGTCTGTGTGTTAATGTATCTCTGAATATACTTTTTTAGGCGAAATCAAGGTTCTTAGTCACCGCAATCAAAAGATTGAACATTACGCATGTAAATCAATCTTATGTTGTGCGTTTGAAACATTAACTGTTATATATATCGGTATTAGGTAAAACAGCCAAAAATAATAATAATATTTTTCAGACATCTGACACAACGCCATCTTTTTTTTTTGGCATAAGGGGGCGAATGAGCAGATGGGTCACCTGATGGTAAGCAACTACCGCCGCCCATGGTCACCTGCAACTCAATCTAGTTTCAAACTAAGCTAAGCTTGTACTATGAAATCTAGATTGACTGTTAGAATACTTATATTTTTTTTGTAAATATATTTCATTCGGAGTTTGGGTGTTTTCTATTTATAATATGTATGTAACATATTATACATAGAAAACACCCAAACTCCGAATGAAATATTTGCAGATCATACAAACATTTGGTCCGACTCGGGAATCGAACCCGAGACCTCAGTACAGCATTCGCATATGCTACCACTGTACCACCGAGGCAGTCAACAACAATCAAAAAATTTAAAGTATTGATGTCCAAAAGTGACGACGTATATACAAATTTATACGGAACTCTTGTAGTGAGACTTGTACTTGTCTGGTATTTATTGATTCCCCATACAAACTTCCACCCCCTTTTCACCCCCTTAAAGGATGATTTCTGGGATAAAAACTATCCTATGTCATTTCCCGAGACTCAAACTATCTCTATACTCAATTTCATTTAAATCGGTTCAGTGGTTTAAGCGTGAAAACGTGACGGACAGACAGACTACTTTCGCATTTATGATATTAGTATGAATTGTCGCCATTAGTAAAAAAATACATTCGTCATGCTGCGGCACATATGGGCCTCCTCGACCGTACTAATACCACAGCGTTAAAGAAACCCGGTGCTCAGCTACTTTTTCTTAACTTTTACCGAGTGACTGAAGTTATTGGAAGCCCAGGCCTTCTTCCCTTCATAATTCTTGAGGCACTCTAAGGATATTTCCTTTCTAGGGTATACCTGGTTCCCCGGCAGCTGATACCCGACAACGCGACGTGTGGTTTTTAGTCGGTTTGAGTCTGACATAACCCACCGTGCCCGAGAGGATTCCCACACAGAAAAAAAAATAGACCCTCTTAAGGGTGACAATGAACTTGGGTTTTTGAAGTAGTTTGCGTTCATAGTCGACTAGGAATTCCAGAACCCATATGCTTGTTACTGATTAAATAAACTTGTGATATGTCCGTAAGCATATTGGTCAACATTTGTTGAACAACAAAAGTTGTGTATACAGGGTTACTGGGTAAGTCGACCTGGATACTTAGGGGTTGTGGTTGCTAGATATCTGATAATACCATCATCATCATCATCTGATAATACCATCATCATCATCATCATCATCATCATCATCATCTGATAATTTAACACATCTACCATTTAACTGTTATAGATTTTATTTGAAATATTACTCAAACAAAAAAAAAATTATTACAAATTTATTATTATTATCTAGTAGTCGGTAGTAGCTTTCCATCAGATGCTCTGTCTGCTCGTTTGCCCCCTATTCCATAAAAAAAACAATTTTGGCCTAGTTTCTTGGTGACTACAATTTTGGTAATGGAAATTATAAAACAATGTATCAAAGACACAAAAAACAGTAAAAAAAGAAACAGGTTATAAGTTATAAAATTGTATTAGACAACATTTCGGCAATTTTTACAAAAAATCTTTAAAAGTCCAATATCTTGAAAATGGTTAGGTTATGAATGGTGGGATAATGTTTCATATTGAAATCATTTCGTAATAATGGATACAAATAATATCCCCTAAATATCTAGGTCGACTACCCAGTAATCCTGTATACGTAGACAGGATATTACCTATAAAAGAAAAGATAGAAGAACTTCCAAGAACTCAAATGGCGACCTCGTAACACCTTATCTTTCTGACCAAGATTACAGTCGAATGGCGAAGTCGTGAAACTCATCGAGTTCTTTGATTTAATCAACATTTATGTTACATAGATAAACACACACATCATCAGTATTTAATAATATATGATAATCGATACTATGACATAACTGGTCTTCTTAATATTGAGTTCGTAAACCGTTTTCCTGAAAAATATTTGTAAATCTATTGGTTATATTGTGATGGAAAATATAATTTTTGAAGTGAAAACGTATGCTCAGATGAGGAAAAACCGTTATACTCGTTACCGATAACAGTTCGTAATACTGTTACAGTTACCGACACCACTGTATATAAGTATCTACATATATTGGCCCCGTTTATACGAGAGTTGAGTTTGGGTTGATACATTGATAACATAACTATCTATATATAATATAAACATATATTGTGTATGTACGTACAACGTAGATATATATTCATGTCGGAACTTTTCGAATCGAAAAAAAACAAAAAAACCTCACACTGTTGTTTTTATCATCTTAGATTTTTGATAGGCTAGACAAGTAACTAGCAGCGGTGTAAAGCTGTAGTAAAGAAAGGAGCAAAATACTGTCTCTGACTAACTACTTGCTTGCCACGTTACTTGTCCTGTTAGTTAGCTAGTGATCCTGACTGCTAAGCTCGGGCTTATTACCTCTTTTTTTCTTTTTTTTTTTAAAAAGACAACTCCCGCATTAGGAATAAATCCTGTGTCGCGGGGGACTTTACAAACATACATGAAACGAACACAAAGAACACCCAGACTCAGAACAACAATTTGTGGATCACACAAAGTGTCGTCCCATGTGGGGTTTGAACCCACAACACTCGGCGTAGTAGGAAGAGGCGTGGCGACCGCTTAAACCACTACGCCATCCGTGCAGTCAGTCAGTCTTGGTTCTATTCACACCTAGGGCAAATATTTGTGTGATGAGTACACATAACAAATGATCGTACTGGGTGTAATTTATCTATAACATGTATGTTATCATCAACAGCCTTTACTAGTCTACTGCTGGACATAGGCCTCTCCTTAGAAAGGAGGTTTTGCCCAGACGCGTTGGTATAGGGTTTGTTTCAAGTTTTCCTTCTATTTTCAGTGCTGTTGTCCTGCGTAATTTACTCCCTTAGTCGGCTTTTACGACACCCACAGGATGAATCGGGGTGGTGACACTCTGCATTCTTAATCCGTCACCACACGGTCCAACAAATACATAAGGATGTTTATCAACAGTTTGGTTACCATAGTACAGTCTCTGCATAGTTTGGGACGAGACAGCCGTGTGTGAGGTTATTACTAGAACGTGAAAGTTTGGCTGCCACGATTTAGAAACGTGGTTTTTTTTTTTTTTTTTTGAATTCTGTAACTTGGCAATCTGTGTCAACACAATAAGCCATTCAGATGAGGTATCTTGATATGTATGTATTTTAGCAGAAGGTATTCATAAGAGTACGTTTCATCTGGTGTCACCAAATCTCACGGTTAGTGTAGAGACACTATGCCGTTTCAATCGGGAATATACAATACTCCCTTTGCCTTCCAGTTTGGATGCTAATTCGTTGACGTGAGTTGATATTCTCGTCTGATAGTTTTCACTATATCTAGCGATCTCTTGTTTGACGGTAGTGATCTTTAGGTCCTCGTGTATATATTTGTTGCTCACATAGTAGGGTATATCCAGCATGGCTCTCAAAGTCTTGCTTTGAAATCTTTCAAGAATCTCTATGTTGCTATTGCTAGCAGTACCCCACAGCTGGATCCCGTAAGTCCAGATTGGTTTAAGGATGGTCTTGTAAATAGCTATCTTGCTTTCATGTGAGAGGCTTGATTTGCGTCCTATCAGCCAGTACATGGATCTGACTTTCGTATCCAGCTGTTTACGCTTGGTCCAGATATGCTTTCTCCAGGTGAGTCTTCGATCCAGATGCATACCCAAATATCTGGCATCTTCAGCTTGAGGAATTTCTTCATTATAAATCCTTATTGGGGGACAAGTCTGCCTTCTCAAGGTGAAGGTCACATGGACAGATTTTCCTTGATTAACCCTAATACGCCATTTATCTAGCCACTTTTCCACTTCATGGATGTGGGTTTGTATGTTGGCCGATGCTATAGCGGGATCCACGTGTACCGACAAAAGGGCTGTATCATCCGCATACGTGGCAGTCACAGTATCAACGTGCGTTGGAAGGTCTGCGGTAAAAAGCAAATACAGGATGGGTCCCAATATACTTCCCTGTGGTACTCCTGAGAGAATTTCGTTTAAAGGCGTAACTTCGTTGTTAAATTTCACCTCAAAGCATCTACTGTGTAGGTACGATCGTAGAATCGGAAAGAAGGAGTGAGGGAGCAGCTTTTTAATTTTGAAGAGAAGTCCTTCATGCCACACTCTGTCGAACGCCTGACTAATATCAAGAAAGACCGCAGAGCAGAACTGTTTGCATTCTAGTGCACGACTTATTGTATCCGTAATACGGTGGATCTGTTCGATAGTTCCATGTTGCTCTCGGAAGCCAAACTGGTGAAGAGGAATAATTTCTGGTAAATAGGGGCGCATCCTGTTCAGTAGTATTTTTTCGAAGAGTTTACCCAAAACAGGGAGTAGGCTTATTGGTCTGTAGGAGCTTACATCATGGGGCGGTTTTCCTGGTTTGGGTATCATTATAACCTGCGCAATTTTCCACTGGGCGGGGTAAATTGCTAGTCTTAGGCAAGCATTATAGATATCTGCAATGTGAATAATGCCCTTTCCAGGCAGCTGCTTGAGTAGCTCTGCGTCGATCAAATCGTAGCCAGGTGTTTTACCCTTCTGTAGTTGTAGGATTTCTTTCCGTAGTTCGTTGGGGCTAGCACTTTTTAGTGGTAGACTCATTTGCAAAGGTGCGTCCAGATATTCGGTGACTTCCTTGACGTGTTCAGGATCCTTGCTTGGTAAGGGTCTGAAGATAGTTTTTAGGTATTCCGCGTATACTTGGGCCTTTTCAAGTTCTGTTTTTGCCCACTTGCCATCAGGAGCTTTTATGGGTGGTATGTGTTCCTTCGGTCGTTTTAGCCTTTTTGTTATCTTCCATAGAGAGTAGTTGGTGTCTATAGAAGGAGTAAGGTCAGTTAATTGTTTTTGTAAACGCTCGTTTTCTGCTTGACAGATCATGTGCTTAAGTTCCTCAGAAGCCCTGTTGAAAGCTTTTTTGTCACAGGGATATTTCGTAGAGTGCCATTTTTTCCGCAGCAGCCTTCTTTCATTTACTTTGTCCTTTATTAGTTTGGGGTAGTGAGCAATTTGTGTTGTTTTCGGTCTTAGATAAGACGTAGATTCTTTCGCCGCTAAGTGAATAAGCTTACTGAGAGTTTCGATAGCTGTTTCAACTCTATCTACATTATTAAGTGGCAAGTTCAAGTTAATGGATTCTGAGATTTTAGTTCTGTATCTGTCCCAGTCTGTTGTCCGGTTATACAGTCTTTGTTGATACTCAACTATAATAGCCTTGCAGTGAACGTTGACAATTACTGGTGTATGGTCTGACGACAGGTCAGTACATTCTTCTACGTTCATTTGTCTGAGCGGGATATTTTTGGTTATGAAAAAGTCCAATAGGTCTGGTACCTTTTGTGGGTCCGTAGGCCAGTATGTAGGAACACCATGCGAAGCGCAATGAAGGTTGAGGTCGATCGTAGCCACATAAAGTTGTCGTCCCCGTGGCGAGGTTAGTCTCGAGCCCCAGAAAGCGTGTTTTGCGTTCCAATCGCCACCGCAAATAAATCTGTTCCCTAGTGTGTTGAAGTAGGTCTTGAACTCATCTCTTGTAATGACATGCCTAGGTGGGCAGTAAATTGCAGACACTGTTGTTTCTGTTTTATTATCCTGAATCCTGACTGAAGTTGCTTGTATCTTTTCGGTTTTGGTTTCCCCAGAAAGATAATGTTTGATGTTTTCTTTTATTATGATTGCGGTTCCTCCATGTGAATTACCAGAAGGGTGGTTTGTAGTATACACCATGTAATTTTTAAGTTGGAAATGAGTTTTTGGTGTGAATCTTGTTTCTGAGATTAAAGCCACGTCCACTCTTTCAAGTTTCAAGAAGAGTTCAAGTTCCTGGCGACGTTCTGTCAGCCCGTTGGCATTCCAGGTGATTATTCTAAGGTTTAGGGGTGCTTTATAAGGCTTGTGAATAATTGGATCATACGATCCATCATGTTGTCTAACATAATATTTATTATGTTTTGAAATTTGTTGAACATGGCGTCTAGAACTTCCCCGAAATTATTTGGGTTCTTGATATCGGTTATTAATCCCGCTGTGTTTTCTTGTTTTGTCACTTGTGCATATGTGATATTTGGTTTCGAGTGATTGAAGAGATTGTAGTTCTTAGTTTGGTGGTTTTCTTGTACAGTTTGTGTCGGGTTTTTGCGGTATTGATTTTGCGTTATGTTGTTTGTGTTCCCATTTCTTTCTTTGCCCTTTCCTGTCTTGTTTTTCGAAAGTAAGTCTTTGTATTGTTTGTACTTTATGCAGCCTTTGTAACTTGCTGGATGTTTTTCTTGGCAGTTGGCACAAGTTGCCTCGGTGTCCGGTCTTTTTAAACAGCTTGTTGTTGAGTGTTCTTCTCCGCATTTTACACATCTGAATGGTCTGTTGCACTGGTTTTTTGCATGTCCAAATCTTTGACATCTTTTACATTGCAAAATGTCTAGCTTTTTGTATGGTGCTTCAAATGAGACTTTTACGTAATTCACTCTGTTGATTTTAAAAATTTCTTTGTTGTTGTGTTTAGGCTCAAGGTCTACATAGAATAAGGGTAGCGGTTGTTTTGTGTTTTTGTGTTGTACATTTGTGATGTGCCGTACTTCATGCCCAAGTTCGAAGAGCTCTTTTTTAATTAGTTCTGTGTCTTCTGATGAGTGAAGACCACGTAATACTACTCTGTAGGCTCTTTCGCTTTTAAGTTTGTATGTGTAATGACTAACGTTATTTTCTATAAAGTTAGCTCTTATGTTTTTATACGTGTCTACGTCACCAGGCATTATTTTAACTATGTGTCCTGACCTCAGAGTTGTCATAGTATATTTGTCGGTATTTACAATTGAGGAGAGGATTTTCTTTAATGTCGTTATGTCTATAACTCCCGTGACAAATATGGGTTCTGGCTTTGGCGGTTTAGGCTCCTTAGGTTGTTGACTGGGTTCGTCGTGTGTTGCTGACTCTAAGATTTGGAATCTGTTTTCTGTTGTTACTGCATATGTTGTCTTATTTACTTTAGTATTATTCTTTGTCCGTTCAGGACTAGATTCCGCTTTCCTTTTCATAGGCACCTGATCGTTTTGCCATGGTTGATTTGTTTTAGCTTGTGCATCATTCGTATCAGATGTATTCGATTCCTCTTGCACTTTATCTTTTGGAATTGTTTGATTTGGTGTTTCAATTAGTAGAGTTCCAAGTGAGGGGCTCCTTACACGTGCAAACATGCTTTTTTGGAGTACTTGTTGTGTCATCTTTGGCTTGTTTTGGTTTTCTTTTTCATTATTCATGCTCATTTTGTTCCCACGAGTAGGGTCGATATAAAAGGTCACTTGAAGGGTGACGCCCATTCCTCCAAGAAGGCGATCTTCAACGACGTTTGCCATGTCCGCCGAGGTTGGCGCTCGATACTGATCTCCCACCAGTCATGCATTCCATTGGCACGTGTCCCACCGTGGAATTGGGGTGATTGTTTTATAGAGGTTTTCTTCCTCTCAGCCCGGGCAATTAAGCCAAGACTCCCGATCGCTGAGTAGCGGTTGCGGGCGTGAGTATTCATTTCCTAACACCCACTGTTGTCTGACTGGTTAGGCCAGTATTGTCGGGTCCTGGACGAGGCGGGTAAACTTTTTGAGAGGGTGCTCTCTGCCCGCATCGTCCGGCACCTTTGCGAGGTTGGCCCCGATCTGTCGGACGCCCAATTCGGTTTCCGAGAGGGGCGTTCGACGATCGATGCCGTAATGCGCCTTAGGGCCGTGACCGAGGAGGCCGTAAGCTGCGGCGGAGTGGTGTTGGCGGTGTCCTTGGACATCGCCAACGCCTTCAATAGTCTGCCATTCAGCTGCGTCAGGGAAGCGCTCCGCTACCACGGAGTGCCGGAGTACCTGAGGCGGCTGGTGGCAGACTATCTTGAGGAGCGAACCGTCATGTACGAGGACCGAGATGGCGTCTTGAGACGCAGGGCCATGTCGTGCGGTGTTCCGCAGGGGTCTGTCCTAGGACCTCTCCTGTGGAACATCGGGTACGACTGGGCCCTACGAGGGCGTCTCCCCCCCGGGCTGGGTGTAATCTGCTACGCGGATGACACCTTGCTCACGGCCCGGGGGGCTAACTTCCAGGAGGCGGCGCGCCTGGCCGCCACGGGATTTTCCCTGGTGGTCGGGCGCATTGAGACGTTGGGCTTGCGGGTGGCCCTGGATAAGACGGAGGCCCTATTATTTCATGGGCCCCGTCGTGGTCCACCCGCCGGCGCCTCAATCGAGGTCGGCTCGGTCCTCGTACCGGTCCGGGCCCAGATGAGGTACCTGGGTCTGGTCCTAGACGGTAGGTGGCTCTTCGACGAGCACTTCCGACAGCTTGGTCCGAAGCTGGTGGACACTGCCTCCGCCCTAGGGCGACTTTTGCCCAATTTGGGCGGGGCCAGTGTTCCCACGAGGCGGCTGTACGCGGGGGTTGTCCGGTCCATGGCGCTTTATGGTGCACCGGTGTGGGTGGCGGCTCTGACCGCCCCGAATAGGGCGCGCCTCTGGCGCCCCCAGAGGATATTGGCGGTCAGAGCCATACGCGGATACCGCACGGTGTCCACCGAGGCGGCTTGCGCCTTGGCCGGAACACCCCCGTGGGATTTGGAGGCGGAAGTGCTCGCCGAAGTTTATCGGCGAGTGGCTGACTTCCGGGCGGAGAGCGGATTTCGCCCTCCGCCCGAAGACGTGCGCGAGTGGCGTGAAGCCGCTCGCCGAGCCACCATGGTGAGATGGTCGTTCCGGCTGGAGACTCCACGCGCTGGCTTCGCCGCCGTGGAGGCTCTCCAGCCGGTCATCGCCGAGTGGGCAGGGCGGCAGCACGGGACCCTTTCCTTCCGGCTGACGCAGGTGCTTTCCGGGCACGGTTGCTTCGGAAAGTACCTGTACTCGGTCGCTAGGAGGGAATCGAGTCCCGCCTGCCACCACTGCGACTGCAGTGAGGATTCGGCCCAGCACACGCTGGCGGTTTGCCCCGCATGGGCGACGCAGCGCCGGGCCCTTACTGCAGTCATCGGAGCAGATCTCTCGCTACCGGCCGTAATTCGCTCCATGGCCGGTAGCGACAGTTGTTTTACCGCGGTCGCAACCTTCTGCGAGGAGGTAATCTCGCAGAAGGAGGCGGCGGAGAAGGCCCGGGAGGACGACCTCCACTCGGACCTGATCCGCCGCCGGCGAACCGGGCGGCGGAGGCGCGCTTACCTGCGCCTCATGCCGCCCTGAGTGTGGCCGCGGGTGGACGGGATGGGTTCTCCCCTCCACCCGCATTAGTTGGCCAGCCGCGAGGGGGCGGCGTCCGCGTGTGCCGGACGTCGCCTAAAGAGAGGAAAGATCAGAGACGGGGCCCGCAACAGGAGCGGGCCGGCGCTGGGAGGGGTCCAGAAGGCGATAACTACCTGGACCCCTCCTACACTGGAAGCGCAAAGAGGGCACACCGTGTGGTTTTAGTCGGTTCGAGTCCGACACACCGCCCCGCCGAACGAGAGCCCCGGCGGGGTGACGGTCCGAGGGGATTTCCACACGTAAAAAAAAAAAAAAAAAAAAAAAAAAAAGTATTGTCGGGTTATTTAACCGCCGCCCGAGACCCGGCGTTGAGGTTCGTTTAGCACCACCCGGGGGGCACGTGTAGGGTTTTCTTCAGGTATCCTTCCTACGGACGCGAACCAGTCCACCCCCCAGAAACGTGGTGGAAGCTAATTGTGTGTGTAAGTGTAAAAAATAAAGTTATTCAAGGCTTCTGGAGGCTTCGAATTATGGTCAAGCCGTTAGTTAGTAGGCGGGAGACTTAGCTTGGAGCTGGAGCCGAAGAGAAAGAGGCTGGGACGAGGTCCCGTATCCTTGTTATAGTCGCGATGGCAGTGGTAGCTGTGTGGAGGGACGCGCAGTTTCTGCTTTTGGTGACGGTAAAAACATGAAAATATTATTGAAAAAGCTGGTGGTCGAAACTCCAATACTCATACTCACAAACCTTAAGTTCAATATCAATTAAGCATAACTTCAGAGGATTGAAAGGTGAAAGAGGTGATTTTCAACGCTTTAGGTGTAATCTGTTTATCAATACCAATAAAAAGAAAAAGAGCATAGCGCATTAGACAGAGCTCCATTACAGTTTCATGAAGGTTTTAATTACATTGGTAAATAGCAGATCATCATCATCATCAACAGCCTTTAATAGTCCACTGCTGGACATGAGCCTCTCCTTAGAAAGGAGGTTTATAGATAAATAGAAGATACTCTTTTCAAAACTGCATTAACTCTATCATGGCATGTTCTTTTTTTATATTATTTAAATTTTTACTTGCAAATATCCTGTCTGTCATTCCGATCAACACTTCAAATTCAATAGTAAATATGAGCGTCACGCTCTAGAATTTCGGATACATTTTTCTGTTCTATTTTATTTTGTTAAATCTTTTAAAATTATTCTGTGAATTATTTATTTTACGAATAAAGGTAAGCTTTTTTTTAAAATAAAAAATTGTCCATCAGAAGATTTTTCAATTGATTAAATAGTTATCATTTATTTGGTGTTCCTTTACAAATTAATGATTTTCGGTGATGTCTATTCTTAACCACAAAGAATACTTGTCTTGACTCTCTTAGAACCATATGCCTCTCATTCCCCCCCCTCCCCATTGCTAACAAGCTAACATTCCATATATCTAAGGTATTCCCCTTTTTAATCGAGGAAAAATACGACTGGATTTAAGATATAGGATGACGTCTGACGGACTTAAAACCTCGCTACTAAACTGTCAATAAATTAAAGATTGGTTCTTGAAATGTCAAATTGTTTTTTTTTACCATATGTGTACCCTAGACAAAGAGTAATCAAAAACTCATGTTTTGCCCTCATTTCATGTAATAGTGGGCAGACGAGCAGACTTGTCACCTGATGGAAAGTGACTAATGCTGCCCATTAATACCTGCAACTCATCATCAGCCTATCGCAGTCCACTGCTGGACAGAGGCCTCTCCCATTGCACACCACTTAGATTGATTTTGGGCCTCTCGCATCCAGCTCCTGCCAGCCATCTTGCGCAAATCGTTTCTCCACCTGGCCTGTGGGCGTCCTACACTACGTTTGCCGAGACGCGGTCTCCACTCAAGAACTCGTTTTCCCCAATGGTTGTCGGTTCTTCGGCTAATATTTGCAACTCAAAAGCTACAAAAGTTAGCTTTCATTTTATTTGATTTTGATTTAAAACTGCGTTGACACTTTTGTGTGCCTCCTCTCTCAGAATTAGAAATTTTGACTTCCTGGAAACTCACTTGATGAAAAGCTACAATCACAATACAGACGTGATGAACGACTGGCTAGCGTGGTATAGTAGGTCAAAACCTCTTCCAAGGAGAGACCTATGTCCAGCAGTGGACTATTAAAGGCTATTGATGAACTACGAAAGGTTAATGCCAACTTTATTTACAGCTAATTGCGATCCGAAGACCATCACTATAACTTTTTACCAAGCAAAGTGTATACACAAATTAAGGATATAACCGTAATTTTGTTGATCCTATCAAAGTAATTATGTAATACGTGGAACATAAGTATTACTTGTTTGCTACTTTTTTTGTAAGTATTTGTTATCGTTTTATTATTAAGACTATTTCTGCGATATACGATGGATTGGCTATAAGAGATTGGCGCAAGGCCCCTTACAGCCTAGTCTCTAACTTAACACCCTTTTTCTGTGAATCTTTGGTATCACTCCGACCAGCATGGCCCGTGTGTGGAATTTGTTTGGAATTTTAATTACAAACAACATGCTAGTAATCAGTAGGTTTACGAAGCCAGTACCTATAATAGTCTGGTACATTCTTAGATATTTCCGTACAATGTTTTCACACATCAGTTCCTTGTTAACCCAGTGGCACATTAGTAAGTCCACCTGAACCGGCTGAAAATTAGTCCAGCGCCACTTTTAATAACATTTTTGGACTAAGCAACATTTGCTCGTCCATTTGCAGCGGTAGCGCCTTGACGTTGAATATATTATATTGACTATTTATATGATACAATTTATTACAAAAGGCAATAATTAATATTTATTGATGTAGGCATATAGGTCGGCGATACCTTTTCCTAAATCAATTATTCAATGCTGTTATTAGTTTAATGTTTTTTTAAGATATCTTCCCACATTAGCAATGTATCCCGTGTCGCGGGGGACTTTACAAACATACATGAAACGGACACAAATAACCCCGACTCAGAACAACAATTTGTGGATCACACAGTATCGTCGTCGGCGTGGCGACCACTTAAACCACTACGCCATTTGGCCAGTTTGGTTTAGGGAGTGCTTGTGTTCGCAGAGGCTGAATATACCAATACAACATTAGATTTTGGGAGTACACCGCACTTAACTGTGAAATAAAACCACCATCAGCTTTCCTCATTTCACATTTTATTTCAGATTGAAATGTCTTTATTGAAGCCTTTACATGTGTTTAAGGCAGCGAATAAATGTCTGAACGTATGTAACAATAATGTAAGTCCTGTTTAAGTCTACGTCATTTATATTTAATTGAGAATGCATTATTTAAAATTGATCACATTTGTAATGATAGCTTGTCCTTAACATCTTATTACAGCTTTCAAGAATTCCAATATTACTATTATAATATTACATTACACACATTAACAATTACAATATTACAAAATTTGACGGGCCTGTTGGTCTAGTGGTTGGATTCCCACCCAGGACAAATAATTGTGTGATGAACACGAGGATTTGTTCTGTGTCTGGGTGTAATTTATCTATAATATGTATTTAAAAATATTAAAGTATGTTTATCAGCAGTCTGGTTCCCAGAGCACAGGCTCTGCCGAGTTTGGTATCAGAAGGCCGTGTGTGTAGTGTAAAGTAAAAAAAAGAAAAAAAATGCTCATTATGATCAGATAATTTAATTGGATTAGAAGCTAAAACAAGGAGACCATAGGAATAAAATATATCAAACGGTCTTATCTAACTGTAATTTAGTCTTGTTCACGTAATACGGGGGGACCTACTGACGTTAACCTTCTGAAATTATAGATGGGAAAATTGGTACTATAATAAAAAGGAAGGTCCGTGTGGTGACGGATTAAGAATACAGAGTGTCACCACCCCTATTCATCCCGTGGGTGTCGTAAGAGCCGACTAAGGGAACAAACTACGCAGGACAACAGCACTGCAAAGAGAAGGAAAACTTGACACAAACCCTATACCAACCCATCTGGCCAGCGTGGTATAGTAGGCCAAAACCTCCTTTCTAAGGAGAGGCCTATGTCCAGCAGTGGACTATTAAAGGCTATTGATGTGATGATGTGATGATGTGATGATGGATAAAAAGGAAAAGCAGGAGAAAAGGGACAGCAATTGATATAATCGGATATTGCATTTGTAGTGAGGGGATTTTTTAGACAATCGAAAAACTTTAAAGTTATTGCTATAAAGTGCATGCATGTTTGAATATGACAAAAAAGGCCCTTATTTATATACAGTTTATTAATAAACTGTCCAATGTGTTAACCGGATTATGCTTACCAAAAATACAGGCTGATTGGTGGAGTAATTGTTACAACTAAAGCTTATATTACTTTGAACCAAATTTTTCAGTTAAATAAAGCTTGCTATTCAACGAAAGAATCATTTCTAAGCGGTACAAATGCAAACTTTCTTGAAAATCAATACTTAGACTGGGCGCAGTCTAAGGGATCAATTGATTCTGTAAGTGTGCTGTTTTATCTTTACATAGTATAAAATGAAGTAGCTTTTATATCTTTCGACCTACGCAACGGATTTCACCAATTGAAAGAGTGATTCAAGAGGCGGGTTTGTATGTATATCTAATACATCCAATACCTTTCAACGAGCAATTCTTGTAAGTATATATATGTATGAAATCTGAATCTCGGCAACGGCTGCAACGGTTTTCATGAAATTTAGTATTGAGGGGTTTCGGAGGCAATTAATCTATCAAGCTAAGTTTAATTTTTAGAGAATTAACAAAAAAAAATACCGAGTAAAGCTCGGACATCCAGGTACTGCATATTATAGTAGAAGTAATTCGAGAAATTGAAAATTGTGATGTAAAATCATAAAACACATGTTTCTGAGCGCAATTCCAAACGCTGGCTAAACGAGATATGTGTATGATATGAATGTATATGGCAAAATAACGTTTGCCGGGTCAGCTAGTAATTTTATAAAGTTGTCGAAGTTGTTGAGAAGCTCAGTGAAGTATTGTTTTTGCAGTCTTGGGACAGTTTCTACGACAGTCTTTGTGGCAATGCGCTGAAGATAGAAGATGTTGAAGATGAGTTTGCTCCACGCCAAAGTAAGTAGTAAATAGATTAAAGTTTTTTTATGGTATAAGGGGGCAAACGAGCAGATGGGTCACCTGGACACTACCGCCGCCCATGGACACCCGCAAATCAAGTCATAAGTGCGTTCCTGGACTTGGATTCCTTAATAAAATTAGTAATTAGTTTTACCTATTAAGTTTTCTATAAATCTTTGCTGTAAACCTCTAACTTTCTATCTGTATTTATTATCTGTAACATTAAATTTCAGCTGTATTATTAAAATAAGCACTCTCAATCTCTGGTGTCTACTAGTCTAACAACGAATTAGAAACGACCTTTACCTATCTGTTTAATGGAGGAAAAGTGTATTAATACATTCAAACTCAAACTTTCTTTATTTCATAAAATTTCCAACATTGTTTGAAATCGTCTTCCATGTAGACTCTAAAGTCATAGATCAACACACACAAAAGCAACAATCTCTGTTTTGTTAAATAGTAACCAAATAAATTTAACAAAAATCAACCCATACAAAATCTATGATATGCCTGTGCCGATCTACAACCGCCCATTCCAAGGGAGCCTTATGAGAAGAAAGGGCAAACAAACTCATGGCAACTCAAACTCATGATTAGTTCGTTTGAAGAAAAACTAACTAATCTATTTTTTGTTTCCTTTTGTTACAATAGTTTAGGAGGTAGTACACGTATATTTCAGAGGTAATTCGGTTTAAATTCTTCGATTGAGTTTACTACATTAATATTATTTAAGTTTTGAACTTTACTACGTTATAAGATTCAGCAACCAAGTTCGGTATTTTGGGGCAAGGTATGTATTTGGAATGTTTTATGCGACCATTGAAATTTCGTTAAATTCTTATGTTTTCTTCAGACTGTACTGCAGGAAAGATAATCGACCTTTTAACTTCTCAAAATGAAAAAAATCTCATTGCGTTGCATATATTTCACAGAAAGCTCAGAAAAAAGTTCTGGAAAAGATGTCACTCAGGAACAAATAAGGCTTCATTTAGCGGTTCAAAACTTGATAAGAAGTTACCAGGTAAGGACCAGAACTAACATTCACTATGCATATATAAGTTTTACCCTTTAGCTCCTTTAGAGCTGTTCGGTTTAGGCCCCTCCTGACGACGAAAGGAACAGAGATCAACAATGTTTTACGAATGTTCTAGACTAGAGGCCACCTCCTGGCGAAAACTGACCCACTGGAACTAACGTTGCCGGCTAGAATGCTCAACATAGCGGGGAAGTTACCGCTCGATACTAAAGTCTTGGATAGTCACATAGTTGCTCGGGAATTAGGCGGCGTCCTGAGTAAGTCTCTGGATTAAGAATATTCAAAACAACTGGGCCTCAATTCTGCTATTTTATGTTCACGCCAAGCACTGTCATACCACTGACACGCTATTGAGATGCCATCGAGTGGCCATTGGCATCGGTATAAATATCGGTAGTCTAACTCAGTGTCTTTACAGTGGCGATGGAATGGCAGTGGCTCATCAGTGGTGATATCAAAAAGATAGCCATGTTTGGAAAAATAAATAAATAATTTCCTCAAAAAACGTAATATATTTTCAAATTATAAGGCAGAATTGCGGCCCTGGTAGCCGAAACTGGTTTTGAACATCATAATTTTATAAAATAAAGCTCCTGTATTTGACTAATTGTTGTGATATTTAAATTTGAAGAAAAATCCTTCGGGGTGGATTCCCCGAAAGATGAAAATTAAGAAATAGAATGTAATATACTATAATTCAAATTCTCCATAATGTACGAGTAATATTGAAGTCGATTATATTATTATCTTTCTCTTTTTCGTTAAATTTTAACTAGCTTCTGCTCAGCCCGCGTGTATGTCTGTTATCGCTGATAATGTGGCTTTCCATTGGTGGAGAAGTTTTATAGTGGTTTAGGCATGAAAGCATAACAAACAAACTCCTTTCACATTTATAATATGAGTATGGATGCATGGGTGTTTGTTCTTACATGCAGTATTTTTGATTTAGTGGACTTGATACTAAGGGATTGTCACCAACAGTATATTACATCAAAAATGTAAACGGAAACGTATTCTTGAACAATTCTTTGTTGGTAAATTGATTATGTTGTCACAAATCTTCGATCAATAAACTAGTTCGTTTGATCGAAGGCACAAATAGAACCATACTTGTATTAAGTCAATCTGTTATACCCATAATACCCATTTGATAAATGGTGTGATTGGATTAGAATTGTTAGTACCGAGTAAAATTGCCATTAAATAAAATATTTTTTATGTTCAGCCGAAAAACATATGGACATGGTGTTTACATTACCCGACCGCACATTTATTGGAGGCAATGAGAAAGCGCTACCCCTCAGGTAAGATCCCTGATCAAGCTGTTTTACAGGTAATAGTCATCAAACCTGAGCTACAGCAAAATAGTGTCTACCATTAATATCTCTGGGAACGCGATACTAGGGTTACTTAGGGTAAAGAGTATACACTAGCGCAAGACTCATGTACACCTTTGATAAAAAGAATTTTGATTGATTTATCTTTGTCTATGACCAAATTACAGGTGAAATCGCCGTGTCCAAAACCAATTATTTCATCAAATGAATATGATTTAAAAGTATCAATTATTTTCTTGTGTATAGATACACTTGGGAGATACTAGACAAGAAAATAATTGCTACTTTTAAATATAGATAGTATATACTAGACAAGAAAATTACACTTGGGAGACACATGGTCTGATTCTTATTGCACCGTGCAGTTAGCCTAGTTAGTTAGTTAGTGTAAGGTTAGTCTCGAATTAAATTGTTTCTATAGAAACTAAAATCAACAAACACATAATTTCGTGAATAGCTTAACAGAAAATTCCACTATATGTAATATTTCCGTTGACATAAGTTTTTGCATTTGTCTAAAATAAAGCATACGATGGCTAAACTAGGTATTTAAATTAATAAATTCATGGAGATAACTTTAATTATAAATCCTTAATTAATTATAATTACGGAAGTAATTAATTTTAATTTCATTTTTATTAGTAATGTGTAACTTAATTTTAGGTACTTCTTTCTTCTTCTAGGTATTTCTTAAATTAAACTAATTAGTGATATATTTTTTCAAGGGAAATAATTCGTCGATTGGAGCACGTGTATTGCGGATCTATAGGATTGGAGTATATGCATGTTTACGATATAGACGCTGTGCAGTTCCTCAGGAAACGTGTAGAGACACCGGGTGCTTATGATAGGACTCCGGAGGAGAAAAAATTGACCATGAAACGCCTCACCAAGGCTGTGTTGTAAGTATTTTCACATACCGGTGACTTTTAATAGGATAATAAACTCGTGGGAGGGACATACCAGAGAGTGATACAGCGGTTTAACAAAAAAACATTTTTTTTTAGTTGTTTTTATTGATTGAGTCCGGTCCGGCGTCAACTTAAACCTGGCAGTGCAACAACGCACTTGTCTCTCTCATTACCAACAGACCGTCTACTGGACCCCCCCCCCCCCCATACGATATAGAAAATAATCACTTCAGTTGCAATTCTTGCAGCCAATTGTAATATCAGATGAACAAAAAAGTTAAGATAAAGTTTTTCTGTGAACATAGTGCCAATTAAAAGTACACCTTGGCATCTGGCGTCATTGTCTTTTTACTTTTTAGTCCTTAATATTGAACATACTGGCATATATCAAAACAATTTTGTGGTATAGGTATTTAATGGTGCCATTGTATCTATCTGTAAATTTCAAAAGAGTGGCCATGAATTTGTTAGCCCTTTTTTCTCATAAGGCGGCGATTGTAGATCGGCACAGGCATAACCACAGATTTGTATAAATCTAATTTTTATTACATTTGTTTTACTTACAATTTCAGAAAACAGATTTTTTTGCTATTGTGTATCTGCATAACCTTTTGTTATCATAAAAAGACGATATCAAACAATAAAAAAAAAAGATGGAATAAAGATATTTTGAGTTTAAGTTTGATGGCAGCACCGGCCCACGCACACAACGATATGATTAGAAAACCGGCGTTACTTCGTTCTTCACAAAGTTCCAACTTAACTTTATTTGATCTGAGATTGTAATGCACTGAGTATTACATTCGGTTTCAATGTAAACGAAACGAAACAATCGCGTAATCTAATTTGACCGATCGCGTGCACTGCTAGAGAATCCATTAGCGAAAGAATTTCGAAATCGGTTTAGTGGTTTAGGCCGGAAAGCCTGACAACCAAACAACTGACAACTAGTATTCTACACAAAAAAATCATACTTCACTTAACAGTATTCTTTTAGGATTATAGGGTGTATTTCGAAAAGACAATAATCAATGTTTTATTTAATCAGCTTGGAAAAATACTTTGCCACGAAGTGGCCAGCGGAGAAGCGATTCGGTTTGGAAGGCGGTGAAAGCATGATTGTCATGCTGGAGGAGATCGTTGACACCGCATCCCGACTTGGAGTCAAGTCTATTGTCATTGGCATGCAGCATCGAGGTTCTACTAAATCTTATCTTACATCCTTCTCTATTTGTGTAAATACGTTGATTTTAGCCTAAACCTCAAGAATTAGAATACATACATAACCGGCGGTTTATCAGACCATTTTCAATTCTTGTCAACTTTTCTAACATCTGCATCTATTCAAGTTTTATTATTAAAAGTACGAAGACCTTCTGAAATTATAATGTACCAAATGCTATCAGTAATGTGCAGTCGAAAAACTTTATATTTTATCTCACAATAAATGGCTTTTCTTCTTATTTTATACCAATAAGATAATGACGGCTGCCGTGCGTAATGTATACGCATCTTAACTTACAAACTTGAAATAAACGAATGAATTTGAATGATAATTTGTCTTTACCATAGGTCGTTTAAATATGTTGGTCAACGTGTGCCGAAAGCAGTTGGTTGATATTTTTGCGCAGTTTAAACCCATGCAACCCAAGGAACCGGTCAGTATACCAAGCAGACTAATACTTAATAGTCAATATTCGTGAAACAGGATCCGATCAAGATCAAGTTGACGGTTACTCGTTTGAGCGTTACCAGTTAATTTACCAGAGTTGTTATACTGAATAGAATCGAATTTCAGTTTCAAACGGTTTATTAAATTTTATTAAATTTTAAATTAAATATTAAATTTTATAAAACTTTTTCGGATCTTGGCCAATATTAAAGTTCCACAACGGTATTTGGACAACACCCGACTTGGACAACAACACCCGACTTGGACAACAACACCCGTTTTGGACAACACCCGTATTGGACAACACCCGTATTGGACAACACCCGACTTGGACAACACCCGACTTGGACAACACCCGACTTGGACAACATCCGACTTGGACAACATCCGACTTGGACAACATCCGACTTGGACAACATCCGACTTGGACAACATCCGACTTGGACAACATCCGACTTGGACTACATCCGACTTGGACAACATCCGACTTGGACAACATCCGACTTGGACAACATCCGACTTGGACAACATCCGACTTGGACAACATCCGACTTGGACAACATCCGACTTGGACAACATCCGACTTGGACAACATCCGACTTGGACAACATCCGACTTGGACAACATCCGACTTGGACAACATCCGACTTGGACAACATCCGACTTGGACAACATCCGACTTGGACAACATCCGACTTGTAAAAATATCTGAAAAGATTTACTTCAGAAATAAATATCATTTATCATTTACATAAACCATAAATAACTTAACCATAAACATGACTTTTTAATAGGACGGCATTGAACGTCTACACGTCTAGAATTTGTCTCAAAACATTGGCACAAGTATTGAGTTTACAGGAGTTTGCGCTATTTGCTAAAGTTTTATTCTGCCTGACAATTGCCAACGATATCAAGAATAGCAGACTCATAGCATCGATTTAATATATTTTAAATTGGTGTTTTGATTTCTGTAGGGGTCCGGTGACGTGAAGTATCATTTGGGTACACACATACACCGCTTTATTCGTCGCACAAACAAGTACATAAAAGTGTCCATGAGTGCCAACCCATCTCACTTAGAAACAGTCGGCCCTGTAGTTGCCGGTAAGACGCGAGCTGAACAATTCTTCAAAGGTGATAATGGGGATACGGTGAGTTAAATTGAAAAATAAGTACGAAAGGTGGTAATTTAGTCTTTATTTACAAAATAACTTTTCCTCACAGGTAATGGCCATTATAATGCACGGCGACGCGGCTGTTGCCGGTCAAGGCGTAGTATATGAAACTGCGACTCAGACTAACCTACCTGCTTTCACCACTCGTGGTTGCTTACATATTGTATGTAATAATCAGATCGGTTATACTACCGACCCTAGATTTTCCAGAAGCTCCCCATATTGTACAGGTAATTTAAACAAAAAATAATGTATTTTGTTTCCAGAAAAATGACTGGAATTAGATACATCTGTGGATTTAACATAAGATTAGCGTGTAATCGCAGATATTTGTACGAGGGTGCTCGTTAATTTGTATGTAATTGGAAAAAGTTTTTTAAGATAGACTGCCTCGGTGGTGGTGCATCGACTGCTGTCTCGGGTTCGATTCCCGGGTCGGACCATTTGCAAATATTTGATTTTAATATGTTTTTATATTTATATTTAATATTTTTAAATGTTTTGTTTTTTTTATATATTTTTTTTTCGGAGTTCGGGTTTGGGTGTTCTCTATGTAAAATATGTATGTATTTATAAAAAAAGTATATAAGTATTCTATCAGTCAATCACTTTCATTTTACAAGCTTTGCTTAGTTTGAAACTAGATGGCGTTGTGTGTCAGATGTCCGAAATATAAAAAAACTGGATGCCCGCCTTTTGATTGCACTCCGCCCAAAATTAGGGCCAATAAATGCCGACTAGACAAGGAAATGATTGCTACTTTTAAATCATATTCATTTGATGAAATGATGACACCTGATTGTGATATCGCCATAGACAAAGATAAATGGCATTTAAACCAATCAAAATTCTTTTTATCGAAGATTAACGTCCTTTTTTTTGGATTTAGACGAGTTTGGCGAGTCTTGCGCTAGCGTAATAATAATAATTAAGTCATGTGGTTTTGTAAATCAGTCACATTTGAAATATGATTTTTGATTCCATCCTTAGTGCCGAACCATGGCTATCCCACTATAATACTTCTTGCACATAATGGGGGTTAAAAAAATAGGGATAATTTGTGCTGATTTTGGAATCGATAAGTTAAAAAAAATAGTTCCCCATACAAAGTTGGTTCATGCTTCTAGACCCAGCGATTTCATGCTTCTAGACCCAGCGATTTCATGCTTCTAGACCCAGCGATTTCATGCTTCTAGACCCAGCGATTTCATGCTTCTAGACCCAGCGATTTCATGCTTCTAGACCCAGCGATTTCATGCTTCTAGACCCAGCGATTTCATGCTTCTAGACCCAGCGATTTCATGCTTCTAGACCCAGCGATTTCATGCTTCTAGACCCAGCGATTTCATGCTTCTAGACCCAGCGATTTCATGCTTCTAGACCCAGCGATTTCATGCTTCTAGACCCAGCGATTTCATGCTTCTAGACCCAGCGATTTCATGCTTCTAGACCCAGCGATTTCATGCTTCTAGACCCAGCGATTTCATGCTTCTAGACCCAGCGATTTCATGCTTCTAGACCCAGCGATTTCATGCTTCTAGACCCAGCGATTTCATGCTTCTAGACCCAGCGATTTCATGCTTCTAGACCCAGCGATTTCATGCTTCTAGACCCAGCGATTTCATGCTTCTAGACCCAGCGATTTCATGCTTCTAGACCCAGCGATTTCATGCTTCTAGACCCAGCGATTTCATGCTTCTAGACCCAGCGATTTCATGCTTCTAGACCCAGCGATTTCATGCTTCTAGACCCAGCGATTTCATGCTTCTAGACCCAGCGATTTCATGCTTCTAGACCCAGCGATTTCATGCTTCTAGACCCAGCGATTTCATGCTTCTAGACCCAGCGATTTCATGCTTCTAGACCCAGCGATTTCATGCTTCTAGACCCAGCGATTTCATGCTTCTAGACCCAGCGATTTCAGCTGTACGTTGATCGATCAGTCAGTGAATCAGTCTCAGTTTTTTCATTTATAGATATAGATTTACAGTAAGTTATTAACGAAACACACATGTTTAATAGATTTGGGAAAAGCCATCGACGCTCCAATTCTGCACGTGAACGGTGATGATGGCGACGCAGTGGCCTTTGTAGCGCGTGTCGCTATAGAATACCGTTGCAAATTCAAGAAGGATGTTATGTTGGATCTAGTTTGTTACCGTCGTCACGGTCACAGCGAGGAAGATGAGCCAATGTACACACAACCCTTTATGTATAAGAAAATCAAAAGCATGCCTACCGGTATTGTGAACTTTATTTACATTTATTTTGTTGTTGCAGTTTTGTATCCAGTTTAATAATTTTTTGATTGAGTTCGGAACTGTATATTTTTTATAAAACCTCAGGGGTTGCAGTATCTTATTTTTTATTTACTAGCTTTTGCTCGGGTCTCAGCCCGCGTGTCGTTTATCACGGTAAAGATTAGCCTATGTCTAAGATCAAGAATCAAACAACCTCCATACCAAATTTCATCTGGTTCAGCGGTTATTGATTCCCTGATATAAACTTCCATTTACCTTTTTCACAACTCTAAAGGATGATTTCTGTGATAAAAACTCGTATGTCCTTTCCGGTACTCAAAACTATCTCTATACCAAATTTCATCTAAATCGGTTAAGCAGTTTTTAAGCGTGAAGAGTAACAGACAGACACACTTTCGCATTTATAATATTAGTATGGATTAATTATCTTAATTTCAATTACAGTCGATGTCGTATATTCTAACAAGTTAAAAGCCGAAGGTGTGGCGTCTGATACGGATATCAAAGTGTGGCAGAAAGAGTACATGGATACATTAAATGAACACTTTGAACTCGCCAAAAAGGTTACCAAACTCAGCATCATGGATTGGATAGACACGCCCTGGACTGGATTCCTTGAGTCTGTGGATCCTAATGTGGTAAGATTCGTTTATTCTCACGCTAGTTTTGAGTAATTAATTAGTTATTTTAATTGTACTGTATTTAACCATGGGTGAGCCACGCTGTGGCACATAAACGACAACATGGAAGTACTTGACTAGCCTGTTGGTCTAGTGGTTAGTGACCCTGACTGCTATGCCAGAGGCGGGGGTTCGATTTCCAGACGTGACAAATAATTGTGTGATGAGCACGGTCATTTGTTTTGTGTCTGGGTGTACTTTATCTATAATATGTATGTATTTATAATTATATAAGTATGTTTATCAGCAGTTTGGTTACTATAGTACAGGCTCTGCCTTGTTTGGGATCAGACGGCGTGAGTGAGATGTATGAAAATATATACGTACTCAATTTGGCGTGACTCCAGCGGTGGTGGTTTTGTGTTTGCGGTAAAGGGATAAACACAGACTGGTCCCCCATATACTGACTGAAGATAACAAAAGTGGCCCCTCTCCTCCTCCCAGACCCATGTGTATACACTCTCTACAAAGTGATGTGATTACTGTATCTTTTAAAAATGTTAAAACAAGTAAGCCAGCAAATAAGCCCGCTCAAGTCAAACATTTGTGTGCATGAACATTTGAATTGGTCTGGGTGTTTCTATGTATAATATGTATGTATTTACAAAAAAAAGTATATAAGTATTTATATCAGTTGTCTACTACCCATAGTACAAGCTCTGCTTAGCTTGGGACTAGATGGTGTTGTGTTAATGTGGTAGAATATTATTATTATTAATACGTTAATAATATGATTCTGTTGTGATTGTGACAGATAAAAGAAACGGGCATATGTCAGACGACAATAAATACGATAGCCAACCACTTTGCTTCACCTCCAGAGAAATGGGCTTTCGAGCTTCACAAAGGCTTGGAGAGGATGTTGGCTGCCCGACAGAAAATGGTAAAACTTTGACATGTGATATATATGTATACTTGTATGAATTTACCCTACCACATACCAATAACACAAATACTCCACGCACGCGTTTTTCGAGACACTTTTTGCCCAGCACAACCAATCTGTGGAACGGGTTATCGTCTGCGGTATTTCCGAACCGATAACATCTTCAAACCTTCACCAAAAGAGCGTACTCCTTCCTAAAAGGCCGGCAACGCGTTTGTGACCCCTGAGTTTGCCGACGTTCCTAGGCGGCGATGGTCACTTTCCATCAGGTGACCCGTCTGCTAGTCTGCCCCCTCTAACATAAAAAAAAAAAACACATTGTATTCTCTAAGTACAATACTCTAACATACATAGTATTCTCTAAGTACAATATTGGTTAAATAAAATATTAGCGTCCCTCGTTCCTCGGGCTAATTCAAAATGTTAATAAAAAAATTGTCTTCGAGTTGATGTTTGAATTATTTTGACATTTACAACCGTTGAAGTGCCGCGGAGGTTAAACGATCTATTGTTAATTAAAATATACTGTAAATAACGTGCTTATACTGATAGTATAAAGCGGGTTTGTTTTTTTGTTTGTAACGCTTTCACGCCTAAACGAGTCCAATTTCACCAATGGAAAGCTACATTATCAGCGAGTAACATACGCTAATTTTAACCGCTATCACTGCTAGTATATAATAATATATAAATATAGGCGTACATACACATACAAACATATACCTACATTCATACATACACAATATAAATACATACAATAAAAATAAATAACCATTTAATCTGATTAGTCATGTACAGCTATTGAGATCAAAAAGTACATAGGATCTGGGTAGTGGTCTGGGTAGACCATATTCTAAAATGTTGTCAGTGTTGGGCGCGTCTAATTCATATCGGTAGGTCTCTTCATAATCTGACAGCCTGCACCATAAAGGAATGAATGAATTATAGAATTTAACAAACTAGTGAAACCAACGAATCAAACATCTAACAAACAAACAACAAAACTTTAAAAAAATAAACAACAAAAAAGTAAACTAACAAACAATAAACTAGGGACCGATCTTATCATCCCCAAAAGAAGGGATAAAGAGGCGTATTAAACACCCAGATTTTGCTGACTATAATTGCTGTCAACCGGGCACTAAATTGGGGAAAAAGGAAAGGTATTTTTCGGGATAAAGGGAAATTGCTTATGCGCACAGAATAGTTCTGTGCTTTACATAAGCACAGAACTGTTCTGTGCTGTTCTGATTTAATGGGGAATTAAAGCTCGGACATACCTGAATGGGTGTTGCTAGATAGTCCAAACCCCCTTCAATAAATTAATAATAAAAAAGCCATTTCTTTTTTTGATCCACAATTTTTTGTTCAAGTTCATGTGTTCTTGATTCATCGTCTGTTTCTATTATAGCTTCCCAACCCTCTATACCAATTTAAATATGTATTTTTTTAAAGTACCGAAAATCAATTTTTTTCCTTAGATGAAAGTATTTTATTAATGCAATCAAATATTTTCGTTAGGTGAAAGAAGGCATAGCTGATTGGCCGATGGGCGAAGCGCTAGCGTATGGCTCTCTTCTGAGAGATCAGATTCATATCAGGTTTACGGGTGAAGACGTCGAGAGAGGCACCATGGCGCACAGGTTTTTTACTATTTTAATTATTTATCTCAACTTTGGTAAGACGAAGGCATAATTGCACTTTCTGTAATTTTACAGAAGAGCCATTTAAAATTTATTTTTTTACAATGATGTGCTATAATTTTACTTGCAGAATTGCCTTTTGGTATATTAAGTTAAAGCAATGGCACGTCAAATGTATGTCGGCGAGGCAACTCGATGGCGAGTGGTAATCTGGACCTTGGAATGGTACAGAGCCCCCTCGTATCGGCAGAATTGACCCCAAGTAGACTGGGGCGGTGATATGAGGGTCGGGCTATTTTTTTTTTACCGAAGCCATGGTTAGACGGTTTAACTGATATGACCATGCGGCCATGTACAACTGTAGCTCAACTACATGGACAACTAACAAGGCCACTCTTGATAGAATGCCAAAAATGAATTAAATAAATCAATTCGCCTTTGCCAAAAATGGGTATAAACCATCGTTGGCAACTCGAGGCTGCCTATCATTCATGTTTGATGCAAGTTTTTGTCTGCCAGGCATCACGTCTATCACCACCAAGGCGTAGATGGCGCCACATACCGTGTGCTTGACACCGTGTATCCTGACCAAGCAATATACTCACTTCACAACAGTGCTCTGTCGGAATATGGTTAGTTAGTAATAAAACTGTCAATGGATGTTAAATCCCAAATTGCCCATAACTTAAAAGATATGTTTTTTTAAAAGTTAACTATTCATAGTAAATTCACTGCAATGAAAATATTTCGATACTCATTTGATGAAGTAGTTTAAGTTATAATTTAATTTCTTTTTTGAGTTGACAAGTTACACGTTATATTCGATATCAGGCAGATATTCAATTGCGAAGAGAGAGAAGTGTGACTATTGACAATAATATCGATAGAATAGACATAATAGATAGACGAAATAGTTTTTTTGGCGAACGATAGAAACTGTGCATTGCGTAAAGGCCGAATCAAAGTCCTTGCCAAATCGTATTCAGTTTTAGATCAAATCTGAGCTGAAAATTAGCCTTCCATATTTATAAATAAAATAAACAACTGAGGCTTATGTGTAGCTATTATGAGTACGTGAATTTGTCTTTGAATTTTAAGCTATAGAGAGAGAAAAATTGTCTCTGTCTAGCAAACATGTATACTAAAATGTTATTTAAAACGCAGGCACAGTTGGATTCGAAGTAGGCTACTCGTACGCAAGTCCGCACTTACTGACCATCTGGGAAGCTCAGTATGGTGATTTCGCTGATACTGGCCAACCTATATATGACACTTTCATCGCCAACGCCGAGAGCAAATGGATGTGTCAATCTGGCGTTGTCATACATCTGCCGCACGGCATAGATGGCGCTGTTAGTAAACACAATCTGACCTAAGTATTGTTATTTCAAAATTACCATGTTCTGTTTATCTTCCATTTATGTTGTTAACAAAACCGCTATGAAACAATCGTAATATTTCAGTATCGTCTAGAATACGATAGTAACGTGTGGCGCAATGGAAGCTTTTAAATGCTTCGTTTTATGGTTTAGGGCAGGGATGCCCATAGTGGTCGATATCGACCTCTTGGGGTCTAAATCGGTTTCCCAGGGGTTGACATAAACGAAAACTGATTTTGGGGGTCGACTTTAAAACTTCACTTTGGATCAGACGGCCATGTGTGAAAATTTATTATTATTTATTTTGAAGTTTAATTAGGATTTACTTTTACTGTTTTAGATTTTCCAGGTTTTGGCGAAAACTCTTCAGCTAAATTTATCCGCACTTGATGTACAAAATACTAACACAGTAAATATTACAAACGAGATTTGATATATTTTAGGGCCCTGAGCACTCGTCAGGTCGTGTAGAGAGATACCTCCAGCAATCGGATGATGACGAAGATGTCGTTCCTAATTTAGATGATAAATTGATGCCACGTAAGTCCATAAATTTTTATATAGACTGATGATTTTTTTTTGTTTACTTAAAATGCGGAAATTAAATTTTTAGTACCACACACTACCAACTAGATTTAGAAGGACACTTTTTTTTGGCATAGAGACGGTTTACTTTCCTCCCCTTCATCCACGTGGTCAAATTGTACCCCCGTTTGACCATTATGTTGTTGTTCTTAATATGATAAACAAAATAATAAAGTCAGTTTTATTAAGATTTTATTTTATCGTTAACATAGACATTTTATCGTTAACATCGTTTATGATCGTATACTCGTGATTGAGAACTTTAACGAATCACACACAAAAGCTTACACTCAACTGCTACTCCTCTAAACTTTTTATTTTTTTTTATTTCTTTTAGTGAAACAGCTCCGAACAGCAAATTGGATCGTCGCCAACGTGACTAATCCAGCGAACTACTTTCATCTGATACGGCGTCAGCTTGCGTTGCCGTTTCGCAAACCGCTCATACTGTTCACGCCCAAGATCGGCTTGAAGCACCCATACTACAGATCGAAATTTGCGGATTTCTTACCGGGAACAGCATTTAGGAGGTGAGAGAACCATCACAAATTTTGTACGTGTGGAAACCTCGGGCCTTTGCCCCTACCAGGGTTTGTCGGAGTAGAACTAACTAAAACCATACGGTGTGCTATACATGTATAGATAGTTCAACTCAGTTGTGCGCTCGGCCCTATGTGTGCGTGGGCTTGTAAATATACAACTTTCATTCGTGTGGCAGTGACGCGGCAGTCGTCGTCCGAGCAAGACGTATTCTTATCGCTTTCTCTTAAGGGTACAGTCGTTTACGAAAATGTCTAGTTCTTCACGGAGAAAATGTTTAAGGAGTCAGGTAAATATTCTTTAAATTTAGATGTAATTAATATTTATTATGATTCTATATACGAAAAAATATATCCTTGTTGACGTTTACGTTTTCGACTCGAGAAACCATTGCTAAGGTATACGAATTTCTGAAAATAGATGCGAGAGATATATTGGAACTAGTAAGTGATCCAGTTTGCAGTGCAAGTCCAATTTTAATATCGAAATTGAGTGATCATTTAAATAGCGTACGGAAAAGAACAGCCATGGCAGTGGGGGTATCAGAGAGAACAATTACTAATATATTTAAATCTCCGCATAAAGACCGTAAAAAACGATTAAAAAAGTTAGAATTAGACAACTTGACGTTGATGTTATACGTTCCACTATTCAAAATTACCATTTAGAACATCGCGAGTTACCTACCTTGCTAAAGTTGAAAAGAATATTTCAAGATAAAAACTTAACTATGATGGAAGTATTTCCACTCTGCGTACAGCTTTGTTAAAGTTGGGATACAAATGGGGAAAAACTGTGGATAACAAACGTGTTATTATAGAGCGGCATGACATACTAAAACTACGATTTTCCTACCTAAAAAATTTACTCAGATACCGTCAAGGAAATCGGTGTATCGTATATACAGATGAGAGCTACATCTTAACTAATCATGTGCAAAACAAAGGATGGGGTAATAAAGATGGACCACCTTTAAAGAGAAACCTGTCGAAAGGACAAAGAATTATCATTGTGCATGCTGGTTCAGAACAAGGTTTCGTACCTAACGCACTATTGACATACAAAAGCAAATAGTGTTTCTGGTGATTACCACTCTAACATGAACGCAGAAAACTATGAAAACTGGCTAAAAGAACGTCTAGTACCGAATCTTCCACCTAACTCTGTGGTTGTGCTTGATAATGCCTCATACCATAACGTTCAAAATGACAGAGCCCCAAATTATAATTCCAAAAAAATAGCAATGCAGAGATGGCTGACAGAAAAAAATAAAGCTTTTAATCAAGATATGAAAAAAATTGAACTGTATGATTTGATTAAAAAAATAAAGAAAAATATATCTGTTACAAGATTGACGACATACTTCAGCCATATGGCATTAAAATTCTTCAACTGCCACCATATCATCCTGAACTAAACCCCATAGAAAATGTGTGGGGAATTTTAAAGAATTATATTGCTTCGCATAATGTCGACCAAAATGTGACGGAAATAATGAAACTCATAAATGAACGTTTAAGTCAAATTGATGAAGGGATGTGGGGTAATACTTGTCGACATGTACAAAAGAAAAGAAGAATACTATAGACATGGAGTCAGAATTCATAATTAACCTTGGTGAGAGCAGCGAATCCGAAATTCATCAAGTAGCGATTCAGAATAATGTTCAATAAATAAACATTACATTACGAAATAACTCTTTTTTTTAAAACCCGTATGTAACACGTAAATAACTATATTTGTATTTGTACGACTGTACCTCTTGTCACGCACACAGTCACTGTATATGTACAAGGTTTACCCACACATAGGGCCGCGCGCACATCTGATTTGAACTATCTATACCTACCTCAAAGAGTGATGATCACTACACGTTTTATTAAGACATCCGGAACCCTCCTAGCGCGAACACCGTGATCGGGAAGTTGGCAAAGTACTACATCAACCTTTTACTAAACTCCAAATATAATACAATACACACATATATATACGCTCACGCCTCAAACCTGTCTGCGGTAAGCAAAGACACACAAATACTACATATTATTATATTATATTGTATACTACTTGTTTTACACGCACTAATTTAATGGCTTCTGGCATAAAGTGCGAGTTTTAAATATAGATGTTAATGCACTAGAGAACATATTTAGTAACAAAACTATTTTCAACAGGGTGATTCCAGAAGATGGACCTGCAAGTAAAAACCCCAAAGATGTCAAGAAACTGATATTCTGCTCTGGCAATGTAGCTATCAAAATTTCCGAAGTCGTTAAAGAGAAAAAACTTGAAAACCAGATCGCCATGTGTCGTATCGAGCAATTGTACCCCTTACCTTACGACCTGATACTCAAGGAGTTCTGCAAGTATGAACAAGCGAAACTGTGTTTCTGTCAAGAAGAACACAAGAATCAAGGCCCCTGGCCATTTTGTAGAAACAGGATAGAGAATTTGCTTGGGAAGAAAATTCAGTAAGTATCCAAAAGTTGCATCCAAATTTCGCGCGAGATTGTTCTCAAGTCTGCTATTCTTCTCGTTATGTTCGTAGCGTAACGTTAAGAAGCAGCCTTTTGCCCTATACCGAGTCTCGAAATAAGCCTTTTTTTCTTGTATTCAAATTTGTCATCTTTATTGAGTTATTACGCGAATTGTAAATAGTTTAAAACTATCCATAAAACATTCTGAATGGAACCAAACACGAAACTATACTGATTTCGAAGCGAATGGGCAGCTCACTCGTGTTAACTACATTAATATTATAAAAGAAGTAAATAAAAATATTAAATAGATTAGAATATTGAATAGAATTTAATGCTTAATTTCTAATTTATGCTATTTTTTTAAATTTCTGGTCTGTCTGGTTACAATAGCACAGGCTTTGCCTAGTTTGGGATCAGACGACCGTGTGTGAGATGTGTGAGGTATCATCATCATCATGAGGTATATTTATTATTGTTTTTTTACCACATCCGAAATAAATTAATTTTCTTTTCTTGATGCAGTTATATTGGAAGAGCCGCTAGTCCAGCCTCAGCGACTGGTATAAAATGGCTACACCAGAAAGAGTTAAAGGAACTTAAAGAGGCCATTGTAGCTTTGTGATCTTTTAAATTGTTTTGTAAAGTATAGTGCAAAATAAAAATTGTTAATGATGTTTCATTGTTTTGATTTTTCCTTTTTTCCACAAACCACAGAAAAATAATAATAATAATAATAATAAATTTCGGGTCTGTCTGGTTACAATAGCACAGGCTTTGCAAAAAGAAAAACAAATTAAATATTTGGATTTATCTCACGAGATCCTCGATATGTGGAATGTTGATTCAGTGATCATTGTTCCGATAGTCGTATCTGCTCACGGATTGATAGCCAAGAGCCTCGACCAACACCTTAAGAGGCTCACGTTGGACGGCTGGATCAAGGGTCTGATGCAGAAGGCAGTCCTTGACACGGCTCGTATAGTGAGGAGGTTCCTATCTTTGGAGTCTTAACCACCGGTGTCTTGGTCCCTGTACCCGATGTCGGTGGTCTACTATTTTTTATATTTTTAAATGTATTTTGTTATAATTTTTTATAAAGTGTATGTTTAAAAATGTAAATAATATGTATATAAAGTAAATAAAGAGAATAATAATAATCCACCCACCGGTGGGGTGGTTGTGTCGGATTCGAACCGCACTCCGTCTCCGTATCCGAGGAACCAGGTGTACCCTACTGTTCTCATCTCAATGCAAGGGCAATGCAGGGGCAATCCCCGATACCCCGACTTACCTCGGGTCATCTACAGCTCGGAACCCCCGATGTTCGCTTTCTGCGAAGCGCTGTCGCGCCACATCGGGTGGGACTGGCGCCACAGCGGCCAGTATAAAAAAAAACTTGTTTACTTTATATTCATTAAGAGGCAAACGAGCAAACGTGTCACCTGATGGAAAGCGACTAGCGCTGCCCATGAACGCCTGCAACTCGGTAGTCACAAGCGCGTAGCCAGCCTTTGAGGAAGGAGTACGCTCTTTTCTTGGTTTCTTTTCTTTTCTTGATTTATTAATCTATAAATTTATTGAAGTGAAACTTTAGAATCGTTGTGATTTGGAACTTGTTGAAACGGAAATGCGTCACAATAAAGAAACAAACACATTAATGTATAAGATCACATCATTTTTAATATAATATTTTGATAGTGTAAATATTTTTATTTAATACTAGTTGGTACCCGCGACTTCGTTTGTGTGGAATTTAAAAAAACGCTGTCTCAGTGGGTTCGATTCCCGGGCCGGGTAAAATTTTATGTTTTTCTGAGATAAAAAGCCTAAGTTACTCCTTATATAGAAAACTATCTGGTAGTAAAATATTATCAAAATCAGTCCAGCCGTTTAGAAGATTAGATTATAAGACTAGATTAGCCGTTTGGATAGACAGGCAGACAAAAAAAATTAAACTGGTTTTTAGCCATAATTACCTTGCAAGTAACCATGTGAGCATGAAAAAACCTATTATTTTGACATTATAAATTATTTGTTATTATTAAAAAAATTATTTATTTGCACAGAAAATATTTTTTCTAAACTTTCAATTCTGGGGAGTGTGAATTGCTCTTTTTATGTTATTTAATTTTGAATACAAGCAAATAAAACTTTACTCATATTGCTATTAAGAAATTGTAGGCGTCACAATTTGTTTTCTTGATATTCTCATGAATCACTCGTCGCAATATATTTTCAGCTCCGCCCGCTTGTAATTATCACCAAGGCGGAATCTGAGAATGAGATCTCTCCTCTCATGGGAATGACAACTCTCACACTAATAATATAGCTTATGTCAGCATGAAACGGACACAAAGATCATCCAGACTCGGAACAACAATTTGTTAATCACACAAAGTGTTGTCCCATGTGGGGGTCGAACTCACAACAAAGAGCAGTAGGAAGCGGCGAGGTGACCGCTTGAATCACTACGCCATCCGTCCAAGTTATCATGAAAAAAAATCTCTATTATTTTATTTGTCATGTTCTAGAATCTTTCGTATCCATATTTATATTAAAAATATGAAAGTCGGTTTGTTTGTTTTTTTGTTACGCTTTCAAACCTAAACCACTTCGAGAATACCATCCCAATCCTTCAACACCACATTAAAAAGTGATTCTTGCCCACACAAATATTTCACCTTTGAAATAGAAACTGACGATTACCAAAAAGCCTTAACCTTATTACTGAACAGAAATTTAAAAACATACATAGATATGCCAAAACTGTGTCAAAATAACTGCCACATGTTCTGTGTATCAAAGATTCGTATTATTTAGATAAGTTTTACATTTAAGTCTTTGAGAATGGACCGACAGACTCAATCAATGCCAAATTTGGCCAGCGAACGACACTCTGACCAAGCAGACTTTACGAAACTGATTAGTCAATCGCCCTCATCGATCATGAAACTAAACAACTTACCTACCGTAAAACTACAAAAATTTGCGCCGTTTGTGAGTGTTTGTATTATTGCAGACTCGAATTGTCGCTTCTAATGAGTGTAAGATCTCAGAACTGAGTCAGAATCTATTAAACTACGATAAATAAGCATCTCATCTCATCGTTCCCTTTAATGATCAGGTTTTACATCCAAACCCAGAGAGCAATAGTACAAAAATAATTCTCCCCACTTAAAGATATAAGTTAACTAATCAAGAGCATAAAAACTAGGATTAAATTTTAAACAATAATAATAATAATATAAACATATAAAACTAACATAAACTTACGTATACAATTACAATAAATACACACACTCGTTCGCACACTGTAAATACTAGAATATAAGGAGGTATACTGTTGATTAAGGTAATTCCATTTCCAGAAGGTAATTATGTACATTCTTTTTAAATGTAAAAACGGTTTTTGGACATCCTGATTTCGAGTGGGAGCGCATTCCAGAGCATTACTTTCACAAAGAACGAGAAGTTCACTTCAATTACAACGAATATCCTGTTTACCATGTTTTCTTTTCGGGTAGAGTCTTCGGTGGATCCACGGCTACAACCAGAAGGTTGGTGTTATAAACCTGAACAAAAATGGCAGTACAGTCGCTTTTTATGCAGCAGCTAACTGCGCCGTACTGTACAACTGGACCAGACATCAAATGCGAATGCTGCAAGGCCATGTAAGATATATTTTAGAAAATTCTAACGTAAGGTAATTACCCTTTTTTGTATGTGTGGAAAACCCCTCGCACCGGCTCATTGAGGGATCCAGGAACAGCTGCTATTAAGACATCTGAACAAATAACTTAGTTATTGTAGCTCAAGCGACGTGATGTTTTTCTTAAGTGTAAATACTAAAAAACGCCATGGACCAGTCGTCTAATCAATCTGCTAAATATCTTATACAATTTTTTTTTTTTCAGAAACACACAGTAACATGCATCGCCATAGATGGCAGCGGTAACTGGCTGGTGACAGCCGACTCTGGTCCAGAGAACATCCTCATCATATGGGACTATAAGGATTTATTTCCTCAGAAGACCCTGTTCTCCCCCCACGGAGCGAGCAACATCGCGAAGATAGCGATGAGCAGTGATGCCAAATATCTGTTGACTATGGCATACATGGATGACAAGATTTCTCTTCACTGGTGGATATGGAGTTTTGCACAAGTTACCCCTCATGGTGTGCACAAAAACAAGTCAGATTTTCTATCACATTCTATCCCCTGAACAACACCTTGTTCTTTTGTGTCTTCTTGAATTAGAACTGTCCCATTCTGTTCCAACATCCATTATCTTTTTAAGATTTTGTATATCCCTGCATCACAAGAGACACATATTCTTGCCACCCTTTAAGTCCTTCCTCAGTATTAGAAGGAGGAAGGGTTTGGTCTGCAGTAGTCTCACTCACTCGGTGAAAACCAACCAAAGAACTCTTAACATCGGTTTTCTGTGAGGCCATAGAGGCTGCTGCCTGCCCCTTTCTTTTGTGCTAATAACTTAAATCAAAATACGGAAAATTTTAAAATTATTCAATAATCAAACTGGAAAATATGATCCTAAAATAATATAAGTGCATTGATCAAAAAAGGTCATTTTAGCAAAATTACAAGAGATTATTGGAGACTATTAATTTCATATCAGTTTTACGGTCTACTTTTTCTCATCCAGACAGATCATATCAGACTAGATATCTTACTCGTACACACTGCAACTACTTTCAGTTTAATAATAATAATAATATCTTTATTTGCATTAAGTTGTACAATAAACCACTTACAGTTAAAACTAAATAGGATGACAATATTACACGGTAAGCAGTATATTGTGACACTGATACCCAAAGTAAGATTTAACTTGTGTTATGGGTATCAGGTCTCTCACATTTGGAATACATTCAGTTAATCAATCAATCAGATGTAGCGTGGTTACAATTGACAGACACTATGTCTATTACATGCAACAATTAAAAAAGAACATGCGTGTGTGAGAGTGAGTGTAATGCGTGTGCTAGTGTGAGTATGCATGTGTGTGTGTGTGTGTGTGCGCGTTATTCCCGTTCGTGTAAATAGTTTTTGATGTTATAGCCTAAAGGGTTGATAGGATTATTAGGTTCTCTGTCTCTGTATAAGTCAATGTGTAAAGCCACTCATAGACTTTCACCTTGCATCTATATTTGGTGAGGTGGTAGATATTATTTACTTTATTGTATAGAAAGTTGCCAAGAATGTGGAAATGACGCCGAGCAGCAGCAGTATTTGATTTGTGGGATGGGACATATGGGACAACAGTTTAACAATCTGGTAGTTTTTTTTTTAATGCAAGATGGAAAGTGGCTACAGCCTATGAACACCTGCAAGTCAGGAGTCACAAACGCGTTGCCGGCCTTTTAGGAAGGAGTATGCTCTTTTCTTGAAGGTTACGAAAGATTTGAGGATTCTTCTAGGAAATAATTAACGTGACATTGGTGTTATCACCTACCTGTTAGTTATTTTTGAAATTCATTAGGTGTATTGTACTGTTGAGTTAACTTTCAGCCACGATAGAAATCGCCATGACTCAAGATGCTGTGTTACGAATCGGATTCAACCCATTTTTAACCAAGCAATTCATAATTTTGACTAAATCTGATATATGGATCGGAATATCTAGGGTAAGTTCTTTAATAATCTAATTTCAAGAGTGGGTGCCTATGTAAGCCAAATGTAATGGCATATATCTAATATAAACTAATGGTTAGTCAACTCCTTTGATAGACCGCTAAATACCTACAAGACCGCCTCGATTAAAAACGTGCAAGGGTTTTTAAAAAAAATGATGACGATCGTAGTTAGCCAGGTAAAAAGTACTAAAGTGAGTTCATGAATTAATAAAAATATTGCGTGTGATCTTGTGGTGCACCAAACGCGTGCGACTGCGGCTGGCGAAGCCGGCTGGTACTAATGCAGACGTCGCGGGCATGAGGCGGACTCCGATCTACTTCATACCGCACTCCGCCTGTGCGTTGCCACCCTTTCAGTCCCTCCCCCAGAATCTGACTGCACGGATGGCGTAGTGGTTTAAGCGTGAGATCCATAAATTGTTGTTCTGAGTCTGGGTGTTCTTTGTGTCCATTTCATGTATGTTTGTAAAGTCCCCCGCGACACAGGATATATTCCTAATGTGGGAGTTGTCTTTTTACGAAGAAGAAGTAGAATCGTAGGAGGGGGAATGCTTTTAGTCGAGCTGTGCCTAGAAATAAAAAAAAAATACATACAGTGGAACATAGAACCTCCTCCTTTTTTGAAGTCGGTTAAAACACCTTGTAAGATTTGCAATTATCTCTTCAACCTATCCTCCTATTGTTAGATTTGTCAAGATGAAACATAGCTTCTTCTTTGTGCCATTTTGCTAGACTTGACTTTACAGCACCGATGAATTCGGTAAATTCTGTGAATTTGCTTGTCTACAAATTTATGTGAGGTACACAATGCAAACGAAATACCAGGTCAGATTTGGAATACTTGGAATACTTTGGAATACTTACTTAATAATGAATTGTTAATTACTCGTTTCTTCAGTCATATTTATATTTTTATTTATTCATACTTCCTGCAAATCCATTGCATAAGGCGGACTTAATGCCATAGGCATTTTCTTCCAATCAACCTTGGGGTGATGCAGAGATTTGTGTGCGGCAGATTTTGAAGCGATAATATTTTCCAAATATTATCGCTTCAAAAACACTTCACGCTATTGATTTAATTTCGTATACTTATCAATAAAGTGTTTCGTACTACTGACCAGGTATTTCGTTTGCCGCATCTACTTACCTAGAAATATTCAAAATCCAATTTCTTTATTCCTAGGCTTCTTTCACTAGTAATTTTGTTATGAGAATAGTCAAGAATAAATTCTGAAGTGTTTTAGGCCTTTTTGATATTTAAACGCTACCATTTCACTTCAAATAAAATGATGTATGGGGACCTGCCATTGTATTTGGAAATTTATTTATTTAGTCTTTAAGAACCTATAAAATAAATAAAGAAATATAAATAATTTATGCCTTAATTGTGTATTGTTCTCAATTTTAGAAAATAGTAGTTGACGAAAGGGGTGTTTTGAGGGAGACAGACAATTACGAATTGAAGGTAGTTAAGCCCGAAAAAAAGATAAATCCAGAACATGGTAACCTAACTTGTTACACGTTCGTGGAGGACACATGCCAGATACTGGTGGCTACAAACCGTGGCGCTATCCTCGTATTTGGGTACGAAATTGAATATAACGTGAACGTTAAAGTGTCCCCAGCCGACTACGAAAATTTAAGGTTCATCAAAGTGGTGAAGGTAGAGAAGAAGAAGATAAACGTCATAAAAAGTATAGATAAGTTAGTATTTTTTTTCTCTGCTTGTTCTTTTCAAGTGTTGTACTGATTTCGGAACAATTAGCCCTGTGGTGTAACCCTACGATACTCAATAAAATTGGTTTCACTTGTTATTTCACAAACGCATTCTTAATTTAAAAGAGCTTAGAATGTCTATGGTTACGAATGAAAAAAAAAAGGAATTTAGTAGGGTTTGATTAAAGTAGCACAAGGCATGAATTTGTGTTTCCTTTCTTTAGTAATGTTAGTTATGTTATTATTTGTTAGCAATCCATAAAAATAAAATAAAACAGTCAGAAATCCAGAAACTTAAGGCTATTAAACGGTTCTTTAAGCGCCTTTTATTGGGTTTTTATTGAGAGCTATAACGGTGTCCTATTCAAATCCATTTTTTCATCCATCCAATTTTATGCACCTATGTTTAGTTTCTTATTTCAGTGAAGGGTACCTATTCAAACTGTATTTTATTTGATGTCCCAAGATTTTTGACCATCTTTATTAAGACAAGTTTTCACGTATTCCAGGGTTGTAATAACCGGTAACAACGTTGGACAAATGCACTTTTACGACGACCAACTAAAGCTGTTATACTGGATCCACAAATTTCCAGTGGATTGCATCAAGACACTAAGCTTTAACTTGTCACCCAGAAGCTACAAGATATTTGACACAAAATGTTAGCTCCAGCATTTTCTGATGTAGAATAGTTTGTGTGGTGCCAACCGCGCGGAACACACTAATATACTACTACTTAACATAATGTTCAGTGCCTGCATAAAATATAAGCTATACAAAACAAAAGCTATACGAATAACATTCGTAGTTTTTTGAAAAAGAAACGACAACATGTTTTGTTTTTGAAGTGAAAACTTCTTTAGGCGCGATGCGCGAACAACAAACAAAAGAATGTATTTTATGGTTAAAAAAAAACACATTTTTTTTGAGATTGGAAAAAACCAATAAACTCTCGACACTGTTGCCGTTACCGTTGCCGACACCTCTGTCAAGTGTTAAACTTCTTTAGGAGCGTTGGGCATTTTTTGAGATGGGGAAAAAACTATTGAACTCGCGACACGTTTGCCTTTACCGTTACTGACACCTCTGTATATAAGTTTTCAATTGTGTCGGCACTCCCGGAGTGCCACTGTTTTTCTTTTCATGGTATTCTTAGAAAGGAAGCGAGCAGACGAGTTACGGGTAATGGTAAGTGACTACCGTCACTCATGAACACCTGCAACTCAATGTAGACATATACAGAGGTGTGGGTAACGGTAACAGTGTCGCGAGTTCAATGGCTTTTGTTTGTTGTTGTTGTGAATGAGTTTGTTGTTAAAAATGCCCAACGCGCCTTAACAAGTTTTAACTTCAAAAACTGTGATTAGATGTAAATTGAACGCGATACGGTGGCGAATGAACGGGCCCTAAGGCCGTAGTATCTAATAATATTATAAAGGTAAAATCACACATAATCAATGAGAAAAGTTTGTCTGACAAGATTTTAGTGACCGTCTGTACTTCCGTTTTTTGAATGATGCACCGCTTTATCGCTATTTAAAACACTACGAATAACGCAGGTAAAAAACCTTGTATCTGTTGGGAGAAAGTGAAGACGGAGGTGGATCCTGAGACGGGATTGATGAGGCAGAAACTCCTAAAGATGAAAATCCCATATGATGCAACCACGAGTGGCAAGCCTTTTCTTGTCAGGGACTTCATCATAAGTAAGAATACTCAATTTATTATTGAATCGAAACGAGCAGACGAGTAACCTGATGGTAAGTGACTACCGCCACACATGGACACCAGCAACTGAAGAATTACAAGCCGACCTTTGAGCTTTCTGCTAATCTGAGCGGACACAAATCCAATAAATTAAAGACCACGAAAATTGTTCTAGTCGCTTTTGAGTTAAAAAATTTAAACGGTGTAACTAACCCGACTTTGTTTTATATACATACTAGCTGACCCGGCGAACTCTGTTCCGCCTTAAAGGCAATAAATAAGCCGATTTTCGAATTTATTAAGTTCATTTTTTTCTTAGAAAAAAAAACGAAGTACAACTGTTGTCGACAACGAAATCCATTCTTTTCACTTTTGTTGTGCCAGTTCCACCGTTGTCATCTGGTGATCGACGCCGGTACAAAAAAAAACGGAATAAATACTATCCTATGTCCGTCTCCTGGCTCTAAGCTACCTCCTCACCAATTTTCAGCCATATCGGTAAAGCCGTTCTTGAGTTATAAATAGTGTAACTAACACAACTTTCTTTTATATATATAGATTTATTAAGATATCATAATGTTTTAAATATCGAGCATTTTACTTTTGCATTCTTCAATTTGCAGGTACAGTGAACAGTGGAGTCGGTTTCGTAGATTTTGTGACAGAGAAAGTGAATGTCATTATAAAGAATAGAGCAGCACCTGTTATAACCCTTAGTGTACACCCCGAAAAGTGAGTCCCTACTATGAATTTATGAATAATGTTTTTTTTTCTTGGCCGATTGCAACTGACTGACCCATGGACACTTGCAACTCATTCAAAAGTCATTGTCAAGGTGTGCCCAGATCTGGCGAATGCGCCGCTTGCGAAATTCTCTCGTTCATTTCATGTTCATACGGAGGCTGTAACCGCACATGAAGAACAGGCGCGCAGGGCGCGAGCGGCTCGCGAGCGATGCATTCTCGGCACATTCGCCATATCTGAACGCACCTTAACAATGTTTCAATGTAACAAATAAGCTCAACACCAGTTTTCCGAAAGCAGGGATAGGTATTGACGGATATACATAACGTATCTTATCTTATAAAAATAAATTCTTATTTATCACACCAAGTCTTACAAGACAAACACACATTCTCTTAGATAAATGATTTCATACGCCGTTGTTGTGAAAAACCAGCAGACCATACAACGATTGTTCCTGTGAAATTTTGTGTAATAATTTAATACAAAATCTTCAACGTACTATACTGTACTTAATGAATTAAATCATCACACATGTTCTCCGTGCGTATTAGATTCGTGGTACGTACCTACCTATTGCAGAAGAATTCGCAAGTTATCATTACTTTTCGAAGGTTTTCGTCGCTTCTTTTCATTTCTAAAGCATAGTTTTACAGCTTCTTCGTAGCCTCTTATACCTAAACTGAACTTAGAACCGTATTCAAACACAGGTCAGTTGGTGATGTTTTAGCGTTAATCAAACATCTAGGTATAGTATAATATGCCAAACTAAAAACTATTTAAATTAATTTTTAATGAAGACACAATACGTACCTGTTTTAATTATTACAGGTCTCTCGTGTGCTTGGGATTCGCAGACGGTATTTTAGAACTATATAACTTTGTACAACACAAAACATTAGTTAAGCTTGACCTAAGAAATTATTTTACAATCGTGATCCCTCCTAGAGACGATTCCATCAACTGTAACTACGAAAGCATCGTGCCGAAGCTTTCTGGGACCTGTATCCGGTATTCACCTTCAGGTTGATTTTTTAACATTATTATTTAACATTGTCATTAATATTTTACGTTGACTGAGTTCTGTTGGCGGGCGTCCACTTCTGCCTTTATCTTCAAGGCTAGTTTTCCTCCTTTTAAATTTGTTAAACCATCTAATTCATTATAGTATCCTCCATTATAGTAAACGAAAAAGCGGGAAATGATGACAGTATACTTCTATTTTTTTTTTCATTGCCGCGAATGGCCTTTTCTGTTCGATTTTCATTTTAATAACATATAACACAGACTCGTCCCATTTTCAAATTTCAAGCATCTCAAAACTTATGTAGTGACCTACGTAGGCCAAAACCTCCTTTCTAAGGAGAGGCCTATGTCCAGCAGCGTAGACTAGTTAAGGCTGTGGATAATGATGGCATTGTCATCTTTTTACTAACGTTCTCGTAAGAACACGAACAATATTGAGCAATTTGATAAGGTATTAGAAATGGGATATTTGCCTATGTTCAGTTTCGGGAATTAGTTGCTGAAATTTCAGTACCAAGATTATTTTCAGTACCAGTACCAGAACCAGACAGATCTTTGGAGAAGACTCAAAGCTTGGTTCTGTACAGAAATTCCTTAAAATTAGTTCAGTTTTTTAGGAAATAAAAACATACCAGATAGATATACTTTCGCATATATGATAGTAGTATAGACATAACAAATGAAGGATAGATAAATAGTTAGATTAAAAAAACCCTTTATTTTTTACAACAATCGATGACTCACTTTGATAAGCAGAAGTATACAATGTGTCTGGGTTCGGACTGTACAAACTTTAGGGGGTGATAGTTTGCTCTATTTTATCACTAAAATCATTCTACAGGTGGGGTCTAAACTCAACGGCCTCTGAATGGCAGCCATTTTTGTATTTTGGTTGACTTTTTCGTAGCGTCCATACTAAAAGTTATGTAACTTTGGAGTTTAATGTCCGATTATCGTAAAACAAAAACTTCCCATAACGGAAAAGTATTAGCAATCAGATAAATAACTCAAATAATTTTAATAATTGCTGTATCATATTAAAATGAATGCTAAAAGATCAACTTTACGTCAAAATTAACATTGTTTTTTAGTATTTTAAGGCTATTACAAAAAAATACCCCTGTGAACTATCTCTTATTATGCACGTGTCTCACAGATGGGAAGCTTACCTAAAAAATGATACCAAAAACTCGATTCTATGACAATTGGTTTAAAAAATATTGTTGTTGGAACATAGGCTTGTGCATGTAGTGAATTCATAACGATTTGGTTTTTCTTTAGATATTTACAGTGATTAGCAAAGATAAACAAAATAACAAGTATTGATTATGTAATAACAAATGTACATTTACAATAATTGTTCAAAATGTCCCCCACCACTTTGAAGGCACGCAGTAGCCCGAATCGCTACCTGCTGTGTTGACCGTCTCAACTGGTTCGGATTATCTTTAATTTCGGCAGTAGCAACGCGAATACGCTCCAGCAACTCTTTTCTGGTGTTGACTGGCTCAAAATAAACTTTCTGTTTCATCCAACCCCAGAGATAAAAGTCCAGTGGCGTTAAGTATGGTGAACGCGGTGGCCAGGCTACAGGACCGCCGCGGCCAATCCACTGTGGATGATATTGGTCTAGGTGTGCCCTTACCGCTCGGGCAAAGTGTGGAGGAGCTCCATCTAACTGAAGCCACATGCGTCGCCGATATGACAATGGTAATTCTAACAACGCTTCAGAAAATTAATTGGTCAGAAACTCTAAAAATCTTGGGCCATTTAAATTTCTTGGGAGTACGATGGGGCCAATCAATTGATCATCGATCATAGCTGCCCCCACATTAACAGAAAATTCATGCTGAAATGTTGATGTTCTAACAGCATGTGGATTTTCAGCCATCCACAAGTGTATATTGCGGTGCTCATTCATATCTTACGCACGGAAGGGCTGCGTTCGAGCAACAATATCTCTTACACCAGTTGTCATAGAATCGAGTTTTTGGTATCATTATTTAGGTCAGCTTACCATCTCTGAGACACGTGCATAATAAGAGATAGTTCACAGGGGTACTTTTTGTAATAGCCTTGAAATACTAAAAAACAATGTTAATTTTGACGTAAAGTTGATCTTTTAGCATTCATTTTAATATGATACAGCAATTATTAAAATTATTTGAGTTATTTATCTGATTGCTAATACTTTTCCGTTATGGGAAGTTTTTGTTTTACGATAATCGGACATTAAACTCCAAAGTAACATAACTTTTAGTATGGACGCTACGAAAAAGTCAACCAAAATACAAAAATGGCTGCCATTCAGAGGCCGTTGGATTTAGACCCAACCTGTAGAATGATTTTAGTGATAAAATAGAGCAAACTATCGCCCCCTAAAGTTTGTACAGTCCGAACCCAGACACATTGTATAAAGTATAAGTAGATTTATGTACAAAGCCAACGTTTAATCAATTTATACAAAGTATCAAATGCCACTTACCAGACATTATAATCTCATCTTGTCTTTGTCGATTTTTCAATAAGTAATGTTGTTAAAAAACCATATTTTTAGGTTTACACTTAGCTTGTGGACTGAACACAGGAGAACTGATATTCTTGGACCCCATTGCACTAGATATTAAAACACCAAAATCGTTTAAAGACACGAGTTATAATATTAACAAAATCAGCTTCAGTCCGGACTCGCTTACTATGGCTACTGCTGTGAGTAAAATGCAATACATACCAGTAGCCATTCTTTTTAATATGATGATATCTTATGTGCCCTTAGGAGACAAAGCATAGTGCTCCGACAGCAAAAAAATAACATTTAGTAATTGACTTTTTTTATGGTATAAGGGGACAAACGGGTCACCCCATGGCAAGCAATTTCCGCCGCCCATGGACACCCGCAACTCAAAAGTCACAAGTGCGTTGCCGCCCTTGGAGTCTCTCCCGCTCGTGTCAGCAGGTTTGGGCTCCGGTAGCCTCACTCACTCAGTGAAAGGCAACGAAAGAATTGCTTATCACCGGTTTTCTGTGAGGCCGTGGTATCACTCCGGTCGAGCCGGCCCATTCGTGCCTAAGCATGGGTCTCCCACAGTTAAAAGCTAAATTGCTTATGTTAGGAGTGGTTTTGTAGGAGTAGAATTTGAACCCAAGACCTCTTGATCGCAAGTCCAACGCCTTAACCACTAATCTACCGCCTCTTCAATACTCTCTAATAATATTCTGAATATCATTGCAGGATGTTGGCAAAACCATTTGTGTTTACAAGTATGACTGTACGACCTTCAAGTGGACTTTTATAGGGAAGCATCGGGCTCATTACAAAGAAATAACAGTTTTGCTCTTCCTACCTGAGAAGAATGCGGACGGGAACTACAAGCTCTTGTCACTGGGCAAAGACAGGATGATGGTAGAGTACGATATAGGAGCAAGTAAAGATGAATATTTGCAGATATTGAGTTTGGACAGGGTGGAGCAGTCTGCGATCCCCCTAGCGGGTATAGTGTGGCCTACACCTGATGATCTCAACCCTGACATATACAGGACTAAACTACCTTTAATACTTGTGGCTGGTAATGAGGTACTTCATTTTTTTATATTATTATAGAACCAAATTAAGGGTCATCTATAAATTACGTCACGTCAAGAGGGCTCGACGAAGTCTGACAAGGGATGGGAGGGGTTTTAAGATTCGTGACGTCACATTTCAAAATTAAAATACTCGGTTTTAAGTATTCAAACCCGAAATTTGAATTATTAACGGTAGTATAATGGATCGTTTTCAAATGTTTGATTTAATGTTATAATGTACATACTCGGATATATAATTTAAATGGCAATAAAATTAATTTATGAACTGCTTTTTTAATTTAATAATGTCTATATATGAAATTGCTAAATATGTTACTTTACACTAGGAAGAGAAGGAATCTCATCTATGTGACTAGCTGTGACAAGGACGGAAGTGGGGGGCCATGAAATTCATGTGACGTAATTTATGGATGCCCCTTAGTAATTATAAGCATCGATCTTTGTTTCTGATGTTTTTAAAAGTATCATCGACTTCAAAGCGTCCGCATCATCATGAGTTGTAATAAACTGTATTCTTCGTCAATTAATGTTCACCTTTAAGAGTTGCAAATTTGAATCGGGTTAAACGGGAAGTATAATATATTTACCCTTTCAAATAAGGAGTTATCCAAATCAGTTCACAATAAATAGCAAAGTTTTGAATTAAGAAACAAAAATAATATAGCCGAATTTAGAATTCGTTTAAAAATTACAAACGCTTTAGGTAAAACTTCCGGACGAAAGTAAACTAGTTTCTGGTCCTTTAATTGATTTGTTATATACGCTGATTTAGCAAATTTATATTCAACAGTTCAAATATAAGATAGTGAACTACGAGTCGACAATGACATTGGCAACGGTTCTTGGACCTCGATACGAGACCCCCGTGTGCAAGATGTTCCTTGTGCACAAAAAGGAACCTAATGAAGAGTTGCAGTACTTGGTGTTCGTCACTAAAGATATCATTGGACTGCAGAAGTTACCACTCGATGGCAACCCTTGGAAACACGTTGGTATGCTGGGACATCCAGTAAGGGTAGGTCAATATTAATTAAAGCCTTTTATCATTCGTGGCCATTACAATTCTTGGCTCTATTTTAACAAAAAGACAACTGCCGCAATAAGAATATTTCCTGTGACGCGGGGGACTTCACAGACATCCATCACAAAGAACATCCAGACTCAGAACAACAATAATTTGTGGATCACACAAAGTATTGTCCCATGTGGAGATCGAGACCACAACACTCAGCGCAGTAGGAAGCGCCGAGTGGCCCCTTAAACCACTACGCCATCCGTGCATATTGCTATCATTAATGTAATTCTTGACGTTAAAAATATATTTTTGATATCTTCAATTTAAGTGATCCGAATTTCTTAGGTGTCCTCTAAATACAGCCTCTATTTTATGAACTTAAAGTTCACAAAATAGAGGCTGCATTTTCACTTAAAAGTTACCTATACTGCGGTAAACGTATTCGCAGCACATAAGCTTAATTTAGCTATACGAGTTAACGAGAATGCTAAGAGAAAAACAGGTCATTGGAAAAAGGCTGAATTCAATTTAATTAAGACTGAGATGAGTGGAATCGTATTGCAATAATTACGAGGGGTGATCAATAAGTAATGATAATCAATATGAAACAGAACTATTAGATTAAAAAAAGTATTTTATTTTTCAACATAGTCTCCTTGCAAGTTAATACATTTAGTGTATCTTTTTTCTAAGCCCATGATTCCCTTAGAAAAAAATTCTTTGTCTTGACCCTCCCAAAATGCCTCTACTGCGGCCATCACCTTCACTATTGTCCTCAAATTTGTTGCCCCGGAGGTGTTCTTTGAGCCGAGGAAAGAGGTAGAAGTCACTGGGAGCTAGATCTGGCGAATAGGGAGGGTGTTCGAGCAGTTCGAACCCCGTTTCTTCAATGGCAGCCATCGCAACTGCGGCTTTGTGAGCCGGGGCGTTGTCTTGGTGAAACAGCACTCCAGCGCGCAGTTTACCGCGTCTTTTTGACTTAATAGCTTCTCGCAATCTTCTTATTTGGCCTGCGTAGTAAGAGCCTGTTATAGTGGCCCCCTTTTCCAAATATTCCACCATAATAATTCCTTCTGCATCCCAGAAAACAGACGCCATAACCTTTCCCGCTGAACTTGACACTTTGAATTTCTTCGGCGTTGGTGAGGAAGCTCGTTTCCAAGTCATTGATTGTTGTTTGGTTTCGGGATCAAAGTGGTGGATCCAGGTCTCGTCCATGGTCACAAAACGCGACAAAAAAAAAATCTTTACCGGCCTGGAACTTTTGAAGATTCACCCTCGAAATGTCGACTCGTTTCTTTTTTTGCTCGTCGGTTAACATTCTCGGTACCCAACGCGCAGAGACCTTTTTCATATGCATTTTGTTGACAATGATTTTTTGAACGCTGCCATAGGAGATCCCTGTGACCTCAGCTACATGCCTTACGGTCACCCTTCGATCGGCCAACACGATATCTTCCACTTTTTTGACGTTTTCTCCCGTAAGGGACGTGGAAGGGCGTCCCTCGCGATGTTCATCTTCAGTGGAGGTTCTGCCCAGCTTAAATTCCTTTGCCCAGCGTGCGACTGTGGAATATGGAGGAGCAGACTCCCCCAATGTTTCCTCTAAGTCGCTGTGTATGTCTTTGGTAGACATTTTTTTCAGGCAGAGGTACTTGATGACAGCTCTTATTTCATTTTTCTCCATTTTGATGTTTTCTCTTCGACAGTTCGTATTCAAATGAATGTATCTCCCGGTAATGGTGTCCTATTTATACATTTTTTTGAAGCTGAAGTAGTGGATATATAAGCAAGCAGAAAAAATATAATTTGGGTTTTTGTGCGTTCTAGAAATACTCGATTATCATTACTTATTGATCACCCCTCGTATGTTAGTTTTCTCAAAAGTGTTCTTATCCTGCAGATTTCTTTGTGTCAATTTTTCTCCCGTTTTCTGAATTGGGTAGGATATTCAGAGCAGTTCACATGGAGTCAATGATAGGCGTTAAATTTTTTAATTAAGCTATATGCCAAAATACAAAAATGTCATACCATGACGCCAAGCTTGAATCTTCTGTATGATAAGCTTTAAAACCTTGAAGAGACTAAGACAACTATAACCTTCAATTGCTGGCATTATATTTAAAACTATATTTTTATGTACGTTAGCTGTCGAACTATATTTGCTTTTACTTTTACTGCTTTTCAGATATTGGACATGGATTTTCGAGAAGACATTGGAACTTTATTTACCATCGGTGAAAAAGACACCACTATGATGCAATGGACTGCTAATTACAGGTTACTAGGCTTATTACAACTCCATTATTACAAATGGTGTGGTAACCAGAATGCTTTTCTTTAACAATCGACGCTTGCGAAGCGAAAATCGAATATTCTAGGATCCTCGAGGCTCTCTGGGTGGTCAAAACATCCAGATGATAGTTTTGTGGATACCACCTAATCTAACTCTTTTGCAGATCAGTGGAAGGATCAACCAAAAATGGAGGCGGTGACTTGGATCCTTATTACTGTCTTGTAGAAGATTCTCGGCCCGGTTGGCTCTTCCAGGAGATAAGAGACCTGTTCTACTACATACAGATTCTTTGCCAGGGTACTTTTTCGCCAGCTATGAGACGTGTCAAGGATTACATACCGATAGACTCGTTGCCTGATTTGATGAGAGCCTTAGGATTTTTCCCATCGGAGTATGAGGTATTTGTGATGCCTTTAACATAGAATACGTTAAACGAGGAACTCTGCAAGGCACAGTTCTTAGGTTACATGTCACTGTTTGTTTTAAATATATATAAATAAAAAATTATTGTTTAATTAATTCAAAAAAGCATGTGCAATTGTGAAAATTACAGAAGTTCATACTTTCCAGAAGGTTCCAAAATGTTTTAGAAGTTTACAGAGGGATGTCGAGTAAGTCCGGTTTTAAGATTCCTACACGAACTTTCTGGAACTTTCTATGTGTAAGACCGGTACTATAAAAGAGCCATTTATTGTGGACACATACTAGTTTCTGGGATACAGCGAGTACAAATTCAATTTCAAGATAATCTGATGTCTTGTTGGTGAAAACTAGTTGCATAGAGAGATAGATAACAGACCAATCGGATGTACAGCATAAAAAATTATTGTTGTACAGGTAGAAAACCTTTTGGTAGAAGCGAAATATAAGGTATACCGGCGGGAGCCACTGAAGGAAATAGATTTTGATGAGTTCGTGAAACTTTTTCTGAATCATCGGCCAGTCTTCGGCGAAAACTTCAAACGTATCAGAGGCGCGTTCAGGAACTTTGCGACCATTGATAAAAACAACTATTCGATGTCAAGAGATGCGTTTATTGAAATGCTTACTACGACTGGTAAGAAATATGTTCATATAAATTAATTAAAATGTCTATTCGTAACGTCAAAATAACTTAAGCATGCAATTTAAAAGACGTTTTGTTCTGCTGATCTCCAAAAAGCCTGAACCGATTTCCATGAGACTCACTATTTAGCAGATTGCTGATGTTATAACTTAGGTTAATCTTATACCAGAAAAACAATTAGGTAGTATTCAATCTCATCGAGCTGCGGTAATTAAAATATAAATATGTATTGGTCCTTGTACACTGCATTATACACATACCCAAAAAATAGCTTTTTTTGGGATAATGCCAATGTGTTAATCCAGGGTGTCAGCTACCTGCATACCAAATTTTATCAAAATTGGTCTCACCGTTCGAGTGTGAAAAAGTAACAAACATACAATTACCGTGATATGAAATATTATACACATTTTTTTTAATAATTTTGCAGTGATTTTGGTCAATCATTAATGTTTATACGTGCACATTACAGGTGAACGTTTCTCTTCTGAGTTGGCCTGGTACCTGCTATCTATACTAAGTGGGCACAGTTTTGAAGACAGAGCTGTTATGCCCGAAGAGGATTTCTGGTTTTTACCAGAGGTAAATAATGAACGTCTATGGCTCCTGGCAACATTTTACTTAATGATAAAAGGGGGTAAACGGCGTGCGTTCCCATAAAGGGACCATACTTTAATTTTGAGCTTTTGAATGCCTTTGGTAAAAGTTGTTAAACAATTGTAAATTCAGCCTCCAGTTTGCAAAAGTAGCCACTTAAAAGTTTCAAATGGTCAAATGACGATGGTAGAGCCAGACCAATCCAAGTATCGTTTTTTTCAAATTAGCGTTTTTGTCATAAAGGCTCAAAATAAAAACTATTCTTTTATACCTGGAAAATTGTAAATCTCTCACTGTAGAATGAACGGCTGTCTGACTGCCACGTCTTGCCATTCTTGGATCATTTTGGTGATCCAAGTGATGATTTATGTGTAAAACTTTATTTGGTGTTACTATTAATTAAAAATATGGAAGGAAACATTGCTATAAGTTCAATTCAACATGTTAGGCAAGATTTTAATTAATATTTAATAGTAATGATGCATTCGTTTTTTCACAAGTACAAACACGTATCTCTAGTTTTCTTAAAAAGACAAAATTGTGACTTAGATCAGTCTGGTTCTACCATCGTCAAATGTGGTCCCATTCATATCTCACAACCTAGTTAAAAATGACTACTCTTAGTAAAAGATTTGTTAAACTAATTTATTAAATATCAACTTTTCCAGTTCACTGTATAAAAGAACAAGCACGCAGAAGGTGAAATTCCGAAATCCATTGTTTTCTCCACTTAAGGTGAACTTATGGTGATTCGCTGAGGGACCACCTTCCGTATGCTAGTTCTTTTTGTTTTTTCTGTCAGCCACGACTGAGGGACCATCTTTGTAATAAAAATAATAATATTGTACCACATTCAAATGTAGTCAAAAGCTTTAAATTCAAATGTGGTCCCTCAATGGGAACGGAGACGGGTAAACGAGCAGACCTGGGCTAACCTGGTGATGACTATCCCAGAATAAGGTGGGTGGAAAGTGTGACCTCATTCAAAACTGTAATCTCTGAACTCGTATTAATGTCTTAGAGTGAATATGCGTACCTATATACTTTGATTAATAACTGATATTTGTTGCTATGTAAATTACTAAGTTATAACATCGTATTACAGGACTTAACATTCTCTTACTTAGTGAACGAAATAATTGGCATGCAGGAAATAGAGAATGTGTCGGAAGGCATGTCTAATATTGAATCGTCTGCGACATCTTTGCTCTCAGTGCAAACATTGGATTCTGAATCGGACTAGCGGGTCCAAATAAATTAAATAACAATTTTTATTTAATCTTTATTGTATCTTATCATAATATATTACATTAAATTAACATTTACAATAATTTGTCACATTATTTTATAAAATTTCGATACCAATAGATAACATTATTGCTCATCTATTGCTTTTAGCCACGTTTGTACTTAAGTCTTTTAGCTCAATTGTAAACTTTCCCAAAGAGGAAGAAAAACTAAGTTAACAGCCATTTTGAATAAAAAAACATGGGATTATAAAAACTAACATCTGAAGTTAAATTTTTAAAGTACAGTACTATAACTCAAACTCAAAATGTCAATGCGCGTAAACTGAACCCTTGTGAACGTTTAATCTAGATTTGGACTTATGTATATTTTTTTATTTCTAATGTTTAAACAAACGATACTGTTAGAGAAATAGGTACAATAACTGTCTTCCCCCATACTCCTTCTTACCTTACCATGTACTTAAAATACCCAATTTTTAAGATTCATCGTATTAGAATAAAAAAAACATATATCATTGAAATCCGTTATCATAATCGCAATTGATTATAAACGAACCGCTCAACCGCTTTTGACCGCCAAGTACGTCTATCCACGTCAAATGGAAACGTACTTACTAAGCCAACGACGGCAATACACGTCGAAAATAGGACTCTTTTATAGTACAAAATGTAATTATGATGATACTATTAGATGTATTTATTACTTTCAATAGCTCACAACGATATATAGCAATTAGATCTGTAATCGGAAAAGTCAATGTAAAAACATTGTTCAAAATATATCATTAGGCGTACATGGATTAGGATCAAAGAGTTCTTAAATGTTTTATGAAAAACAAATTACTACTTTTTATAAATACAAAGCAAAATAATTAATCTACCATATCAGAGGCCGAAGTCATAGGTAAATATGTGCAAATCGATAATTTTGGGATTACTCTCACGCGTCCCTATCAACGGAATACCTTTTACAGATTGACTCATCACGCTATGACGTCGATCTAAATTTGCATTACTTTACTAACTTTTAATAAAAATGCTCCTACTGAACGCTGTTACTTCTGTGTTATAATTACTAAGCTTCGAAAGTGAGGTGAAATATGGCGGAAATTTAATAAAATTTCAATGGTATGAGCATTTTCTTTATTCGTAAACCTTGCACAAGTAAAATAAATGCATGATTTATCGATGGAATTTGTTGCTTGGCATAGATAATGGTTTTTCGTTAGTTTCGGGGCGGTCAGATCTTTTGACACCGATTACAGAGTGAATAATTTTATATATCAATTTTTACTTTTGACAGTAATAAATACGAATGATAAGAATAAGAAACACTAAAAACATGTTTTTAATATATTTGTTTTGTATTATAAAAGAATCCTATTATCAACGTGCATTGCCGTCGTTGGCGATTGAGTCTTAACCTGCGGGGTACAGGGGCGCGGAGGTAGGACGACGAATGGGACCGGGAGAGGTGCGAGCGAAAGGCGCATTCTTGTTTCTTCCGCCCCCCAGCTCTCCCAGTCCCCGTTCTCATGCTATCTCTGTTTATCTATAGTTGCTTATGAACTATCTTGCAGCCATTTGAGTGTTTATTGAGTCTGTATATGGCTAACTGACAATTTCATGATACTCAGGACTACTAGGAGTAGTATTTGGTTGTATTACTTGTGGGCAAATGAATCTAAAAATTAAATGGTTACTGTATATGTATATAGTGCTATACTGTATATAGTACTGTACTGTCTATTATAGTACTGTGTTGTATAGTTATTTTGTTCATATTATTAGTCATATTGTAAGTACGAGTATACCAGAAAAATTGCGCAAACGGAAGGTTGTTTTCGTACAGATATGTCCGCACCAGTGCGTTTTTATATTCATCTTGCGTCTTCACCTTTCAATTCGTTTTGCATATGTCGCATACAAGTTATCGTCTATCCTTAAGTCTCGGCTATCCATGCGATATATGCAAGAAGAAATCGCAAGGCAAGGATAATCTCGATAATCCTACAAACAATAATTTCTCTAGAAGAGTAACTAAGCCTAAAAATGGTTGCACGAAATAGAACCCGCGTCGGGCGGGGCGTAAAATATGGACCAGCGCGGCGCATCAGTACATCGTGACACTCGTGTTGAGGAGGGGCTGTATCACAGGAAGTTCCGATGGTGCTTTTGCGCTATTTGATTTTGCAAACTTGCAGTCAAGTGTCGTGAAGTAGAGTAGCCATTTAGATATGAAAACACTGGCATCACCTTTCATAAGTAAATATACACTTTCCAGAGTCGTTAAGTATGGGGTAGCAACCCCATACTTAAGGACTCTGGAAAGTTGTATGCAACATGTAAGTATTTTTTTTGTTCTATGAAGTATCCGTCTCATACTGCTCTCATAAAATATATTTGTTTTAAAGGATGATATTATGCAAAAGTATAATATATTTAATCACCACAGATTCCCAACAAATAAAATCCAGCGTGGAAAAATGGCCGCGAGTTCCTTTGCATTTTAGGGCAAAAAAAGAATCTTTATTAAATAGTAGACAACAAAACTAATTATTTTTAATGGTATATAATTTTCAGTCTCAGTTAGGTGTTAGTTCATTATGATTAATTTTTAAAATCGTTCAACCGCTCATGATATTCACGACGATTCAGGGCTGTACCCTAGTTAGTTGGTATTAGGTTCAGTATGCGGCATACTGTATGCCTTACGTCAAAGATTTTGATGCATATACAGTACACAGTATATATTTGCAAAATGATGTTTCTTAAGCACAATATGCATTTAAATTCTAAGAATAGTGCTATACACTCGACAAAAACTAGACAAAAATTTATTTTGTCTAGTTTTAGTTGGAACATATTATTGACTACAGAAGGTTCATGACTAATAAAAACTTGTTTGCCTACCCACACAATTTATTTATTTTCCTTGTAGTACATATTTTTATATATATTTATATGGGTAACACTAACTTATAGGCTGATGACTGACATATTTAAGTCCTTTAATTCAATAAAAAATAAAAAAATGAATTACGAAACGTTTATTTTAGCGTTATACCATCCATGTGAGTTGCACGGTGCAACAGACGCATGCAACAGTGCATGCAAGACGTGACCTTGATGCAACCAAAAGTTTTGCCTATGAGCGAGTGTATGTTTCGTTGTACTCGCTGTTAGATGGAACCGAAATCAAAGCGACAATTATAGGAGAGTTACTGTTTTAGAGAAATTATTATTCCTAGTAATCGGACTAGTTTGACAACAGCGCTTTTGCGCTGTAAATTAGGCGCTAATTGTAGAGTCTATGGTTTATCAGGCATTCGTCAGAGTAAGACGCAAGTTGAACATAGCGCACTGGCGTTTACATTATTTATGATTCACGACAGCGCAAGATACCATTCTACTTTTAAGTAACACAATGGAATCATCATAACCAAATATCTTGAGTTTTTTATTGGTTAACTAATCGGTGCTGTTAGACTAAATCTGAACTCCATAAGAATCTTAATTTTGGAAATTGAAAATTTGCAAACAAACACGCAATGATTAACTTATAAGACCTTTTTTATTTTCTATTCTAAAATTAATTAAGTCACATTTTATGAAACTGCATCAATATTTACAATAAGAAGCTGACAAGCACTTGAGCAGGCAAATAAAAATTTGTTAGTTTCAAATAAAATTAAATAACTCTTGACCTTGCTCAGGTATATAACAGTGACATAGCAGAGACAATATAAAATACTTGGATAGAGTGACCATGTTGTTTGGAACTTAGAGTAATATTGCGCTAGTTGTCAAACTTGACTGCCTAAACAAAAATAAACCTTTTTGTTTTTGCTTTCAAATGTATTCTCATCACTTATAATTATCATCAATTCGCATTAAGAAAATAGTGACACATCAATCAGGGCGCCCAAGGAATTATCCAAGGTTCAGGAAATTAAGGTGCCAAGATATTTTCATTCTCTATGAAAGTTTGGAACCTGATTGGTCACAGTGCAGCCTTGATGGATGCCACACTATTTTCTTAATTCAAATGGACTATATATATATTCAAGATTAGATTTTCTTAAATAATGTGATAGAAATGCAAAATATCTTTATGAAATTGCGACCTGCACAGTTATTGAATGATGCAACCTGTGCTTAGTAAGTTATTGCGTGACTGCAACTTATGAAGACCACTCCCGTAAGAAGTAAGAAAGTAGCATAGTGACTTGCTCATCTGTCTATTAACTGCTACTACTAAATCACTGACTACAATATTCTAAACTTAATTAACTGTACAAAATATATAAAGAACACTTGCATTGGCAACAATAAGTTAATTACTAAGTTGAACTCACACATGAAATCAATTCACAGCACATACCACAACTTCAAAATATCTGTTCCAAAGACAATCAAACAGTCTTTTATTTAGGCTTGTTCCAAAAAGGTATTATTGTCTCAACAAGTCTCAGTCAGTTTTTAACCGTTTAGCAGGTGTAGTAGTGCCACTACTCTGTGAATTTGAGTCTTCAGAGAAGTTCATAGGTGTTGAAGTAAACTCTGTTGGGCCCTGGGAGTCGCTTACTGTTGAGAAACCTGAAAAAGTATTTAGATATTATGTTTTATAAATTTAGATATTTTGCATTTGTCATTTATTGTTCTTGAACTTAAAATAAAAATAGCTGTGTTGATTAAATAATAAATTTAAAGCACATGAACCAAAATTTAAAAACTGCACAATTGGAATCTAGCAGAAGCTGAATAAATACACACACTTTTAATTTTAGTAATGGATTTTTAATCTGATGATTTTGATTTATTTCTCTTAATGGATTTTTGATCTTAATCACTCATACATTAAGGTGATAATCTAATAAGACTTTAATCAACAGCATACTACATTTTTCATTATCTAGAGGTAATTTACACAAAACAATCAGATTTAGTTTCAATTTTTGAATTAGAATGTTTTAAACAGATAAACCACTACTGGTGTTTTTGAAACTTTAGTAATTTTTTTTTTTACAAAAAGTACACTAAATAATTAGCAACATAGAAGTTCAAAAAGTTTTAACCCTGACCTAGTTACCCCGAAAATCTTTAGTGGTCCACATCTTATCGTATAAACTTAAAGGCGCGAGCGGGCACGTTTGAACTTCGTCTGAGAAATCATTTCTTATTGACTTCATACTTACATGTGTTCGAATCTTCGGCCATGCCAAAGTTAGAGTTCGAAGATTCGTGCACCTTCTTCGGCGTCAACGCGTTCTCCTTATTCTCACGTTTAGCGGCATGTTTCTTTTTCTGCTCATTTGTAGATATAGGCACCCATTTATAAATTTTCATTGTCGTTTCACCTATTGTCACCCATTTTTTCTCCCTGAATACAGTTACATTATTATTTAAAATACACAGAAAAATAAAAAATATTCGCTGCAATATTTTTCTTACCAATGGCGAACTTTTTCCACAGCTTGCATGACTCTTTTGATGTCATCTTTAACACGATTTCTGGTTTCTGCGCGCACGGAACGAGACATTTTAGATGTTAAAATATACTAAAAGGTAAACTTGCTCAGTTTAGTCCTTTTAAAGATGTAAAAATATTTATTTGTACTCGAGTATTTTTTAAACTTGTCCACACACGAGCGGCGTTTTCTCCATCCCATCACCCATTCTAACTCCATTATCCGCCATTGACGGACTTTGACAATTTAGGGCATATCAAAACGCGATTTCTTTTTAAGTTTAAAAGTAGTTTTTTTTTTATTATTTTAAATAATCTCATGGAGTTAACTCAAGTTCTAAAAATCTAGTAGCATACTAATGTGAGTCTTTGACCCTTCGATAAAATGAACTTTTACAAGACTTACTTTACATTAGAAATGGCAATAACAGTGTTACAATAATTAAACGCAACTCAATTTTTTTCATGTCAAATTGCGTTTTAATTGTGTTTTTTTCTGTCACAAATCAATCAAGGAAAGTAGTATAGTTATTAAAAGTGAGTTAAATCACTCGGTCACGAACTAAAAATATTATGTACTTTAAATGTATTTTTTTTTCTTTTTACATCTTGTAATATTAACTGGTAGTTTTGTAAATTCAAGAAATCTCATTGAAAACCATTTCTATAGCATAAATTAAACGAATCTGCTTGCATAACCAAGTGCTTAATTTCATTGGTTGTGAACTGGCACTGACGTTCTTTGACCAATAGAAACACGATAAAAATAAACTGAAATACAGAACAGAATCATTTTGAGTGTTAAATTAGTACTAATCGAAAATTGAAAACAAGGAAAAAAAATCTGTGAAAAATTTGTTGGTATCTGCCGAAATTAAATAACGAGTAAAATGTCTAGGATGATGCTTTAAAGCTTATGTAAGTCAAATTAATTCATTTTGTTGCATCTATTGCTAATATTTTCTCGATGGTCCCAGAGATATTTATCACGAAACAATTTTTGACTTATATTTAGCGGCTGTCAGTTGTTTTACGTCTCATCGTGTAGTCTTCACTCTTCACGATGTTTTATTTCTAATGTTATCCCGATTCTTTTTACCTATTTACACGCTGCTTAGACATCAGGGATGTGCTTCGATTTCGATGATGCAACGAGATGATGATGATAAGGTGCAATTTATGTGCATTTTATGCTTTATACATTGTTGTTTCGCTTTTATTGCATTTCTTCGTGGTTACGTCTTTAAAGATATGTGTTTCTGTTACACTTGACGTCTTGCTATCATAACCTCAATGTAGTTCAGTAGTTAGCTCCTAAAAATATTTTTGCAGTGTTACTTATTTGTTGCACAGTTGTATGAGTGATAATGTTTCAGTATGTTTAAAGTTTTGCATGCTAATGTTTAAAAACTCAAAACAAACTAATGTTTCAATACATACACTAATAATTCACTGTTATTTGTTGTGTCTTCAGTAATCATACTGTTATAGTCTTGCCAAATCATGGGTGTAGTTGCTCTACTTAAAAAAAAGGGCTGAAACCCCTCCCACATGGCTGACTGATCTCAAAGTAGGAAGGACCTGTCTAGTATGGGCTCTGCCTAGTTTGTTAACCAAATTGTTTATAAACATACTTATACATAAGTAAATGCATACATAGATACATTATCCAAAGATGGAATGATTGAAGCAAAATGAACCAGATCATGACAATCACTTGGCCTAGGTGGTTTTCAACTTCCATCTCTCATCCAATCTCAGAAGTCAGGATAAAGGTTCTCTGAGAATATTAAAGTTCCTTTGAAGTTTATTGAAAATATGCTTTCAATCAGGGGCCCAAGTGTGAGTTTATTTTACATCCACTCAATCATCACGGTGACTGTGGTCAGTGCTGTGATTGGCCTGCACTGAAATCTTCACCATTCTCAACACTGAACACACTCACTGTTAAGAGCAGGTTGAGCCATCTAGAGTGATAAGGATCTTGAAAAACATTTTATTTGAATATATCATTATTTGCTTGCTTCTTAAAAAAAACCACATACCACCGTTTTTTTTTCTTTGCACATGTTTATGCCTTGTTTATTTTGTTGCAGTTTTACCGTGCATGTATTGTTGTAACTGTAGAAGTAACACAGTGACTATATTGTTGGCTTGTCCGGCATAAGGTCCACCTAACGACAACAGTGAATCTTTCCTTCCCGTATGGCTGCATATGTTAACCGTACAATATCAATGATGGCTGGCGACGGGCCCCACAACGTTGCGATGCTGAACAATGGTGCGGTCCGTGTGAACATGTCCAACGTGGACTCACCTCTGCAGATATTTGTGAGGGCAAAGAAGAAGATAAATGACATATTTGTTGAAATTGATGATTATGTCAAGGATGCTGTCACTTTTATGCATGGTAAGATATTGTTTTTGTTTTAATGTTTGCTTGATAACCCAACGCTATGAAGTTCATTAGTGTTTGTGATGATATGAACAAGTTATTGTGAACATAAATTGGGAAACATAAAACTCTCAAGCCTGTACACTAGTAATAAGCAGATGCATAATAAAATTCCACATTTTGCCAATAATAATTTTAGCCATAGGGTACAAGCCTGTAGTGCTCGGCTAGGTTAGCCTACACTAACAACGTTCGGGTATCGAACCCGCGTGAAAGCACTAAGTAAGCGAGCGATAGTAAGTAGGAAGAATGAATGAAGGTTTAAAAGCAGAATGAATAATATTATTATTAAGGAAGAAATGAAATTATATTAGCAAAGTAAATACAGGAGAATTTAGCACATACGAAATAAGCACAGGTATATGAATAACATATGTTAGCGCGACGCGTATAAGCTCCAAGCAAGTCGAAAGCGTTATGTGGTGGTGGCGCGCCGACATCGGTGCGCGGGCGCATTGGCGCCAGCCGTCTGCAGTAAACATCGTATGTTTCTTGGTTGTGGTCTAAGTGGCATGAGCGGAGCGATTCCGCTCATCCAGTGACGGTGTCGGAATAAGCTTCCGCCACATATTCCCCCCGGCCAGACCGTGACTACGGGCGATAAAAAACTGGTAAACGGACTCTTCTGCCACTGGAAGTCCGCTTGATGTCCTCCTGAGCTGGTTGTGCTGGAACTTGGGCTTCCTTCGCCATATAGGCAGGCTTCAGCCTGTCAATAGATATATTGGCCGTCTTGCCGTTTACATCCACAGTAAAATATTTAGGTTGCCGGTTGACAACCTTGTAGGGGCCAGTATATGGTGGTTCCAGCGCTCGTCTCACGCGATCTTGACGCACGAAAACATGCGATGAAGTGTTAAGGTCGCGTGGGATGTAGAAGGATGTTGTTGAGTGCCAGGATGTGTGACGGGGAGATAGCTTCGCCATGTACGCGCGAAGACGAGTCGCGTACTGGGTGACGTCAGCAACCTTGTAGTCGTCGTCTGGGCACAGGAACTGACCGGGTAGGCGAAGGGGCTCACCATAAACCAGTTCGGCAGATGAAGATTGGAGGTCTTCCTTAAAGGCACTTCGCATGCCCAGAAGTACCAGTGGAAGCGCTTCGGTCCACTGTGAAGCAGGAGCGTGACACATAATCGCCGCCTTGAGTTGGCGATGAAGACGTTCGACCAAACCATTGGCCGCAGGATGGTAGGCAGTGGTGCGGAAGTGGCTCGCGCCAACCAATGCGGTGAGGGCCCGGAAGAGTTGGCAGTCGAATTGGCGACCACGGTCTGTGGTCACCCGCTCAGGACAACCAAATCTGGCGATCCAGCCATACACGAGGGCTGCAGCGCACGTCTCGGCAGTGATATCTCGTAGGGGATATGCCTCAGGCCATCGTGTGAATCTGTCGATGACGGTGAGGCAGTACCTGTAATCATTGGACAGAGTTAGGGGCCCTACGATGTCGAGGTGTATGTGAGAGAACCTAGAGGACGGGGGAAGGAAAGAGGAAGGTGGAGAGGTGGTGTGACGGGATATTTTAGTTTCTTGGCATTTCAAACATTGCCTAGCCCACTCTCTACTGTCTCTACGAATCCCTGGCCAAACAAATTTTTGTGTCACCAGTCGCACAGTAGCAGAACCTCCTGGATGGTGTAAGTTGTGTAGCGATTCGAAGACTTGTTTGCGGAATTCGGGTGTTACATATGGTCGAAGTGTAGGTAGTGTAGTATCACATAAAATAAATTTACTGCTGGAGTCTAGCTTAATTTTTTGTAGCCTCAGGGCAGTACCATTTTTAAGCAGCTCTTGCAGCTCTGGATCGTGTTCCTGAGATCGTGCAAGAGACTGAAAATCAATGGCGGTTGTAACCTCTTCAACACGCGACAGAGCATCAGCGACGACATTCTCCCGTCCAGGTATAAATCTTATGTCTGTCGTGAATTGAGCGATAAAGTCAAGGTAGCGGTACTGCCTAGGTGAACATTTTTCTCGGTTTAACGAGAAAGCAAACGTGAGAGGCTTGTGGTCAGTGAATACCGTAAAGTTTCTTGCTTCCACCATATGCCGAAAGTACTTAATGGCCTCGTACACTGCAAGTAACTCTCGGTCGTACGGGCTGTATTTCTTCTGTGAAGTACTTAGCTTGTGAGAGAAGAATCCCAAGGGTTGCCAGTGTTTGTCCTTGCGTTGTTGCAGCACTGCGCCGGTGGAAAGATCGCTTGCATCAGTAACAATGGCAAGTTCAGCGGTGGAATCTGGATGCGACAGTAGTGTGGCCTGTGACAAGGATGTCTTACACTCTTCGAAGGCCTTCTGCATCTCCGGAGTTAGAGTGATAGGTTGCGAACCTTTGACGTGCGGGCCAGCTAAGATGTTAGTGAGCGGTGCTTGGATCTTTGCAGCGTTAGGAATGAACCTACGGTAAAAATTGAGCATACCGAGGAAACGCTGAAGTTCCTTGATGGTCTTCGGTGGTGTATAGTTCTGGATAGCCTCAACCTTTGTCTCCAAAGGCTTGGTACCAGCTGCTGAAACTTGGTAGCCGAGGAAAGTTATCTCCGACTGACCAAGTTTGCACTTCGAAGTGTTGACCAAGATCCCATATTGTCTAAGGCGTTCAAACAGCTGACGTAGGTGGTGCTGGTGGTCTCCTGGTGTCTCCGAGAAGACCAGGATGTCATCTAGGTACCCATAGCAGAAATCCAGGCCAAGAAGGACTTCATCGATGAACCTTTGGAAGGTCTGTGCAGCATTCCTTAAACCAAAGGTCATGTACTGAAATTCGTACATTCCGAAGGGTGTTGTGATGGCTGTCTTGGGTACGTCTGCTGGATTAACCAATATTTGGTTGTACGCTTTCACCAGGTCGATGGTGGAGAAGATGGAGCATCCTGAGAGCTGGTAAGCGAAGTCACTTATGTGCCGGATCGGATACCGATCGGGAATGGTCCTGGCGTTAAGTGCACGGTAGTCGCCGCATGGTCTCCATCCGTCGTCCTTCTTCTTCACCAGGTGTAGAGCGGAAGACCATGGACTCTCTGAGCGTCGAGCTACACCAGAAGCAAGCATGTCCTCAAACTCTTTTTTCGCTGCTTGAAAGCGAATTGGGTCAAGACGTCGAGGTTTGCTGGCAACTGGTGGACCAGGAGTAGTCCTTATGAAGTGCAGAGTATTGTGCTTGGGTGGAGAATGTACTCCAGCTGGTCTAGTGATCTCAGGAAACTCGCGCAGTAAAGAATGGAATTTAGACTCACCAGATACGGCCTTGACGGAAGCGATGTCATCTGAAGTTCCTAACGAAGTAGCTGCTACCGACAGTGTTGTAGTGCCATCAACCAAACGCTGGTTTCTACAGTCCACTAGAAGGTTGTAGTGGCTCAGGAAGTCTACGCCAATAATTGGCTTCGACACGTCTGCAATGGTGAAGTTCCACGTGAAGTCTCGCCTAAGTCCCAAATTGAGGTGCAATTGTGTAGGTCCATAAGTGTGTATGATAGTGTTATTAGCTGCCACGAGATCATATTTGGACTTACTGCAGGGCGTCTTGGTAGAAGATCGCGGAAAAACACACAGGTCGGAACCAGTGTCCACAAGGAACTGCATTTTTGTGACGCGATCAGTTACAAACAGACGGCCTGTTACTAAGGGGCAGTCGTGGGCCGCTACTTCCGACTGCCCTTGGAGTTTTCCGAGTTGAAGGTGCATGGTTGCCTACACTTGGAGGCTTTGGCACCATAGGTGTAATGGTAGAAGCAGTGGGGATGACCTTCTGGCGGTTGCCTCGGTCGGGAACGGCTGCGTGAGCGATGTGATCGTCTATGAGAGGAACGAGGTCTAGTCCGTGAGCGTTCTGCGCGTTCGAGTCTGCTAGTAAGCATAGCCACTTGCCTGGTCAGTTCTGCGATCTGCTGAGTCATGTCGTTGGTTGATGTAGATGGCGCTGAAGAGGTTGTACTAGCTACCTGTGGTGAAGACGGTGCGATCTCATAGACCTTGTCCGCTATTTCGCCTAGCTTGTCACCGTCGAGGTCCATCTGTGTAGCTATGACAGTCTGGATGTTCTGCGGTAACCTGCTAGACCAGAGAGTTAGTAAAAAATTAGAGGGCACGGATGGACCAGCCAGACTAGATAAATGCCTCAGAAACTGGGAGGGCTTCCTGTCCCCTAACTCCTCATGCATTAATAGTTGCTTAACCCGCTTTTCTTGAGAAGCTGACAATCGCTTAATGAGCTCAGATTTAAGCTTTTCATACTTATTTTTGTCAGGTGGGTTTGTGATGATATCCTTCACTTCAGCAGCATAGCGGTGGTCTAACTGAGCAACCAAATAACAAAACCTGGTATCGTCTGTTGTTATTCCGGACAGCTTAAACTGGCTTTCTACCTGTGCGAACCACAGCCCGGGTTCTTCTGGCCAAAATGGCGGTATTCTGACGCCTACTCTGAGGACACCAGGAGTTACAGCCTCGGTATATTCGTCTGACTCAGACATATTAAAATAATGTAAGATCACTCACCACTTGGACCATACACCAACCTTCCGTTATCACGTAAACAACACAATATGCTTACGACTTCGATTCCTCTTCGTTGCTTGAGTTCCACCGAGACACAGGTCTTCTTCCAGGTTATTCGCTCAGGCACGGCTGACACGACGACCGAAACGCAGAATCGCGGTATACTGTGATCGCGGTGATCACGTCGGGGTCACCAATGTAGTGCTCGGCTAGGTTAGCCTACACTAACAACGTTCGGGTATCGAACCCGCGTGAAAGCACTAAGTAAGCGAGCGATAGTAAGTAGGAAGAATGAATGAAGGTTTAAAAGCAGAATGAATAATATTATTATTAAGGAAGAAATGAAATTATATTAGCAAAGTAAATACAGGAGAATTTAGCACATACGAAATAAGCACAGGTATATGAATAACATATGTTAGCGCGACGCGTATAAGCTCCAAGCAAGTCGAAAGCGTTATGTGGTGGTGGCGCGCCGACATCGGTGCGCGGGCGCATTGGCGCCAGCCGTCTGCAGTAAACATCGTATGTTTCTTGGTTGTGGTCTAAGTGGCATGAGCGGAGCGATTCCGCTCATCCAGTGACGGTGTCGGAATAAGCTTCCGCCACAAGCCCATTGTGGTCACTCAGGAAGGGAAAATTTAAAATATTTTAAAACGGAATATGACAAGACAATGGTAGAAAAGAGATATTGCTTGTATGGTTGAATTGGGGAATGGAAGCAATAGCTCAGGTATGTCAGGGTCCCATTGTTGCAACTCAAATCGGCTTGTGCCGGGAAGCCCTCTAAACTAAACAACTGGAGTACCAAAACAAATCAAACCAGATGATCCATGTTGCCATGATCTTATAATACTACCATCATCATTAATACTTCAGTTATGGCCATTTTGAGGATTAGATAATTTCTACACACCATTTTTTTATTTATCTGCGTGGTGATGGAACAAGAATACGGAATGTCACCTCCCCTATTCATCCCATGGGTGGCATAAGAGCCGACTAAAGGTACAAACTATGCAGGACACCAGCACTGCAAAGAGAAGGAAAACTTGACACAAACCCTATCTGGCCAGCGTGGTATAGTAGGCCAAAACCTTCTTTCCAAGGAGATGCCTATGTCCAGCAGTGGACTATTATAGGCTGTTGATGATGATGGTCTAACTATCTATATATATTTGTACTTCCATATGGACCTTTTAAATCAGACTATTTTCCAATTGTTTTTAACCTCCTATTTACAAATAATTGTAATTTAACTGTGGTCTAGTAGGCAAAAAGCTTTAGCTATTTGCACAACACCAATGAATGCTATGTTTTACTGAAGTGACTTACGAACAACTTACCTTGTTTTAAAGGTGGATTATTTGAAATGAATGGAGTGTCTAGTCTGACATTTACCCATGCCTTGGTTTACTATCCATTTATATTTTCTAGGTTTATTAGGATATATATTCTTCCACTCTGTTGCCTGGTTTTTACTAATTAACTAAGTAATTAAAACAGTATTAGCGAAACTTGCATTTGTATTATAGAAATGCACTAAAACTAGACTGCTATGTGAATGTCTTTGAATTTGTTTTGTTCTGTATGACTGAAGTAAGTATAGTCTTCTTTGGTGGGTCGCGTTATGAACTAGCATAGCTTTAGTTAGAAGCCTATTTGGTGATGGCAGGCTTTTCTATGTTATTTCTTGCAATAGGGTTGTAAATTTATTTATGTACCTCTTTATGACCTTTCACTAGGTCTTCAGGTTCATTTAATCTCTGTTGTTCTAGTGTCTCGTTTTGTTTTAGTTGGATATCAATCGCACACTATGTTGAAGTTTTGAAAATGCACTGTAACAAGGCCAGCTTAATAAAAATGTTTGAGATAATTCTTGTGATAATGCTAAGAAAAAGTGGACTGCTTCGGTGGTGCAGTGGTAACATATTTGATTGCAATGCTGAGGTCTTGGGTTCGATTCCCGAGTCGGACCAAATGTTTGTATGATCTTCAAAAATTGGTTTTGGAGTTGGGGTGTTTTCTATGTATGTTTTAAAAAAATAAAAGGTATTTTAATAGTCATTCTAGCTTTCATAATACAAGCTCTGCTTAGTTTGAAATTAGATGGTGTCGTGCGTCAATATCTGAAAATAATAAATAAATAAAATAAAGTGTAAAATACAAAGACATTTCGGACCTGCCCTACTGTTACTGTCAAGCTCCACTTTTCCCATATTTGCCTCACAGTGTCATAAGAGAGGATTGTTGGTTCCAATTCTTATCAGTACTTAGTAACATTATCTATAATGCTTCGTGATCACATCACATAACATGTAGCAATATTAATGGTGTGTTTGCTGAGAGGTCATTATCATTTACTTCATTAAGCCAATGTCGAATGGTTTATATGCCATACCATATTTAACTTCTAGATACTCTATTAGTTACTTTATCACACGGTCGTCCGATTCCAAACTAGATAAAACATATGCTATAGTAACCAGACTGCTGATAAACATACTTAAATACACATATATACATACATCTGTATGGTTTGGACAGATTTGGTGGCAGTAGTGGACAGATATATGCCGGGCAACATCACTGTAAAGAGAAGGAAAACTTGAAACAAAAAGTACCCAGAAACTCCTTCCTATTATAGGCTGTTGATGATGAAGATGATTATAAAAAAATCAGACTCAAACAAAATAAACAAAAAGTAAAATACGCACGATTTACACTTCATTACTTTAAATATTAGTTCGCGGACATTCGTGTGGGTTGCACCTTCACTAAATAGATTATTTGCTCCAATTTTAAATTTTCTATTACCTAACTTGTAACTGTTAAATGACCCATTAAACAAAATAAAAAATTAGATAAATTACACCTAGATAGAACAAATGATCACGCTCATCGCACAATTATTTGTCTGGGGTAAGAATCGAACCCAACAAGGCCTTCAAATACGTAAATTAAAGTACGAAATGTGAAATTTCAACTTTATTAATGTAATAGAATTAGCTTACTAAGAGTGGCAACATTTCTATTAGCTCAAAACAAAACTAACACAAAAATATATACGCATTACTATTCTGGACTACAGACATGACGAAAGTTATAGAAATATAAGGTTGGCATACATCCAGCACTTAACACTAGTGATGGAAATTATTACTACTTTAAAATCACATTCATTTGATGAAATGATTTGTTCTAGTCGCTGCGATTTTACCTGTGATAAATAACTACTTGGATTTGGTCTTAGAAAGATGCTATCAAAAACTGAAGCGAAAAATCAAACTTTATCAAAGGCTAGACTTTTTAGACCTTTCGCGAATCTGGCTCTAGCGTAATCATAATCATAAGTCGTAGTGGTTTTGTATATTAGACACAGGTGTGATGATATGATTTACAAATCATATGAGTGAAAATAGGTGGTGATTTTATTTCATCCCTACTAAATACTTATACATACATACAAACATATATCCACATGTTAAATATATCTATTTTAACTCCATAATATGACCACGTGTAATGAACAAAGGGTTTCGTTTGTGCTGACACGTCTCTAATAAAGGGACCAAGATTTTTAAAGTGCGAATTTTTATGGCGATGTTGATAACAAATATTAATATCATTATAAAGACGTTATAACTTTATTCTTACCTAAAATCTTAAAAAAGTTAAAACAATTTTGTTTCTCTGAGACATCAAAAAAGTTGAGCTTTTAAGTTTCTAAACTTTTTTAATTTAAATAAAACAAAAAAATGTGTTTATATAAATTAACGTGTGTTAATTTATATAAAATTAACACACGTCACGTTATGTATGAGTACTTTTCTATTATATCATACTAGCTGTTTCCCGCGGCTCCGCCCGCGTGTATGTCGGTTATCGCGGTAAAAAGTAACCTATATTACTTGCTGATAATGTAGCTTTCCATTAGTGAAAAAGTAATTGGAGTTTCATCCAATGACGCAACATTGGCACCTTCCATTTTCTTTAAAAAGTCAAGATAACGTTTGCACTGCAGCGGAAGCGACCGAGTACCGAGGCTTTAAAAAAAAACTGAATTCTAAAATTTATTTCTAAATTTATTAATTGCAACTAAAGTGCTTTTATGATCGACACCACGTCTGAACTAAAGAGTTAGACATCACGAGATTAGAGATGTTATGAAATGACGGTATGCCCTAATATGTGTAGTGTTCAACAATGGGTTATAATAATAATATTTTTTATTGTATAAATGAGATTGTAGGTTTAAACAATTTTTGGCGTTTACTCCTAGAATCGATTTCCATATAAGGCGCCCGGTATGATAAAAATATCAAGAGTAAAATTTAGTGATCGAATGACCTCGTTACGTTCTTTGTGTGCAACTTATAGTGCACACCTTTCACATGTGTGTGTATAACTTATAAACTTGTGTGCAGCCGAATCGTTGTTGACTAGTAAACTCCAGTCGTGCGTCGGAGCTGATAGACACACTTTTTTACATTTAAGATTAGTCTGTTTTACAATTTTAAGTCTTTTAGTTTATCTATTTAAATTTGTTCATGTTAACATTTGTCACAATTATTTATTGCTGTGTTATTTATTACATAGGTTTGATTATTTAAATTTAAGTAATGTCTGAAATTATTTTCTGTGTATGTTACAGCGGTTACTGGCGAAAATGGGATCGCGACACCTCAAGATCTGGCCAATGTGGAGGCGTACGTGTCGAAAGTACAGGCCATACGGGAAGTGCTTAAACGTGATCATATGAAAGTGGCGTTCTTCGGCCGGTGAGGATACTTTAACATCTATTTATATATACTTAACGAATCGATAGTCATTTTAATCGATTTAAAAAAGGAACTTTTTATTTTGGGAAATAAGGAAAGTACTACAGATAATTCCATTCATTTAAAATATTACAAAATATTAATAAAGATACTAATAAAATGTACTAAATACTTTAAAAGTAATAACGGCTAAATGCGATACATTCAAATAACTGTGATCATAACAGTTGGCAAATCTAATCTTAACAAGATTGTAACAATTTGTAACACAGGAATATGTTTACGAGTATGTTAGAATTACACATCGGTTGTGTTTAAAAAGTTCGGTCGGTCGGTGTGTGTAAAAGTTCGGTCTTAATTTAGTTAATAATAATAATATATCTCACACACTCACACACGGCCGTCTGATCCCAAACTAGGCAGAGCCTGTACTATGGTAACCAGACCGCTGATAAACATACTTATATATGTAGGAATATTTACCCAAAGAAAGTCCGTTTTAACTATTATTCTGTATTTTTCTTTCACAAATCAACACACGTCATACACATGACATAAATCTCTCTCTACTCTTTGATCTATCTTAGTGTTGCTACCAAATCACAGACAAAATAAACCAAAACAATCGATTAATAACATCATTCCCACACGGCTATCCTGCTACTCATCTGCCTCAGATGAGTCGGTAGAATTATCACATGAACTCCATGGCTTCATCATATCGGCGGAACTAGATGTGTTTATCGGTCCCTCGCCTGAACCAATTTTCTTCAGATCATATCGATCGTTTCTTTTTTTCTTCACAATTTCGTATGGGCCGAGATATTTGGGATACAGTTTATAGCCTTGAACGTGTTCTTTTGATGGCCACAAGATCTCCAACTTGGTACTCTCTTGCTTCTTTGCGTTTTCGATTATAGCCTTTTCTATTCTCTTCTTGAATACTCTGAATATTTTCTTTAGCTTTCTTGCGTAACTCTTCTCTTTGTTCATTAAAATTCTCTATATTTTCTTCTTCTATCAACTTTAGAATCTCGTCATTTCTATCTCTCATCTTTGTTCCAGTCAAGAGTTCGAAAGGTGTAGTCTTTACACTCCGTTGGTATGTGTTGTTAAGGCATCTTTGAACTTCGTTTACATGCTTATACCACTTCGTAGGATCTTCAGAGCTCATTTTACTTAATACGTTGATTATGGTTTGGTGCACTCTCTCTACTTGTCCGTTACCTCTAGGTTGCCCAGTAGTGATTGTGTGATGAGCAATCCCTTCTGTATCACAATATTATTTAAATGCATTAGAGGTAAATGAGGCATTTCGGTCACTAATTATTCTTTCTGGTGATCCGAAAGTTTTCTGTTGCAGCTTTAATTTGTCTAACACTTCTTCGGTAGACAGACTCTTTGTTGGATAAATCCATGTGAACTTTGTAAAGCCATCTACGATAGTAAACAAATACTTGTAATGCTTGTTAGTGGACGTCAACGGACCTAAGTGGTCGATATGGTAAGTAGACAAAGGTCTATCTCCTTTATCAATACAGTTTAGAAATCCTTCTTTCTTTCCTTTTTTATGAGATACTAGTATGCATTTGACACAGTTTTCTATTACAGACTTTATCTTTTCTTTTAAATTCTCAGCATAATATTCTCTTTCTATAAGTTCTTCTGTTTTAATAACTCCGAAATGACCTTTTTCATGATATTTTCTGATTATTTCATTTTGCATCTTTTTTGGCAACACTAGTAATTTTCTTCCTTCTTTTATTTTTAATAAAACTCCATTTTCTACAATAAAGTCTTCGTATGCTTTTTTTTCTAAAACCTTTTTTATTAATTTTATATTCAGGTCTTCATCTTGTGCTTTCTTCAGTCGTGCAATGGTGTCAGTGAGTAACACTACGTTTTTTACAGGATGTCTACTCAACGCATCTACGTGTTTTAGATGATCTATCTGATCTTCTATCAAAGGCAGTGAGAATCTTTCTTTAATAGTCTTCTTGTTAAGTCTTCTGAAGTCAACACACAATCTGTACTTTCCATTCTTTTTCTTGGCCAAGACAATCGGGCTTGCGAAATCTGATTTGCTTGGTTTTATAATGCCTTGTTCTTCCCATTCTTTAATTTGTTTGTTGACAACATCCAGCTCGAGAGGTGATAAGCGTCGTGGGTTTTGATATATCGGGGAATCATCGGATAAAATAATTTTTAGTTGCACATTAGCTTTTTTTGTAACATTCTGAGGATTATAGTCTTTAATCATCGTTTCGATAATACTCTTAAATTCTTGTTTACCAATATTATAGGTTTCATCGTCATCTTCTAAAGTTGTTAAGTGCAAAACCCTCTTAGCTGTTATCCCATCAGCAGAAAAGTGAACGTCGACTTCCTCCAATATCCGATTTCCAATAATGATATCTACTGGTATGTCATTATCATTAACTATATGGAAGGTAGTGTCAAAATAACAATCATCCATCTTAATTTTCGCCATAAAAGAGCCTTTAGTACGTATTTCGTGCTCGGCTATTCCTGTTAGGCACAATACAGCATGCGGATTATAGTTGTACCTCTTTCCATTAACCTTGTTGAACTGGCATTCTTTGACCAAACTCACATCGCTTCCTGTATCAATTAGGACTTTGGATTCAACCCCATTTATTGTCAACTTCTTATAAGGTGAGTTGCAATGTTCGGTATCATTTGTTTCAATTTTTAGAGTCTTCTTTTGGTTGGTTGGGCACTCGTTTGATTTATGCCCGTAATTGTTGCATTTAAAACACTTAACGCCCTTCGTACATCTCGGTGCTTGGTGGTCTGTTTCACCACAATTGTAGCATCTTGTTTTCATTACATGTTTTTTATTCGCCTGTGAAGTACTCTGATACGGTTGTTTCGTGTTATTATCATACCTCGTAGTTGTAATCTTCTTTCTCATTTGAGCGTACAGATCCAGCTTCTTCCGGAAATCTTTTATATTTTCAGCTCCATACAAAATAGCTTTATTGCATTCTGCATCACGTATCCCGTCGATCATGTACTCAATCAACGCTTCGTCTTCAATTTTACCAAGCAACGCCAATTCTTTCATATTTAGAAAGTACTGTTGGTAAGTCTCATCATTTCTCATTTTACGTGTAGCTAATTTTTTGTGGATGGCAGCACTATTCAATTTTGAGCCGAATTCTTCTTTTAATGCAGTCTTTAGTTCTAGCCATGTCTTTGGACTACTTAGTGTTCTTAGAAAAAGCTTTGCAGTTCCAGTCAGCAAGCGCTTGGCGTAGATTAGTTTTTGTATCTCACCCCATTCCATCAGCTTGGCGATATCGTCAAAATCATTAATAAAGGTTTCAATTGAGTAATTGTTGTCTCCACTAAAAGCAGACATAGACTTCTCCACGTCGCTGAACGAGAGTTCAGGTGTAGTCTCTTCCTTTTCTTTCTTTGGCGGCATCTTCTTTAAAATAAATCTTCAGTCTTTAAGATAGTCTTTAAAATATTCTCTGGTCCAAGAATAGGAACGTCTTCATATAAAGTAACAGTCTTCAAAATATCAAATCATAACATAACTTCTTCAGTTTACATCTTACTTCTTTAATCGATATGAAAATCGATTCATTCGTAACTTTATGAGAAACTCATTCTTCATATGACAACCCTATTAAGACAGGTGTGAAGTTCGTCTGTAACTCCGTCGGCAAAACAGTAGTTGTAGTACGACAATGACGTCTTTTCAATCCTTGTTTAGCTCTGTCGGTAAAACAGTAGTTGTAGTACGACAATGACGTCTTTTCAATCCTTGTTTAGCTCTGTCGGTAAAACAGTAGGTACCTGTACTGTAATGGCGTCTTCTCTCGAAGATTTCCTCACTCACGAAAAATTTTGAAATCTTCTCAGTCTTCACGAATAGTTAAAACTTCATATTTCTTCGGTATCCCGGACGAGCCCCCATATTTTGTAGGAATATTTACCCAAAGAAAGTCCGTTTTAACTATTATTCTGTATTTTTCTTTCACAAATCAACACACGTCATACACATGACATAAATCTCTCTCTACTCTTTGATCTATCTTAGTGTTGCTACCAAATCACAGACAAAATAAACCAAAACAATCGATTAATAACATCATTCCCACATATATTTCTAAATACATACATATTATAGATAAATTACACCCAGACAGAACAGATGACCGTGCTCATCACACAACATTTGTCCTGGGTGGGAATCGAACCCACGACCTCCGGTTTAGCAGTCAGGGTCACTAACCACCAGACCAACAGGCCCGTCAAAGTTCCCATCAACTTTCGATCTCACAACTGTCATTTTATCTCACACTGTATTTTCGTAGTAAAGTGCTCTTATTACACATTCAACGTTGACTGTAATGTGATTATATCGTATCGTAACTGAAAATTGAATCGATAATCTGCTAGTCTTAGTAATACGTTAGTATTTTACTACGAAAATACCTTTTATGACAGTTGAAAAGTCGTCAGTTGATCGGAACTAAATTGAGACCGAACTGTTATTGGCTTTCAGTGCCATTGCCACCTTGCGTTCTTCTACAGAGTCGATATGCTTCAACAGTCAAACTCCAATTATAGCAAGGACTGCTGTTTCAGACCGTAGACAAGGCTTTTATTCAGTAGCCTATACACAATAGTCTCTGTTAATATTAAAAGCGTTCATTATTTTCTACTATAGCATGTCTTGTTATAACATTGTTTATAAATAATAATACACGTACAATTTGTTTAATGTGCTACTAACTTACCAATTATGTATTGGTGAGGTAGTATGCGAAAGTAGGTTAGAAATATTTATATGTTTGAAATGTGATAAATGTTGTTTATATTTTCTGATTTGTTTTGTATTAGTAGCATGAAATAAATATAATCTATTTATATCGTATATTCAAACTGACACATAATATTAGTATAGACTTGCTTGTGCCCGCGACTTCGCGTGGAATTTGAAAAGCGCTGTCTTAGTAGTGTAGTACCGTACGTGAACTGCACTCAATAAGGCCTGGGGTTCGACTCTCGGACCGGCAAAATTTTATAGGGTTTTTCCGAGGGGAAAAATAGAAAAGTTCCTCCTTATATAGACAGCTATAGACAGTAGTAAAATATCATTAAAATCGGTCCATCCGTTTTGAAGATAACTCGGCAAAAATAGACAGACAAAAATATTTAAACTGGTTTTAAGGCATGGATATCGTACAAATTACCATGTGAGCATGAAAATAACCTATTATTTTTACACGCTTTATATTAGCTTCACTTGTATGTTTGTTTGTATGTTTGTAACCGACTCGACCTTTGGCCGTGATTTTGACTGACTTTAAACGGTCAGAATTCGTTCAAACTTTGTAGATATATCGAGGACCGATGACAATACACTAATTTAATAACTAACACAAAAAAAATAGAAAACCACACAAACACGCTTTCTATAGAAAACCAAACTAAAAAAAAAGAAAATAAATTTGAAAAAAAAAAGCGTTGGGTGCCGGTTGTCAATAGTAAAAAGCATCCCACGCTTTTTTTTTTCAAATTTATTTTCTATTTTTTAGTTTGGTTTCCTATAGAAAGCGTGTTTTTTAGTTTTTTAAAACTATATTGTTTTTATTACATTACAAACAGATCTTCAATTTTTATTTATTTGTATAGATATACGGTGTTACTTATGTGATGATGACATTCGGGTATGCCCTGATAGTTTCGACTCCAAAGGGGGCGCTTTTTCATGCAATGCATGTACATATTTATTTACAGAACAAGTAACGGCAAAAGTACAGTGATAAACGCGATGTTGCACGACAAGATCCTGCCGAGCGGTATCGGCCACACCACCAATTGCTTTCTCCAAGTCGAGGGCTCAGACACGGACGACGCCTTTCTACGGACAGACGGCTCCGAGGAGAAGTTGAATGTCGAGGTAAATAATAATAACAACCACATATGTACCTCTCATACACGGCAGTCTGGTACCAACTTTCAAACTAGGCAGAGCCTGTGCTATGGTAACCAGACTGTTGGTAAGCATACTTATATATTTTTTAATACTTATTATACAGGGTGTAAGGGACTTCATAAGAAATACTGAAATAGTGCATTTTTCAGTATTCGATACAACGTCCCTTACACATTGTAAATAGAAAAACTACACTCTGTAAATAGATGAATTACAGCTTGTATATAGATGAATTACAGCTTGTATATAGATGAATTATTCCACAATTATTTATTCTAGGTGGGAATCGAACCCACAACTTCCGCCTTGGCAGTCAGGGTATATTAAGATATTATAATATTTATTTCAAAAGCTACTAGTATTCTTCCAAATAAAGTTTTTTTTTTTTAAATTAACGATTCATTCAAGCTGATTTGTATTTTTTAACATAGTAGCGAACGTTCATATTCCTTAAATGTCCACCATCAGTCAGCTATCTGTACGCAAGCAAGTACGTGCAAATATTTATTTTGTGTCTTAGCTTTACAATAATATACCCTCAGAGTGGTAATATACCATATACACATAGAGAATAAAAGCCATCTATTTCACATCATCACATCAACAGCTTTTAATGGTCAACTGCTGAACATAGGTCTCTCCTTAGAAAGGGAGCTTTGGCCTACTGTATAGGGTTTGTTTCAAGTTTTCATTATCTTTGCAGTGCTGTTATCCCGCTTAGTTTACTCCCTTAGTCAGCTCTTAGGACACCCATGGGATGAATAGGGATAGTGACTCTTTGTATTCTTAATCCGTCACCATACGGAGGGCCATCTTTTTATTCACACGTATTCTATCTGTTTAGTTTGTTTAGAGATTATGATATTGTATTATATTGTTGCTATTGTGCTATGATGTTTGTTGTATTTTTCACACACGATCAACAAAAATAATAGATGATAATGTCTCATTGTTATATTGTACGGTTCGTTAATGGTGCGAACACTCGACATTAGGATTAATTTGCTACATTTTTTTAGTTATAGAACTTTTTTTTAATAATAATTTGGGATATATTACACAGTATTTTCTATACTCAATTGCACAGTTGGGTTCTAGAACATTACACATCAACAGCCTTTAATAGTCCACTGCTGGACAAAGGCCTCTCCTTAGAAAGGAGGTTTTGGCCTACTATACCACGCTGGCCAGACGGGTTGGTATAGGGTTTGTGTCAAGTTTTCCTTCTCTCTGCAGTGCTGTTAGTTTTTTCCCTTAGTCGGCTCTTACGACACCCACGGGATGAATAAGGTTGGTGATACTCTGTATTCTTAATCTCACTCAAAAGGGTTCTAGAACACGCTTAATTAAAGTTTCTTCAAACATCTTCATCTTTTTTGTAAAAAAAGGATTTAAATAAATTTTATGTCTGTAAGGTAGAACATAATAATATTTTCGTGCTAAGTGATAATGGACTAGATATGAAAAAAAAAGTAGTTAAATGGTTCACAATATAATTCCAATTATTTTAAATACAAAGCGGTAAGACCGCCTTTAATATTGTCATATCAAAATGACAGTTATATTAACATCAGTACAAATAACTATCGTAGTGGTGCACAATATAAAGAGACATAAAAATACTGCGATCGTCGTAAATATATTATTTATTTGAATAAAGAATAGAATAAAGTACGTATTGGGGGGTTCCAGTCGGTGAGCCAGCTGGGGCACGCGCTGTGCGCCACGCGGCTGCAGGAGCGCTCGCTGGTGCACGTGTACTGGCCGCGCGAGCTGTGCGCGCTGCTGCGCGACGACGTGGTGCTGGTGGACAGCCCCGGCGTCGACGTCACGCCCAACCTCGACGAGTGGATCGACCAGTACTGCCTCGACGCCGACGTCTTCGTGCTCGTCGCCAACGCCGAGTCCACGCTCATGGTCACTGTGAGTATACCTCCATCTAAGGGCCCCAGTGTGAGTCTTTTACACATCTACTCGTGCGTCACGGTGACCGCGTTCGGCGCTGCGAGTGGTATCAGCTGATAGGAAAGTTAATATAAACTCACAGATAATGCTCGGTACGTTTATTACAGTTTATTGTTACAATAATACTGCACAGATGGCGTAGTGGTTTAAGCGGTTACCTCGCCGTTAGTACTGCGCTGAGTTTTGTGGGTTCTATCCCCACATGGGACAACCCTTTGTCTGATCCACAAATTGTTGTTCTGAGTCCCCCGTGAAAGGATTATATTCCTAGTACGACAGTTGTCTTTAATAATTATTAATGAGAATTATATGAACGCTAATATGAGTGTTTCCGATTTGAATAATTTGCATAACTGTCGTATATGTATCCTAGTAATCAAAGTTCAACCGTTATTCGTAACATAATTGATTTATTAATTGAAACACAAACACAGAACAAGGAATTCTCATTCCTTGTTCTGTGTTTATGTTTGTTTAAAAGTACTGTCTTTGCCTCTGGTGCAACGCCACTCTTTAAGGTGTACGCTGCAAGTACATTACCTAAGTTAGTTTTCAACATAACATATATGAATCTTAAAACACACGTTATTCAAACTTAATAGGATACATTTCAGTTCCCAAACTCTTAAATGTGAACATTTAATTATTTGTCGTATCCTAGAGATGCTTCTCGAGAACGTCTGTTTCGTAAAAATAAGATAAAATTATAATGTTTGTTTATTTATTTGCAGGAGAAAAACTTTTTCCATAAAGTATCAACAAAAATATCACAACCGAATATATTCATACTGAACAACCGTTGGGACGCTTCCGCTTCCGAGCCGGAGTACTTAGACCAAGTAAGTAAAGACGAAATGTTTAAAACTGGCTTAACTATTCGAACTAAACTAACTTAGTTTAGTTAGTGGTGGACGAAACGCTTAAACTTTTACAATTAATCAACGGTAGTAATAGTAAATTGACTGCACGGTTGGCGTAGTGGTTTAAGCGGTCGCTTACTACTACGCTGAGTGTTGTGGGTCCGATCCCCACATGGGACGACACTTTGTGTGATCCACAAATTGTTGTTTTGAGTCTGGGTGTTCTTTGTGTCTGTTTCATGTGTGTTTGTAAAGTCACCCCCGCCACACAGAATATACTCCTAATGCGGGAGTTGTCTTTAAAAAAAAGAAATTGAATGTTGTGTATGAATGTTGCAGGTGCGCACTCAGCACGCAAACCGTTGCGTGGACTTCCTGTCGCGCGAGCTGCGCGTGTGCTCGCCCAAGGAGGCGGAGGAGCGCATCTTCTTCATCTCCGCCAAGGAAGCTCTGCTCACGCGCATGAGAGAGAGGGAGAAACCCGTGTCATGTTAGATACTTACCTTTTTTAATTACTACTATGTGTTTTGAAAGCGTGAATGTGCACCGAGCATTTATCTATTTTACTCTGGTTTTTACTAGCGATGAAATAAAATCACAATCATATGTTATAAATCATATGAATTATAAACCGTACAATCCCAACTGTGAATAATTTACAAAACCACAGCGACTTATGATTAGGTTCGCTAGAGACTCGCAAAAGGTCTAAATTTAAAAAAGTTTGTAGTCTAACAAAATGTTTGGTTTTTTCTTTGCTTAAGTTTTTAATGGCATTTATCTTGCTATAACCAAATCCCAGTAGTGATTTATCACAAGTTATATTACAGTATCTAAAGCCAATCATTTCTCTTTATGATCCTATGACTATGATTTAAAAGTAACAATAATTTCCATCACAAGTTTTTACAAATGCCTCTGTATACCCCTTCGGGGATAGAGACCTAAGTTACACCGTATTTTTATATCGAATAGCCGTTATGTTCCTCTAACACTAAGGGACAATCCTCCGGCCAGGCAAAGTGATCATGCTTGGCAGGCCGCCAATGTTCGGCTACAATTCAAAAGTACAATCAAAATCCTTCATATTTTTATATTTAACAATGCCACGGTTTGTTTTGGATTGAAGCTGCGATATGTTAATAAATTTCATATCGTAATACAGGATTAGCAGTTACTCCGTAGTTCAGTGTGTATTCGTTAGATGGCGTGAAGTATATTTTTTTCTGGTTATATGTGGAAGTCGCCACAATTCCTTCTAAAAATTTACATGATCGGATAAACTCCTAATTTAATTCTACACAATCATGTAGTAACAGTAATATTACTTTGTTACAGCGCCCATCTTAGCTGAAGGTCACCAAGTCCGGTACTTCGAGTTCGTGGATTTCGAACGCAAATTCGAGGAGTGCATCAGCAAGTCTGCAGTTCGAACCAAGTTCGCGCAACACTCGCGCCGCGGCAAGAACATCGCCAACGAAGTCATGCAGGCGCTAGAAGTCGTCAGTAAACTTTTATTGCTCAGACAAATTCTCCTGTTTTTATTGTGAGAAAATCGGTTTAAATCGATTGAATTAGTTTTGCACTAAACATTCTAATAGGTAGGTGATAGCGTAAGGCCTGGATGTCCTGAGCCCACGCTTTCTAGGTCAAGTACTGCAAGGAGGCTGCAGGTGTGCTTGTAACCATGTCCAGGACATCTTCTCTTTAACGATGCAGTTTGGCTTCGATTCCGATTACTAACGACAATGTCCCACCGAAAACTCCAGTGTAGACACCTCTCGTTAGAGTTGGAACGTAGAAAAAGATTTTTTTCTACGTTCGTTTTTTTCTACGAGTCAAACGACATTTAATTGAAGTCTATTCGCGTTAAGAAAATAGTGACGAATCGATCAAGCCGCGCTGCCTGACCAATCAGGTTCCAAGCCAATTATTATTACGTACGAAAGCTTGGAACCTGATTGGTCAGGGGCGGGACTTGAACGATACTTTACGGATTCTGAATATTTACTTACAAATTAAAACGATCCTATTAAAATATTTTTATTTAAAAGGCTATTGTATGTCTTCAATACAAGCCCATTGAATTGCCTCGTTACTGTGACAGATATACACCACAGCAACAGAACAAAAAGCAGCCAAGGTTGAGAAGCAACGAATATTGCACGAGCAGCTGTCGGCCATTGAAGAACAACTCACCACCATCACTCGCCAGATGAAGGATAAAATAAACCGCATGGTGGAAAGCGTCGAACACAAGGTTTGTTCATACGTTTCATACATTTTTAGTGATATCGATACTCTTTACTACTGTTTTAGGTTCCGTAGTCCTAACATGGAACTATTATGGTTTCGCTATGTTCGTCTATCAGTCATCCTTCCATCAAAAAATTAGCTTAAGGACTGTTAGTATGAGAGAGGTGTAATTTTTCATGCGATTACACCGACAAATTTATGAGCATACTCGTGTTTAGGAACTAGACAATGAATTAAAAAAAATAGTGGATAGCTAGGATATCAGAATATCTCTGTAAAAATGGTACATGTCGTGCGGCAGGTGTCCCTGACGCTGAGCCAGGAGATCCGTCGGCTGTCGGCGCTGATCGACGAGTACGACAGCCCGTTCCGCTCGGAGCGCGTCGCTCTGGAGCAGTACAAGCGCGCGCTGCACCGCCACGTCGAGGCGGGGCTCGGCTCGCGCCTCAAGAAGCGCCTCTCCGCAGACATCGGCCACGAGATGGACCAAGCGCAGAAGGAGATGGCCGGTACGGAACACGCACGCACACACACACACACACACACATACACCCACACATACACCCACACACACGCACGCACACACACACACACATACACAGTTAGCCACTAGACGGGAGTTTTTTAAAGACAGACAGAAGTATATAGAGTCAGAGCTTACGTGCCTGTTGGGTATGTCTTGTGTATAGAACATGATTAACTATACAGAACGAATATATGATTGTATAATGTATTAAACATAATTAATGGTACATAGCAAACTTACAGCCTAAAACGAAGATGAGAGATGAGCCTAAAAATGCCCGTTATGGATGTGTAAAACTAATGAGAGACGTGGGAGAGTCATGTTTCGGCAAATTTAAGAATTAAAAAGAAGAATATTTAAACTGTGCCTTGAGTTACAAGTATCCAGTTCCTGTCATTGGATGACACATCTGCTCGTTACTTAAACCATAAAAAAAAAACATTAATTACTGTAAATATTGAGATAAGTAGTAGTAGACATATTAGAGTATACGTTGTTGTCCCCAGACCGCATGTACAACATCCTGCCGATACACAAGCGCGCGGCGGCCGCGTCGTACATAATGCCGCACCAGCAGCCCTTCGAGGTGCTGTACCGCCTCAACTGCGACAACCTCTGCGCAGACTTCCAGGAGGACCTGTCCTTCCGCTTCTCCTACGGGATCACAGCGCTCATACAGAGGTTCCAGGGGAAGAACACCAATAAAATAGCGCTCAAGAACCCTCCACAGTACACATCGGTAATTATGTTTTACTAGCTGGTACCCGCGACTTCGTTCCCGTGGAATTTAATTATAAAGCGCTAACTTAGTGGTGTCACTTGTTTTTCGGTTTAAAACATAAATTAACAAAATTAAAAATGTTCCAGATCCCTCCGTCAGTAAGCTCTGTACCATCATCAATAGATGTCTCGCGCCCTTCAAATGGACCTCCACTAGTGGGACACGTGGGACTGTCTCCGGAGGAGTGGGGTCTAGTCTCTAAGTTTGCCCTAGGGGCGCTAACGTCACAGGGTACTATGGGTGGATTATTACTATCTGGACTTGTAAGTACTTCCTGAAAACAGTACCATTATATTTTCTCAAAGTAAATTGTGTACCAGAAAGGACTGATCTGTATTTTCTTGATTGACAAGCTTAATCTTTTAGTTTTATATCGTTGGCACACGGTAGTTAAAATATAAAAATCATTATTACGCGAGTGTGACATTTAGGGATTTAAATTTCTTACAAACTCTTGAGCGTATTTAAACTATCGCGATCCAAGCCATATTGGGCAGTCGTGATAGGACTGGCAGATGTGAACATTGAAATAACTTTGTAGAAATAATCAGTATGAAAGGATAGCTAATTCAAAAAAAATATATAGCGACGCCTTGCCACACCGCGTTGCATGTTAGATTGTACTATCAAAAGAGTGGCGACGCGTCGCCAAGCTAATAGCTGGTCTGACTTTCCGCAGTAGATGTTTCACATCAAAATTATACGCTCATGATAGGTATCAAATATACCTTTGAATTGCTTGATGTTTCGACCAGTTAATTAATAATTCGTAAAATAGTTAATAATGCGTTAATTCCCGTAAACATAATTACATAACGGTTGCACGGATGCCGTAGTCGCTAGCGGTCACCTCGCCGCTTCCTACTGCGCTGAGTGTTGTGGATTCGATTTACACATGAGACAAATCTTTGTGTGATCCTAGGTGTTCTTTTTGTCCGTTTCGTGTGTTTGTCACACAGAACTTGTTCCTAGTGCGGGAGTTATTTTTAAGATATAAGAAATTGAGTGATGTGAGCTTGTAGCTCCTAAAGATATGAAAAATATATTTGAAGAGTAATTCGTTCGTCCATTAATTGAGTGGTAGTAAGTGTAGTAATCTGTGGTGAGCAGCTTCTGAAGACGGTGGGGTGGCGCATCGTGGCCGTGACGGGCGTGCTGTACGGCGCGCTGTACGCGTACGAGCGCCTCACGTGGACGGCGAAGGCGCAGGAGCGCGTGTTCAAGAAGCAGTACGTGGCCCACGCCAGCAAGAAGCTGCGCCTCATCGTCGACCTCACCTCCGCCAACTGCAGCCACCAGGTGCAGCAGTGAGTACACGCTCCACTTCTCACTTCGTAACGCCCACTTCAGAGAGCCTAGTGCAAGTTTATTTCTCATCGACTCGCTCTCGACAGCGAAAATTTCAATGCGGGCCAAGCGCAGCTCCCGACGCGTTCACCGTAGGTACCCGTAGATGTGAAATAAACCAAGCACTTGTGCTTTAGAAGAATAAACTGTAAAAGTTAGGTAGCTTTAGCATACCTAAAGAAATTAATGTTTAGATGTAGGTATTTCACGGTATCATCAATCATATGATCATCATAAATCTTGTGTTAACATTGCCATGGATATAGAGAAAGACACTTTGTACCTTCCTTTCAATCTCTCTCTCTCTCTCTCTCTCTCTCTCTCTCTCTCTCTCTCTCTCTCTCTCTCTCTCTCTCTCTCTCGCTCGCTCTCTTTCTCTCTCCCTCTCTCTCTCTCTCTCTCTCTCTCTCTCTCTCTCTCTCTCTCTCTCTCTCTCTCTCTCTCTCTTTCTGTCTCTGTTTTGGCCTCCTATTCTCCCTACACCTAAATTAAATAAATATGAAACCAATGTATGTCTATCACACACGTGTAATACTATCACATAATTAATGCTTAATTTAGTTATTTTCCTGTTGCATATAACAATTATTACTGTGGACTCGTGTGCTCCCTTGCCCTTATACCGTAATAAAAGATCGAAACACCGATAAACGATAGCTCATACCGATCTGTCTAACTCAAATAACGTTACAGGGAATTATCAACGATGTTCGCGCGTCTGTGCCGTCTCATCGACGAAGCGACGACAGAAATGGACGGCGAACTGTGCGAAGTAAGGGAAGCCATCAAGATGTTGGACGAAGCCTCCACCTCGGCAAAGAAGCTGCGTAACAAAGCGAACTATCTGTCGCATGAACTAGAACTGTTCGATGATGCCTTCCTCAAGCACAACTAGAAGATATTGTTAACTAAAGGTGGGTTCCTTAGAAACGTGCTTTGTTTAACTTATTACCAATATATAATGTGAATAGATCGGAGTAAAAATAATCTCTATTGTATGGTAATATGACACAGAATAGATCTATACTAATCAGTCTCTACTTGCCTGGCCTTTCTACTTGCTAGACAGGTAGACTAAATGTTATACTTAATGAATTTATTTTTATCTAGTTTTAAAAAAACACTCAGTTTTTTTTTAAATGCTCTCTAGTTCGTACTATTGTGATTATTTTAAAATATATTTATAAAAAAGCGTCGAGCCATTCTTAATTGATGTGCCAACCAACCAACAGCATTTCATTTTTATTTATATAAATCTGTATACGATTTCAGTTGTCACGATAAATAAACAACAAGTGATTTGTTTCAGTGGAAAGTACACGATGCGCTTGCGCTGCCCACACGATGTGTCGGCTCTGCATCTATTGGTCGCCTTGACCTGACACCTCTAATAGATAGTGACGTCAATGCAGCCCGCCGTTAAACCAATACCGAACAGAACTTTTCAAATTATATAAAACGATATGATTAAGTGACAGCAACTGTCAAAGGAGACCATAGACAATTCCTTAATTTGAAACGACTGTAGTGCGCCGGCGCCGAGATCTAGTACCGCGTCTGTGCAGCTAATGTTAAAAGTTATCGTTAAGAGAATACAAACGCTCCTTGTATAAGACGGCGTGTATAGGAAAAAAATGTATGAAATTATTATTTATTGTTATAGTTTCGTGTTGTTATTCTCTAAGTGACATGTGACGGCGGTGCTACGTTCGCCAAAACGTTGGGGACACGACTGAGCTCGCTGCTGACGTCAGGCTAGCTAGTGTCCTCCTAATAGAATGATATACCTCTTGTACATTACGTTTTTGTTGATGTTTTAAAAGTTATTTATCAGTTTTTATGTAATGTATCGCAATTAAATCACGAAAGATTTCTTTTAGTTCTTTTTACACATGGTTCCTGTCAATTTTTAACTTTCGGTTTATCGTTACCTTCCTCTTTTTACTGCTAAACATCTTGGTGCTACCCAACGGACGTATAAATCGGACAAATTATATTCATGATTATTCTAAAATTTGTTACTACTAAAAAGTTGATCATATAAAATATTATCTAGCCCATTTTAGTATTTCTACGCTATGTCTATACGCTACTCATGTGTGATGGTTATTTATTGTGTGAGAGTATTAGAGATAGTATGGTACCGAATTTAAGCTCGTTAGCGTCATCCTAACCTTTCAGTTACCAATAGAAACAATTTATTTGCATCGAAATTCCGCAATAAAGGCTATGCGCCCGCACCCGGTTTTATATCTGTGATATTTTAATCATCAAAATTGTTTTGATCCATTCGTAAACTCTCGAGTGTTTCGTCGAATTGGAACGGCATTTATTATTCGTAACTCTCTTTAAATCTTATCAATTAGGCATGGTCAACATTGCGGATGTAATGAAATTTCATTTTCAATATAAGGATTAATTTATTTATGGTGTAGTTGTGAAAGTGGAGTGTGGTTCTTGGTTGTTGTTGATGTAGGGAAAGCTGTTATATTTTATACCCCCATTTAGTCATTGCACTGTCAAATAAATGTTACCATATGTTAGTAGATCGTGAGACACTATGAATTGGCCTTAAGTTTTTTGCAACTACCCTCAATTATTTGACAGTGTACCATTTCATTTGGCTATACTTACATATAATATGTATAACATAAAAATGAGTTGATGTCACTATAGTGACGTAATTATAGTTATAGATAGGAAGGTACACAGCATATATATAATGATGGAATGAATTGTACATTGGGAGCCATGCAACCATTTGATATTAGATAGATTTTGTTGTCCATTGTAATTAGTTATTGCATAATTAGGAGAATTTTCTTATGTAAATAAAACAAATAAAGGATTCCTTTATAACATAATTTGTTTTATTTATAAAAATAATCACCTGAGTCTGTAAACATAACAATAGTTTATAAATCAATTGAGTGAGATCTACTTTACTATCGTCATAGTCGGATCTGACATTTATTGAACTTTACAGGGTAGCCATTACAAATAATTATGTTTTTTTTAATGACAACTTTTTGAATTCTAAATCTGTTATTAATAATTAAATTAAAATGTAATAAAAACAACAACTAATAATTCCACAATTTTCTAGAAAAATCACTTGCCTTATTTTATTTTTAGCGCCTATCAAACAAACACTGAATAATTTTAAATCTAAAATACATACAATTTTCTCTTGAATGTAGTAATAACCTGCCAATGCGTTGGCAAAGATGCGTCGATTGCATAGGTGATTACTTCGAATAACAGAAATAAAAAAGTTTGAAAAAATAAGTACTTTCACTTATTGCATACAAAACGGCAATTTCATAGGTAAAGACCTAATAATAGAAAGGTAAGATTTTTTAAGGGGACTTTACCCGCATGTAGACGCCATACGGTGATTCCCCTTTTTTATTAAGTTTTTAACACCTCTTAAGTTCGCAAATTACAAAAATTGTAAAGAAATTAAATATCTAATAACAAAATATACTTCTTGCATAGTCAGTCTCATGGACTCGCAGTCACTGTATAGCGCCATCTATCGAAAACTGAGAGAAGAAGAATTTCTAATCCTGTATCGCGATATGAAGAATTCTCTCGCATATTAGCATATATACAACTTACCAACATCAACCGATGGGCCGCGGCCCGCCAGGCATGATCACCTCGCCTGGTCGGAGGATCCTCCCTTTGTGTTGGAGGGGACATTACACCCGTTCCTCTCTCGTTCTCTTAATGGGTCAATTTTCAGAACCATACAAGAGGATAATAGTAACCATAAGGAATTAATTAACAAGGTTCTAAACATTTGAAGCTTTGGGTTACAGCTTTGGGTTACATAAGAGTGATAACCATAAGGAATTAATTAATGAAGTTCCATTAACATATAACGATTTAGGTTACAATGACATTTAAAATTTATTGTCGAGACGGCTGGATTTTTTCCTTTAGGAGCCCATAGTGATGAGCATGAAGAAACATTCCATTAGGACAAAGAGAGAGAAACGTGACCATCGTAGATGGAGTCTGAGGATGTTGGCTGACTACCGCTAGACGATCAAAAGGGACCAACCGGAAGCCAAATATTACAGAGAATCATAGAGATTTCTTTACAAACCACATCATTCATATACTTCTGGATAACTCTGAAATATTTTTTTTGTTATTCATTTTTCATCACCAAATAATATTGATACGTGATTAAAAAAAAAATGTATTTTTATTCACGAAACTGAATACATAGTAGAAACACTAAAAAAGTTCGTGTGGCACTACGAAAATTAAATTTTGTTTACCAGTAATTGAGTGTTCCGACTGTCTCAAGCTCCTAAATATTTAATACAATATGAAAGATAATTAAAAAGTTATATTTATTTGATGCCTAGAATTGTTGCCTGACATTAGTTAAGTATATGTATAGATGTCTGACGGATTGTTTATATTGAACTTCGTAATTAGGTCTTCAGTCTTTACTTGGTGCTGAAAAGAAAAAAAACATTTTAAATCTCTAATACTGTAGTGCTGTGTGGTGACGGATTAAGAATACGCAATGTCACCACCCCCAATCATGCCGTGGGTGTCGTAAGAGCCGACTAAGGGAGCAAACTACGCAGAACAACATCACTGCAAAGAGAAGGAAAACCTGACATAAACCCTATACCAACCCGTCTAGCCAGAGTGGTATAGTAGGCCAAAACCTCCTTTCTAAAGAGAGGCTTATGTCCAGCAGTGGACTGTTTAAGGCTGTTGATGATGACTGTATTGCTAAGGAATAGATTAGCTTTAGAGACACGCTTCAGATAATCTATATATTAATACGTGAAGCGGAAACTTAGTACACCATTTTAACAAATAGTGCGCGAACGGATGAACGTGAAATTTAAAGCTATTTTTTACATGAGATGTATTAGAAATACATTATAGCTATAATGCTACCTTTGATTATAGAGGTCTTCGGCAAAGGAGGCCTAATAAAATTCAAACTTAAAAATTAATTTAAAAATCGAATTTCGACCACTGGGCTACCACTAGTCGAACATAAATTGCAGTCTTGTGTAACGACACCTGTCATCACCATTTCTATATCCGATTTAGCAAAGGTATCTTAAAAAATATCTTGACCTACTACTACTAAACACACCCAGCTTCCCCTAATGACTTTTTGTGATAAGTAAAATAAATTATTTTTGGTGAGGACAAAATTACTAGACTATTCACATAACTTCAGACAAGACAAAAACGGTCTATAAGTCTTTAGTAATTACTAAAGACTTATAGACCGTTGATTTACTCGAAAACTCTAACGTCTTGCAAATTGGTATATATATTATGACATGGCTCACCAGTCTATCGTTCATCTTAAACTGTGTCTTGTCAAACCGCACAGCATCCCCGTCGACTGTCAACCCGTAATATTGGCAGGTAGTTTTTGCTTCCTGCCGGTCCGGGAACCGAAGCCATCGCGCGATGACGTCACTCGGTACTGTCAGCCGTTTGTTGTGATATCCGTGACTTAACACTTGGAGACAGCGTCTGAAAGTCATAGCCGATAGCATCTTACTAGGAACACATAACGAGAGGGGGGGGTCACATCCTTAAAATTGATCACGAAGGTAAAGCAACTGTCAATTTTTTATGGAAATATTCAATGTCTGCATTTCCTAGTCGGTTCAAGGTCCTAGTTTCAGTATCAAGGCTGCCTTGATATCTGGTATCTACATAATTGCTATCAGTTTCATTTATAAATGTGACCCCATTCCTATTATGAACTTCCCCTAAATGTTCGACTACAATTGGTTACAGGACTCCTTTAAGCCAATAGTATATTTATTTATTTACGTATTATTAACAGAAATATAGATTGATTCTATTAGATCTATTAATCTAACACCACTTTCTATTTATATTCCCGTTGATAACACTTAACCGTTTTATGCAGTGTAATATATGCCTTAACATTACATAATAGAAAAGGATCTCCTTTCTGCAGTAACTTTCTTTCTTTCTTTTCTTTAAAAAAAGACAACTCCCGCATTAGGAATAAGTATATAATGTCTCGGGGGGGGACTTTACAAACATACATGAAACGGACACAAAGAACACCCAGACTTAGAACAACAATTTGTGGATCACACAAAGTGTAGTCCCATGTGGGGATCTTATCTACAGCAGTCAGCGTAGTAGTAAGCGGCGTAGCGACCACTTAAACCACTACGCCATCCGTAACTATACTAGGCCCTCTGTTCATTTTACGATACACACTTGCTAAATAGAGTCCATGATGAGTAAATAAGTATAATTAATAATACACAGCTACTACGACATTAGTCAAACACAGACTAAGCAGACCTTTGCAGGACGTACCTTTGTAAAGTTGGTAAGTAAGCGAACACAGCACAGTATGTCAAGGGGCACAGCTGATCAAGCAGTCGGAATACTTTTATATAATTACCCTCCATGTTTGATATTGCAATTTTATACGCGAGCTGTAGTTTTGAATTACTGTAAAAACAAGATTTTTTGTGATTAAGAAAAAAATGTTTATGACTACCTAACTCTTTTTTAAAACGCAAAATACGCGCTTGTCTGTATTTTTTTGTACGAGTGGCCTATTGGTCTAGTGGTCCTGACTGCTACCCGAAGATCATGGGTTGGATTGCCACCCAGAACAAATAATTGTGATAAGCATGATCATTTGTTGTATCTACATATTATTTATCCATAATATGTATGTATTACTAAATCTTGTATGAGGTATATTAGTATAAAAACATATTAGATAGCAATTTCTGTCGATATCCATAAAACTGTGGCTTCCTCTTGTTTTATTTGCTGTAACTTAAAAGCAATCATTTCATCTGCGGTATTTCCGGACCGATACGACCTTCAAACCTTCAAGAAAAGAGCGTACTCCTTCCTAAAAGGCCGGCAACGCGTTTGTGATTCTTGAGTTGCAGACGTTCAGCGGTGTCGATGGTCACTTTCCATCAGGTGACCCTTCTGCTCGTCTGCCCCTCTAACATAAAAAAATCGGTACATTAAATGTGCTTACCTCTTCATTTCCTTTGATAACTTAATATATCTGTAGAGTGGGTGTATATTATCCAGATTACACAGTATATACAGACATTCAATCAAAACTTTGTCACACACTAGCCTCCTATCATTGTTATTGCTGACATGTAGAAACCGTGAGAGCCGATCTATGAGTTCGCTATCTGGTCTCTCTGTGATACTATCACAGCAGCTAAGGAACCATTTTGTACACTCTAGTAAATATTTCTTGTTGAGATGAGGATCAAAGTCTTTTAAAAGAAGGTCATTTAACCTGGAAGATAATTAACAGTAATTATTATAAAGAAGAGAATCAGAAACTGTACAAAGTCATAAAATATGTAATTTGTGTTAAAATAACAAAAAAATAGTTTTCCTTGTGTTTTTACTAATGAGCCAAGATCATAAGAGCCAGGCTTGACCAGAGTGATACCACGGTGATACCAGAGTGATACCACAGAAAACAGCGGTTTGCAGTTCTTTTAATGCCTTTACCAAATGAGTGAGATTACTAGAACCTAAAAACACTCCCTCTCACCTCACCAGCATTAGCCAAGCTCTGTCTAGACATGGTGTTGATTCCACTACTTCATTCATTCCACCACTTCTAGACATAGAGATATAGAGCTATTCAATTTACTGTGAGCGAAGTGACCAGGGGGGTAGTGGCGGCTAGAGGGTGCCCACTCAACTACCATAAATTCCTCACAACATGCTATGCAGACGATCTGACGATCCTCATCAGTGGTCCTTTTGAAAGCGTTATATGCGCTCAAATGAGAGTCGCACTGAAGATCGTTGAACCGTGGTGTGTGACACACAACTTGACAGTGAACCCATCGAAAACAGAGATGATTATGTTCACAAACAACCGTAGTCTAGGAAATCTCAAACTTCCCAAACTATTTCAAACACAACTGACTCTTACCAAAGAGGTCAAATACCTAGGAGTTATACTAGACAGTAAACTCCTGTGGAATAGGCACCTCGAAGAGAAACTAAACAAAGCGTGCATTGTCTTCTGCCAATGCAAACGGCTACTCGGCAAAAGCTGGGGACTATCGCCAAAGATTACCCTATGGCTCTACAAAACAGTCATATTACCATTAATTACGCCGTTGTCTGGTGGCAGAGAATAGAGTTTAGCACCGTCATCAATAGATTGCAGCAATTCCAGCGACTCCCATGCTCCGCGGTCACTGGCTGTATGCGCACAATGCCAAGGGCCGCACTAGAGGTGGCTCTTGGACCAAGGAAAAGTCCAAAAAGTTGGAAAAAGTCCAGTGGGGACAGACCAAGAGTCTGGTCTGGTCTGTCCCCACTGGACTTTTTCATACAGAAGGAGGCAGCCGTGGCGATCATTAGACTCAGACACGTAGATGGGTTGACGCTGGGTTAGACAGCGTACTCGTGAAGCGCACAACGGAAGGGGGAAAAACTCAGTCGGCTGCAGACAGTCCGAACTGGTGCTGACTGAAGTCTCGTCACGACTTACTTGCAGACTGATCGGGCTTAGCAGACTAGATATCCGAATAGTTGCAGGCACCATAACAGGACACCTAGCCCTGAACCGACAACTATTCATCATTAATGCGACGGACAGTCCTCTTTGCAGAAGATGCCTGAAAGCAAAAGAAACCGCCGCCCACGTAATCCTGGAATGCGAGGCCACACAACGGGCAAGTACCATGCCTGTCAAAATCGTTCTTAGAATTCCAACACACCACCACCAACACTTCTGGAAGGAGCTTGGTTGGCTCACCTAGCCAACCTCTTCTATACGCATAAAGTACCACTCTGCGGAAATCGGAGCCCACAACCAGTACCAATACCTATATTCAAATTCAAATTCAAATTATATATTTGCTATAAATGGGGTGGTACATGTTGTGGTATTAAAGGTTCAATATATTGCGAACAGGCCCATTTAGCCATAAAGATAGCATGCAAATTTAACATTATTATTATTATTATTAATTTAACATTATTATATATTATTATTATTATTATCATCATTATTCATCAGTGTTTGTGTATTGATTATAATTTCACTTTTATTAATTATACCTACTACTCTCCACCATTCAAAAAGTCTTTGACCGAATAAAATGTATTTGTAATTAACCAATCTTTCAGGGCTGGAATGAACTTATTTAATGGTAGTTCTTTAAATCGTTCTGGGATGTTATTGAAGATTTTAATGCACATCGCGTAACAATTTTTTTTGAATTCTTTTCGACCTAGGTACCATGTCCAACACAAGTCTATTTGGATTTCTAATGTTGCTCCTTTTGGTGACATCCTTCGCTTGCTTAAATGTTCGAGGGTGCTGTCTTATGAATTTGCATACCTCGAGGATGTATAAGCACGGTAACGTGAGGATTTTTAGTTTTTTAAAATATGGCCTACAAGATACGTCCGGAGCGATATCACATATGGACCTAATGCACCGTTTTTGTGCTATAAAGGCCTTATCTATGTCTCTACCGTTACCCCATACCAACAACCCATACCTTAACACAGATTCGACATACGCAAGGTACGCTGTACATGCTGTAATTTGGCAAGATACTTTTGCCAGTTTGTACAGAGCGAAAGAGAATCCATTTATTCTGTTTGCGATTTTGTCTATATGTTCCTTCCAGTTAAGTTTATCATTGATAACTATGCCAAGAAATGTCGTATTGTTAGCCATCAAGATGCTTAGTCCATTGTAATTTACATGTATGTTATCGTCATTAAAATTATTAAAATTAATTATATGCGTATACCTCCCTCTCACCCAGATTCTGGGACTAAAGACAACACACTTGTGGCCATCTTGAGTTGAGGGTGTCCACGGGCGGTGGACTTACCATCAGCTGACCCGTCTGCTCGTATGCTGTTTTCTCCTCCTTTGCCTACTATCATCATCATGTATCAAAATTGAAACTTCAATACATTAAAGTTTGAGAACACATTATTTCTTTCTAGTAACTTAAAAAGCAGTAAATGTTACTTTCTAATTAACCAACTTGCAAAATTTTATGTTTAATGGCCCATAATGAATAATTCTAAGTATGTATAACTCATTATACTACCTAATTACTCATAATTCTAAATAATAACTAAGTTCTTTTACACACTTACAGGTAACCATAATAAACATAGAACCGCACCATGGGTTCCAGTAAATTGACACATTCATCATAAGGTAGCCTCTGTATGGTCATGTCTTGTCTTACAGCTCTCAGACGGTCATTCACAAAGTCATACACTACAGGCTGGGGTACATCATCTCTTTGAGTCACCCTGAAAATATTTAAAAAAAAAAACTGGCAATCATAATCAAAAAAATGTTTTTTTAAAAGAGTTTTTTTTTTAAGTTTTGGTATTACATTTTTTAAACTTTTGTCTATGTAAATCATATTTGCCTCTATTACATACTGATTGGAACACAACTTTAAATAAAACTATACATATTAAGAATTGATTTGGAACTAAATTGTCTTACTTGACCAGTAAATATTCCACCGTATGTGTAAGGACAGAGTATGGTCTCAATAGTTTTGGCACTGCTATGTGTAAATCAGCCGCTGAACGACAATAGCTCTTCACTAACTGCCTCTTAGAGCCCACCACTTCTAGTACATGTATTAGTTTTGAAGTCTCCCGCCTATAAGGGAATAGTTACACAATTATTAAAGTGCATAATCAACTTATTTACTTTTAAAGTATTACTCGAGAATCTCAGACAGAAAAAGGTTAATTTTATAAATAAATAAAAGTGTGGTAGCTTAGGTAGTACCTAAAATAAGGGATAGAAAAAATTCGCCTGTTGTTAAATTATATAATTAAAAAATATTTGTGTCAAATCTTTGTTTAGGTTCCTTTGTTATTTATAAGATTAGTCTGGAAAGACGAATTGAGAAGTTACCTAACAATTTGTAAATTAGTGAAAACATAAGCAGTTTGGAGAGACTAGGGTACATCTAGTCTTTTCATTTCGTCTTGTCCGACCGATAAAAGATCAGATAGGAAATGAAAGTAAAGAATAGAAATGTAGGTTACAAATTCTGATGCTATATTATGCAAGTATATTAAACTCATTCTTACTACTGACAGCCTTACAGCAACTGGCACTAGCAAATACATCCCGATATTCTTTGCAGTGAACTAGGAAATACCCAAATGAGAAGCAAAAGTGTACATATGTTTTATCACAACATTCAAAGAAAAATGAAACAACATAATTTAAGGGGCACCTACAGCTTTATTTCTTCTTCAGGACACATAGAATAACAGGTCCCTGCAATTGTGTCACTTTTTCTTTTACAATAATAATCAAAATATGAAGACATTTTTATTTGTTTACGTTCAAGTTTAAACGATACGGTGAATGGTGACGGTTTTCTCTGACTTCTGACCAACCGGGGCTGCCATTTGTAAAATAGCACAAAAATTGAAGTATTAAGGTGGTTTTACACCGGCGAGGCGAGGCGTGGATGGAATGCGCGTGAATTGAAATCACGCTTACCCTTTAACACCGTAAGATGTCCAGGGCTGGCAGTCGCCGGCCATCGCATCCTCGCGCCGGCTCGTGCTATCACGCGCCGGCCAGCCGTGTCTCCCATGCCACTTACCTTTTATCCTTTACCTTTTACTCATATAAAAGGGTCATTGCTATTCCGTTTATTTTAATGTTGAAGTATAGGTATTATCCTTGTTTAGTTTTAATGGTAACACCATCAAACAACATATTGTCCAGTGAAGTATTATATCATTAGCTGGCCTTATGATTTTCATGACAATATTTATCGCATTGTACATAATATACTTACCTAGTAATAACAAACATCTTAGAATGTATTATATTATTTATTACAAAAATATAATGGCGACACCAAAAGCTTGTTGTTATACACGGTGATTTTATAGGCGTTTTGGAAACGAAACATTTTAATTTGGAATCATCTATAGTACCAATAAAAATGGTTAAATCAATTGTAATGTTGACTGAACAAAAGTTTCAGTTTTAATATTCATTTTTACTCGATCGACTTGGAAAGTAGTAATGCACTGATCATTCATTCATATCTTATATGAATGAAACACGTCCGTGCCGTTTCGGCGGCCGCTGCGCACCGCTGACGCTAACAGCAGCTGATAAAAGTATACCTATAGGCGCGAGCTAGCGAGTACTTACGTAGATAGACTGCAGTTTGTCCTTCATACTTTACACGGGCTTAGGACCGTCGGAAATACCTATTTTATTTAAACTTGTTTTCGATTATTAACCACGATTATTCTTTTCACAACAAATCAATTTATCAACGGACTGTAGGTATAAATATTTCAGGCGTATTTAAAAAATCGGAGCTATCTCCAGAATATGCACGCACTACACTCGCGTAATGAGCGGGACAGCCGTCGTGTTGGTAGTACATACCTCTCGAGTAAGCCAACGGCACATCGTCTATTAACTCAGATATTACTGTCATTAACATCTCTAAATACGAGTTGCCGGTTAGATGACCTTCAATAAAAATAGGCCCTATTAATTGGTCGTTAATAATACCGGCCCAAACGTTCACACTGAAAAGAACCTGTTGATGGTTTTCTCGTATCAAGTGGGGGTTAACTACAGCCCAGTAATGCTCATTATGAACATTGTATAGTCCCACTCGAGTAAACAGTGACTCGTCCGTCCAGAGTATGTTGGCGTTTGTATTATTTAATAACCACTGGCAAAAGGCTATTCTTGCCGGTTCGTCAGTGTTGTTTATTACGTGAGCCTTACGAAAATGATAAGGATGTAATCCTTGTGTACGTAATATCTTCCATACGAAGTTTTGGCTAACATCGAATTCTCGTGCTGCCATCCTTGTGCTCCGCTGGGGATCGCGCTCGAAGTACTCAAGAACATCTTCTTCAAACTCCGGCGAATAATAATTTAAACGTCCTTGACCTTGCCTCTTCCAAGTTGTAGTTGGCAGTAGCGTACAGCTGTACCATTACCAAGTACTCCACGTTTGAAAATTCGTACTGTCTTGTCTTGTTGGTGTAAAACCAACTTTATACTGTGAGTAGATAGTCGTAAGGACCCTTTCCTAACACAAAGTTTAAAATGTTAAGTATAGTAGTACTTTGTAATATAAATTTAAAAAGTTTATTTACTTACCTTTTTATAGTCCAAAGGGAATTAAATTAAGTGGTGGATAAATAATTACCTAACCAGTACTATCTGTCATTTACACCATTACTAAGACCAACTACTTACTTGTTGTGACTTGTTGTAACTGAAACTATGCATTTTATTTTTGTTTTATAAAGCCCTTTTGTCTTATCGGCCTATACAAAAAAAAACTCTATAAAACCAAAAATAATATAAGGTGGCAACTCTAAAACTCTGTTTCAAAAAGGCTAATGGGCAAAATATATTTAAATTATTTACTCTGGCGGTATTGTATCACTAAGGTAGCACATAAGTATTCCCTTTATAGCCAGCCTGATAGAAGCCTAATGCTAAAGTATTGCGATGTTGATCAATTTTTGCTAATTCTTAACAACAGTAATCTGAGAACTACGAGAAATATAATGGCACAGATGGCCATAAGGAACTATTATTTTCACTGTACGCAGCTTCTTGTTGTTGAACATTTGCCCAGTGTGAGAGTTATTTTGTTGTAAAAACAAAAAGAACAAATATTTAGACAATTTTTGTTTATAAATATACGATATTTTACTACTTATTATGTATTTGGATCTGAAACCAATTCCCTAACATCCCCTTGTGTTGTTTAATAATGAAATAAGTTACTTTTAAGTAGAAGTGATCCATGAATCCAATAGGTATACTAGACAGATAAAAACGCGATATTAAAATAAACAATTTGCTTTTCAAAACAACAACAAATATAATCTCCCAACAATGGAAGACACGAGTCTTCCGGTGAAGGCCAATAACCAGATCACTACAATATTATTCACTATCTGCAGTCAAAGGTCGCGTCAGTACAAAACGAAGTTATCTCCCATTTTTCCTTCAGTCGCCATGAGTTCTAAGTGCTTGGTGTGTTTGCTTACCGTTTTTTGTCTCGCTCTTGTGTCATGTAAGACTATATATTTGGAAATGAGCCCGCCTACAGACGAAGAGGTTGGTAATCATCCCTACTTTATGTGCAAATGTGTACTTTGTTTGCAAATATTTTATGTGTACTAATTTCCTTTGTTACTGCAGACATGCACTTTTTATCACATTATATCCTACAGGATAGGATAGTTACAAGTTACTGTCATTGTGATTTCATCTACTTAATATTTATAGTGAAATATAAGGGATCTTAGGACTAGGGAACGGAAAATGAAGTTTGGAATTTCCTTCCTTTTAAAATGACTGACGCAGTGACGGCCTAGTCTAAGAAGGAGTGAGGCGTAGGATGAAGTCAGAGTAAGACCTCTTTTTGTGGCTGTTTTAGGTGTGGTTATGTTCAGTAATACATATTCTATGGAGAAGGCGACGATGATAAATATAGTGTATAATGGAGAACATACGCTTGCATGTGCTTAATAGCCAAATTCAAATCGCCAGACCTCTAAAACAACAAAAGTGCTAATTCATTTTATATTATTAATTTTATATATCCATATTATGGACACCTTATCATTGCAAATGAAGAACTATTACGGCGCCCCTAACTAAAAGTATTCACATCTACAGACAGCATTTCTGAAGAAGTATGGCTATCTACGAGAGTTTAAGGTACCGGGATCTGATGCAGGCTATAGTCTCAATGATATATCCGAAGCGCTGAAGAAGATGCAAGCTTTCGCCGGGCTGTTGGAGACGGGGATGCTCGACGCTGAGACAAAACAGGTATGAAGCGAACTTATAAGATCGCCCTTAATGCCCTTATCATCATCTTATCCCTTGCATTTATGATAAGGGCATAAGGGCAAGGGATGACAGTTGGAAGGACAAGGAATCTCTATTAGTTATTCAAGCATTATGTGAGAATGAATATCGTCATAATTCACAATACTCGTAACTAATCTTGATTTAGCTATACTGCTAATTCCTGAGCTCGTTTGAACTGATTTTGGGGGTGGACGAGGTCTGAAAACAGACCCCTATTAATTAACACAAGTTCTTATTTGAAACTTTCAAGATACTGTACTAGTTATGTTACATGTATATTTTATATATAAAATTCTCGTGTCACAATGTTCGTTCCCGTACTCCTCCGAAACGGCTCGACCGATTCTCATTAAATTTTGTGTGCACATCGGGTAGGTCTGAGAATTGGCCAACATCTATTTTTCATACCCCTAAATGGTAAGGGTGACCCATCCCTAATTTTTTTTTGTTTTGCAATACAACGTTTGCCGGGTCAGCTAGTAATTGTTATAAAAATTACTAATATTTTAGTAGAAAGTATCATTGTTGTACTTTTCAAAAACTCAACAATTCGATAAGCATGCAGTAATTTGGCTATAGGCTAAGGGTCTTGCCCAAAATAGTTTGGGAATCCCTTCTCCACAAATTAAATCTTTCTATTAGAATCTTCTAAATGAGTATTTTTTACAATACCGCACAATTGCGAAACGAACATACTTAAAGATTAGTAGTTATGAATAAGTGCTATTCAAGTTGATATTTCTTCAAGAAGACACTGTCGGCCTTACTAAGCAGAAGCGTAACACTATGTTAGTATCTACCTTGGGTGACCTACGGAACGCATCGGCGGCTTCTGGAGTCCTCTCTGCCATACCCCATAGTTGAGGCACATCCTAGGGTGAACACCACACCCTCAGGTCGGGAGCGCCCCGCCTGTCTCGGGTCGTTTGCAGCGGCCCCACAACATCCCAAGATATAGCGATTGGGGAGCTAGCGACCTCTGCTGCGTTCCCTTAGCTGCAGTGCCCTACGAGCAGGATCAGCCCTCTCCCGATCCCGCTCTGCGGACTTCTTCTTTAGTATAACGTCCTCGCAGAAGGAGACCACGGCTGCCCATCCCTCGCCACTCAACTTTCTTGACTTCTTGACAAGTTTCGTCCAATCTGTCTGACCAGGACTCGGCGCTCGGACTCCCATGCATGGCAGTCTGCCAGCGTGTGCTGTGCGGACTCACAGTGGTGGCATTGTGCCGTGACGTCCCGTCCGATTCGATTCAGATACTCACCTAAGCAATCGTGCCCGGTGAGCACCTGAGCCAATCGGTAGGTGACACAGTCGTTCCTCCCTACTCACACTTCGAAGCTCGGAAGGACGGTTCCAACGGCGCGTTGGTTAGCACAGACCTGGATTTCGAGTCTCGCTGGCCACGTCATGCGTATGCGCGTTCCGGGGTAGCATTCCGGGCTCATGATCCGCCGCGGCCTCTTCACCGCTCCGACCGACAGAGCGAACTTGTTCATATGTCGGAAAGAATGACGAAGCGTGGATTTCGCGCCAGGACTGTCATCGACTCAAACGAGATCGTACAATAGCTCCGTACGATCCGTATGGCCATCAACCGCTGCAGGCTTCTAAGTAGAACCTTGCAGCGGGAAGCACCCGCCAGATCATTACACCAGACGGGTGCCCTATAGAAGGCAGTAGATCGCACAACGCCCATGTAGAGGCGGCGAACTTCTTCCCGTGGTCCCCCGAGATTGGGCAGCAGGCTATGATGATTTTATGTTCAAACTATTTATTCGTTAATTTATATAAGTAGTACGTGTTGTTTAACCTTGTTTTACATAGAAATAATAATAATTATGTGTTCAGATAAAACAACTCCCATCAAGACACGTTCTGGAGATCGTATAGAATAAATTAACTAGCAGTGCTAAACATTTAGAGATATCAATTTGTAAATAGACTCGGCCAGCAGAAACCGGCGAAAAATATATCTACTGGACAAATATGAATGTAAAACCTCCTTACCCTACCTACTTATTTACTTATATAAATCAGTTGATAATTTGATCTTAAAATAAGAAAACACTAAATATAGTGTGATGAGCTTCAGCGTTTCCTTGTTGTTTATCATTCAATAGATGACTAAAAGTTCATTACTGATTTTAGCTTTTCAAAAAACGACGCTGTGGAGTAAGAGACATAGAGCCGAAGAACACACACGCAGCGAGAAGGCGCCGGTACGTGTTGCAGCAAGGATGGACGAAGCGCTCCATATCTTACAGGTTATGTATAAATTGTTATAATTAACAACGACCTTCAAAACTTCAAGAAAAGAGCGTACTCCTTCCTAAAAGGCCGGCAACGCGTTTGTGACTCCTGAGTTGCAGACGTTCATGGGCGGCGATAGTCACTTACCATCAGGTGACCCGTCTGCTCGTCTACCCCCACTAACATAAATAATAATAATAATAATTAAGAAATAACCAGCTACTCTACCCACCTAATCGTATGTACACTACCACCAGTTAGAATTCTCCACACCTTACTTCTTTGCAGACTATTATTATATTATTATTATTGCAGGTTAAAACCTGCAACCGCTCGCTCTAAAGTCCTGTGCCTTAGCCTTTAGTTTTTTGACGTGACAACGTCTTATAATTCGATGGAGCCGGCTGCACGCACGAAAAAACATGACTCATGCGGCGTTACCTCACTCTGAGGCGTTCCATTTAAGGCTTGAAGTGCAAGCGAGAGCGCGGAACGAGCGACAAAGAGGCACATTCGGCGGCGTTCGACATCTGTCTAACAAATAAAATTAAAATGTTCTTTTGAAAAATGCAACCATTCCATTAGTATTTTCTTATGACGTTATCACGTTCAACAATCGTCAGTAAAGCGACTTTACAGACAACCGATTTTTTGTTCCAATATAGAGTGAAGAATGGCTCTAGCACGCTGGACAAGGCGCGAGTCGAGGAGCTGATTGCTGAAGGTCTGGCAGTATGGGCACCTCACGGCAAGTTACAATTCCACAAGAAGGAAGGTGAGGGACGCGCTGATATTGAAGTTTCGTTTGCCGCAGGATCTCATGGTGACGGGTGAGCACTATCCCACGAACATACACACTTACGTCTTACCTAAATCAAGCCTACAGCCGCCAAACAGGCAAACATTTTTCTAAATATACACATATTATTGTTCAAATTCACCCAGTTATAGAACTAATGATCGTGCTTATCACACTGAATTTATTAAAGGTGGAAATTGAACTCACGGCCTCTGGCTAAGCAGTAAGGCTCGCTAACCACTATACCAACAAGCACAATCACAAAAGCGATTGAACTTTTTTTAAATAATGCTATTAAATATCTAAATATAATGGTAACAAAAAGTTAAGACAATGTTTGCACTCTGAATTTTAGGAACATACAATTATCACTCCGGCCACTTGTTCCCGTGATATTTTAATCTTTTCGTACAATCACGTGGCAAGAAAATGAAGAAAAGTAAGAAAGTAAGCTATCTAAGCTAATATAATAAGGCGAGCGCTCGCGTATAACGCTACGAGCGTCCGCCGCGCCGCCTGCACCTCTCCCGGTCCCCGTTCTCGTCCTACCTCCGCGCCCCTGTACCCCGCAGGCAGAGACTTACTTAAGCGAAATAATAATAATAATAATATATTAATTCGTATATATAATGTATATACAAATAAACCTCGGAAATTTTCATTTGTACTTAATAGCGTACTCGTATAGAACGTTCTCTCTTTAAATTATTTCTTTCAACGTTAGTTAAGCTACATAACTATTCACATTTTGCTAATTCTTATTGTAAACCACACGTAGGTATATAACGAAATAAGGAATTAAATTACATGCTTATATATGCCACGACATGGAATAACTTCAAATAAAACATCCGACTATTATACACGTTAAAAAAGTATTGATTAATATAAAAATATGTAATACACCCCTACTAAAGTAAAGCGATGTTGTGGTTGTCGCCATGTCGCTATCATTCAGCGTACTAATCAGCATGATAAGGCCGCCCATTGTACCACAGTTTTTTAATTTATGTTTTCCTAACCATGGTGTGCAATAAAGAGTACCTATCTATCTATCTAATTAATATTTCCTAGATATTATTATACTAGATATTCCTATGTGAAGCTAGGGACCGACTATAACCAGACTAGCAAATTTGAAAATCTTTGTTTCTGTAAATCATCTCAATCTTCTCGTTGTAGGTTCCCATTTGACGGCCCTGGACGCGTGGTGGCTCACGCGTTTCCTCCACCTCACGGGGCAATGCACTTCGACGACGACGAAATTTGGGGTGACAACCCTGAAGAAGACGATGATGACGTCACTGACTTCTTCGCGGTAGCTGTTCACGAGATAGGGCACGCTCTAGGGATGGCACACTCCAACGTTAAGACATCTGTCATGTATCCTTACTACCAGGTGCCTATAGAGCGGCTTTATACGGATGATATTCTCGGCATGCAGGAATTGTATTGTAAGTTGTGTACCAAATGTGACTTCTTATGTGTGTATGTTAAGTTTGGTGTTAGTTGCAATGCGATTTCAATTTAGAACATCATTTACCGTTGGAACATCATGGGGGAGCCACTCTTCAGCTCGACCGGAGTGATATACCACGGCCTAACAGGTAACTGGTGATAAGATACTCTATCCGTGTCTTTCACCGAGTGAGTGTAGTTACCGGAGATTAACACTCCCCCCAACCCTCTGGGGGAGGAAGCACTCATATGGTGGTAACACTCGCGTCTCTTAAGTTGCATGTGTCTATGCGCAGCGGTAGGCACATACCATCTGGTGACTTGTCTGCTCCTTTGCTCCCTTATTGGCATCAGACGTAATAGATAAGATCCACCGCCACAGTCTTCGGTGAAGATAGTAATGTATCTAAATTAGAACAGGAAAGTTCTCTATCGCATACCTTCACAATCCTAGTTCTTTTTTAGGTTTGTTTTTAGTTACCCTATGATAAACCTGAATATATGCTACCTACTTCTAGACTCAGCTGAGAGATAGTAGTTTTTTTTTTATTGAATAGGAATAACAAACAGCTACAACATACATTTTACAAAATAATCTTAACAAATATTGCACTTATGTTATATTGTATCCCACAACGTTATTCACAAATTAACAGAAAGAAGTATAAAATACATTAACAAACACGCTAAAATTTGTATAGGTCGGAATATTCATACATTAGTCGTTAAGGTTATGCAGTTTACTTTTAAGTGAGAAGTTGGGAGAATACAATTTTATTTTAGTAAATGAAAAACAAGAAGAAGAAGAGAAGCCTGAAGAGATAACAGAAAGCCCGACGGTATCCCGCTCTTCGCTGGTGCCAGGATTCACGATGCCCAACAGTGAGGATGCCGACGAGAATTACATACCAGACTTGTGCATGGCCAATTACGACACACTGCAAGTTCTGCAAGGCAAAATCTTTGTGTTCGAAGAAGAGGTACGATAGGACATTTTCAATATAAACACTACAAAACATACCGAAGCCAACAAAAGAAAAAAAACGAATAAGCCATGTATAATATAACCAGCTATTACTTCATTTGCCTGATTATTTCCTATTTAGTGTCTATAACTATTTTATCCCCTTAGGAGTGAATTTTCAAAAATCTTTTCTAAGATATAATACAATATAAAAAGCTTCAGCTGCCAAAATTACAAGTTTGTAGTCCCCGCAGTTTAGGCTCTACGTTGATGAATCACTCAGTGAGGGCAAATAATGTTATAAGTATGTATAGATTGGTGACCAAACGCACCAAATTATAGTTGGCAAAATGCTGGTGTTTATTCACCTCACACAAACGACTACGCCATTCGAGGAACGAATGGCGTAGTAGTTTGTGTAACGGACTGCTATTCCAAAGGTCGCGGGTTCGATTCCCGCTCAAGTCAAACATTTGTGTGCATAAACATTTAATGTTTGATTTGGTCTGGGTGTTTTTATGTATAATAAGTATGTATTTACAAAAAAAACAGTATATATGTATTTATATCAGTTGTCTAGTACCCATAGTACAAGCTCTGCTTAGTTTGGGACTAGATGGCGTTGTGTGAATGTGGTACAATATTATTATTACTACCTCTGCTTACACCTTTGAGGTATAGGTAAATGTGATATGAATAAGTACTTCCGCAATTGTAATTTGGTAGCATTATATTTTTAATTAAAACATGTGTTTGTTACATAAATCACAAATAATTTAATGATAACATGTTACTCATTTTTTTAAGTGGGTGTGGGTACTTCGCGACAAACACAAGATCGAAGAAGGCTACCCAAAATTATTTATCGACGTGTTTAGAGGTCTCCCTGCCGATGTTACGATGATCAAGACAATTTATGAAAAACAAAATGGAAACATCGTAATTTTCTCAGGTAATCGAGAAAACCATTCCTAGAGTTCGTAAAATTCTCCTTTTTTAAGGTTTCGTACGCTCGAACGAAGAATGAATCGTTAAGAGTATGGTGATACAACGGACACGCGTGCGAGGTACCGGCGCAGGACCATGCGAGTCAGTGCGGGTCCGTGTGGATCCGTGCGGGTCTGTGCGTATTAAACAGTTATAGACAAACGCTCAAATCATCGAGAGTTCAGCTACTGTGCGACCATGTGTACCCTTGATTAGAGAACTTGTTACAGTTGTGTGTGGTCGTCGAGAGCATCGCAAGACACGATACATCGCCACACGGAATGTTATAAAATACACTGTAATCAGTGATAAACTCTTTATCGACAACATAGCGAGAATTAATTAAAATAGATTCGACAACAATTACTAAAGTTACCATGTTTTTTAATTTTTAAAAATGTAAAAAAAAACTACTTTAGACAAAGAGCACTTAATATTGTAATCATGGTAAACAGCCTAAAACACTCCACTGCTGGACATAGGCCTCTCCTTAAAAAGAAGTTTTTGGCCTACTATACAACGCTAGTCAGACGGGTTGGGTTTAGGTTTGGGTATAGGGTTTGTTTCAAGTTTTCCTTCTTTTAGTAGTTTGCTCCCATAGTCGGCTCTTACGACACCCATGGGATGTGTGGTGACACTCCGTATTCTCAATCCGTCAACACACGGATAGTGTATTGTAATATTAATTGCAAACTTCATTGCAAAGACTATAATAAATAAGACACTCAATATCGAACATGAATGCATAATACTGTAAGTAGAACCTCCTCTTTTTTCTAAAGTGGGTAAATAACAATAGCATTAATCACTGTACCCATATTAACTTGCTGACAATGGAACCACCACAGGAGAATACTTTTTCAAATAAAAAAGATTTTTAAAATCGTTCCACAGATGACGGAAATATCTCCTCCTTTTGTTGAAATCGCTCAAAGAAAATAGCTCCCGCACCGTCTACGGGTGATGTTGTGATAACTTAACAAACACGTAATGTGTCTTTTGTAATGGTGAATTACCCAAATATTTTGAAAGCACGCATTGTAAGATTGCATTATCATCAGGGTGTACCAAAAACCTTTGGTGGAACATGTCCAAGAAATTTGATAAACATAAATAATTGAATTTCAAGCGATTTCACTTTTGAATGCCAACTTAGAAACGAAAAAGAGCAAACTGTACCCCAAAAAATGAAATGAATTATTTCCTTTAATTTTCAGGACAACTACTACTAAAATAGGCCAAAATTTGTTTTCCTTGTTTTCAAAAATGCAGGCCCTAAAATTACAGGCAAACCTATCAGAAGTCGATGGTCTTAAAGTAACATGGTGGAAGATTTCCCATATTCTTTTTTATTTATCTTGATTTTGCCTGGACTAAGAATAAATCTGATAAATACGCAATCATTAATTAGACAAAACAAAGAGCAGACATTAATAATCATAACTGCATATTTCAGAACACAATTTGTTCGAGTTCGACCCCTCCTTTCAAATAATTCGATCAGGCTTTATATCAGAATATCAAATACCTGATGATGTCTCCGAGCTGACGTCAGTGTTCGTGTCAAATTACAACAATAAAACGTACCTGCTAGAGGAAGAGAGGTTCTGGCGTTTTGATGAAACCAACATGACTATGGACGCAGGTTACCCTAAGGATATGTCCGCGTGGAGAAATGTCCCGTATCCTGTTAACGCTGCTATTGTTTGGAAAGGAGGTAAGGGTACAATGCAATACAATTAGTTAATTAATATGAATACAGGAGTAGTAACAATTTGAATCTTATTGTCTTATAATACTAATGATTAGAGTCTAAGTTTTGTTACAATATCTAACTAACTTTGTGTTATTTTTTCGTCCATAGAGCTGAGCGGTTTTGACCGTCAGCGTTAATACTTTGTGATTTCACAAAATGGCCAAAAGAACGCATTGTTTTAAGCTTTGATCTACCCTGATTTCGAAAATTTCGATCTGTGTGTGTACTTGATTGACTGTACGGATGGCGTAGTGGTTTAAGTGGTCACCTCGCCGCTTCCCACCGCTTAGTGTTGTGGGTTCGACCCCCACATGGGACAGTCTGGATGTTCATTGTGTCCACTTCATGAACTTTTCACAATAGTGTCTAATAACTCATTTGTTTTAATAAAATATATCATTGTTTTATGACCTGTCATAGTTTGCCAATATTATTAATACAATAAATTCGAGTTTGGGAATAGGACTAAGCAATCTCACACTTTAAAATGGATTCATTGTTTGAATTTTCCAGACACTTTCTTCTTCCAAGGTCCTCGGTACTGGCGGTTCGACAACACGCTGGTTGAAGCCCACAGGTACTACCCGCTACCCACGGCGCCGATCTGGTTCAAATGCGAAGCGACGCCAGAAATGACCCGCTATATCACAAATGACGGACCGTAAATCGTGTTACATAGGCATTAATTGTAAATAGTGTCTTGTTAGGAATGTGTTTAGATATTTATATGAATTATTAAACTGTGTTATAATAATAGTTGTAACAGTTTTATTTCATGTTTAAAAGTCAGGACCTCAATTCTGCCATTTTATGTTAACGTGTAAACCACTGTCATTCCATTGTCACGCTATTGTGATACCATTGACATCGGTCAAAATATCGGAATTCTACTAACATAACTCCACAGTGCCAATAAACTGTCGATGTAGTGATATCAACAACATTGCCGTCAACATCTGGCAAATGAAATATATTATTTCCTTAAAAATTTGAAATGTAGGTACCGTTTAACAAACTATTGCAAAGACAAGTGCAGAACTATTCCAATGACATTCCATCGACAATCTATTGACACAATATTAAAATAACAGAATTAGGCCCGTGATGGTAAGTGACTATCATTGCCTGTGGTCAATTGCATCCCAAGGGTCCCAAGTGCGTTGAGTTCCTCACTCCAGGTATTAGTGTCATTGACACTGACTGGGCCACCATTAGGGATTTAATTTTGATAACACAAAAAATACGAATTTGACGGTCACTGGTTCAAAAGTTATAAGCGTTTATAGGTAGCCGCACTGGGGTCAGGCTCCCCAGCTTGGCCACGCTTATATCTCAAAAAACTAGGGCACCTATAGAAGATCTGTTTTCTCCCAAATTTAGTCGCTAATTAGTCGGAATCAGTCGCCAAATATCAGAACACGTCACTAGTTCATAAGTTATAAGCGTTTCTAGATGGCCTACCTTGGTATGATCTCCCCAGCTTAGCCACGTTTATATCTCAAAAAGTAGAGCACCTAGGATTAGGTGAACAGGCACTAATAATATACCTTTTTTTTCCTATGCGTTACTCTGCAACGGAACACCCCTTGGATACCATCCACCAGTGGGGTGGTTATGTCGGACTCGAACCGACTAAAACTGCACGCCGTGTCCAGATACCAGTACCCTAAGGAAAGCCCTGGTAGCCCGACGTACCTCGGGCCATGGGAACCCCGATGTTCCCTTCCTGCCCCCGACCAATAATATACCCTAATCAATTACCTTTTTTTAAGAAATGCAAGGTATTCCCTATCCAACAATATTAAACTTTAAGTAGATTCGTTGCACACGCTTCTCCACACAAAAGCGTGCGCAATGCTGTAGATAAGAATCCTTATCATTCATGAAATAAATAAGGATGCAAATTAACATAATACCTATATATGTACACAAATAAATAAAATTGGAGTGTCTGTTTGTAATATTAAAATAACCGCTTTTTACTAAATGCATATGTACTCGTATGTTTACACGGTACATCTGCCAAAATAACATTTTTTACAATTTTTGTCTGTCTGTTTGTTCCGGGTAATCTCTCGAACGGCTGGACCGATTTCGACGGGACTTTCACTGGCAGATAGCTGATGACATAAGGAGTAACTTAGGCTACATTTTTTAGACTAGCTTCGACCCGCGGCGTTGCCCGCGGTTATAACAACAAACGCGGGTAACACCGCGGGTCTCAGCTAGTCTAACATATAATCTTTGTCATATTCAAGTAACAGGTCCCTAGTCTGTTATGTCAACTGTCCTAGATAGTTGAGAATATCAAGACCATATAAAACCGAATAAATAATACAAGGAAATAATTAAAATATTTCACTTTATTAGAGTTCAAAATGACATAAAATAAAAATACACAGATATAACAAAAAAACTGTTTAGCCGAATCATTTGTTGTCCGGAATGTTGTCACGTTCTAGGTAATAACAATAATACTGTACCGTTTTATTTCACTATAGTAACAATAATAATTCATTACATTTATTCACACATATTTTGACAACATTTTACAGTTTTTTAAATTATTTGTACTATAAGAGTTGAAAGCAAAATTAGTGGGTGGAAAGCACCAAAACTTGTTTATAGACATTTTATGTCTTTTCACACATATACTGAAATACAAAACATTGTGATATATCATGTAAAAAACTCGATTTACTAAGTTAATTTTAGAAAATTAACAAGTGTGGGTAGATTTAAAAATAAATGTAACAATGTTGTTTCATGTGGTGTGACAATCCCATCTTACAACACTGTGTAAATGCTAAAGTTATTCAGAATGTACTAATCACCGATTTATTATAACCAGTTCAGACATGAAAGTAATAACCGCATAAAAGATAGAGACAGAAACCTTTGATGCGTTGTCTCTGTCATGTTTTGTCTATTCTCGTAAATAACAAACAATGGTTCAACTATTGCTTTATGTAAACTACGTACAACGACTACATACCGATCTATCGACCATCGACTAAACACCAAGATTATCGAAAGTAAAAATATAAGTACAAAAAATAATCACTGGAAAATGTAATATCATTACCTAGCTCTATCTATAATGTATTTTTTTTCTATAATAGATTCAGTGTTACCATATAAATATCTGAACTATTCGCTAACAGGATACAAACTCTTTTTAATTTATTTGTTCATAAAGGTCTGTTACCATAATTTTTTTAATGAATTTTAAAATTGTTTGAAGAACATAAATAATTGTTAAGTATATTTTAAATTCACTGTTTTTTTTTTTGTGATTGTGGTTGTACACAAAACTCTTCTAGCAAAAAGATACATTATAGACATTGGCTCATGTATTTGAGGGACGTTACATAGTCGGTTATATTTCGCTATGAGGTCGTGTAAGTGCTCGTGCTCCTGTTGTGAGTGGTGGGTGGGAGGGAGGTGGGTGACAAATATTTAGCTGCAGCACGACGCAGGGTTGGGGTCCTTGCCGGAGCGCTTGGTGATGTTGAGGCGGGTGAACTCCTCAGCCACCGTGGGGTGGATACCCACTGTGTTCATCAGCTGTTCCATAGTGATACCACATCTGGAAATATTACAAATGATTTTACAGTTAGTAATGATGTAAGGGCATACGTTCCATTAATAATTTAAATATTAATAATAAGTTTGTGTGGCATATATCAAACTTTCAAGATATTTTGTTTTATATGGGATACTGTTAAGCTTTGTATTTTAACCGATTTCAAAAAAGTTAGAGGTTCTCAGTTCAGTTATGGTTTTTTTGTTATGTACTTCAGAACTCCCTGATTTATGAACTGATTTTGTTTTTTTTTTATTTGTGGGGTAATATTTTCTGTTTAGTTTTATTAGAATTACTCTTAGGAATGATATTTTTTATCATTCCTAAGAGTAGCAAATTCAACAGTTAACAAAAGCAAAAATGTAAAATTTTATTCAATCGATAAATGGTATTAAAATGCATTTCAAAACATCAAAAACTTTACGCGTAAATTGATGAAAATGCTACACGCAATGTTGTTTGTTCTACATGACGTCATGTCAGCTGTAAACCACGGTAATACGATCAGTGACAACGTGAATTATTGTAATTTAAAATGGATCAATAACCTTATGATAAGTGATCGAAATAGAACAATACATATATTGATGTGTAAGAATCCGTTAGTTGTTATAAAAATAAGGATTTACGGAAAAGAACACCCTATCATTGAAGAGCTCATTGGTAGATTTATTACCTAAGAAATCATATTTTTTTTTACTACTACTATATTATAGTTACAATATATTGTATAAACAAAACCTAAGCAAGAATTTGAAATAAACGTTAATTAGAGGTGGCTGGGGCTCCAGTAGACTCACTTAATGGCGGCGGCGAAGCCCTGTATGACCTCCCCGGCGTGCGGGCCCACGAAGTGCAGCCCCAGGATCTTCTGCGGCTGCTCGCGGAGCGCCACCGCCTTCAGGTAGCAGTTCTTGATGTTGCGCTGCGGGATAAAGAACTCCGTCGGCTTATAGTATGCGTGGTAGATCTCCAAGTTATCAGCGCCATACCTGATTATAACAAAATTGTAAGTTAATTTTAAGTTGCAAGTTAAATATAAAATGCTTCGGGAAACATTCTCACGGACAATCTCTACGAAACGAATTCGATTTTAAAATAATTTGATTTTTTTGGATACTTGTTTTGTTTTGTAGTTTGTTTGTCGTAAGAGCCGACTAAGGGGGCAAGCTAAAGAACAACAGGCAAGCTGCAAAGGGAAGGAAAACTTGAAACAAAACCTATACCAACCCGTCTGGCCAGCGTGGTATAGTAGGCCAAAACCTTCTTCCTAAGGAGAGGCCTATGTCCAGCAGTGGACTATTATAGGCTGTTGATGTGATGTGTGATGTGGATACTTGTTAGAGTTAGATGTTTCTATGGATTAGGGGAAATGAGCAGGCGGTTCATTTGACTGACGAAAGTGTGTAGAGAAACTACTGTTGCGTGTTCAGCTACTTTCTTTCTTTGTTTTTTTAAAAGACAACTCCCGCACTATGAATAAATCCCGTGTCGCGGGGGGACTTTACAAACATACATGAAACGGACACGAAGAACACCCAGACTCAGAACAACAATTTGTGGATCACACAAAGTGCTGTCCCATGTGGGGATCGAACCCTCAACACTCAGCGCAGTAGGAAGCGACGAGGTAACCGCTTAAACCACTATGCCATCCGTGCAGTCAACTACTATTTTATTACTCTCTTTGTTAGTATTTATCGTCAATACACACATTCAAACAGAAATTTAGCTGACTAGTAATAATATTAAGGAAATTATAATATCATCATAATGATAAGGAAATTATTTGGGGTCGCTGTAATCACAGTATATAGTTGTAACAAAACAATATGCGTAATGCGTGTATAATGTGTAAGTTCATTACCCGCCCTTTAAATGTCCAGTCCCCAGAATTAGGAGAGTGTGGGGGATTTGTTTCTTCGTAAACTTAATCACTCTGTGTAAAGTAACAAAATAATTGTTAAACATCGTTTTTTTGTGAGGCTGTGGTATTATTTCGATGGAGCGGGTTAATAGTTACGATTAAATACAATATTCATTTTTTACGATAAATTGTTAAGTCAAGTACTGTACGATAGAGAGAGCGATATATAACGTGTAAGAGTCTAACCGGCTAGTGGCGACCTCCTCGCTGAGGCCGACGGCGCCGTACTCGAGCGGCGTGAAGACGGTGGTGGCGATGTTGTCGTAGTCCATCTGCTGCGAGCTGCCGCTGAACAGGCGGCGCGCCAGCAGGCGGCCGGCGTGGATGGCCACGGGCGTCAGCTCCGGCCGGTCCTCCAGCACGTCGCCCACCGCGTAGATGTGCGGCACGTTCGTTTGCTCCGTGGCTGCCGCGATCTTGCCGCTGGGTGTCACGCACTGAAATGGAACAATAACCGGTTAAATTCGTCCTGTGAGGTACATCCCCAAAGAGGGATGGCATCACATCAGACAAGAGGCCGTACGTTTCGCTGAAATCCTGGCAACCTGTAAACAGCTGCGTGACTAAGTCTATAAAAATACCATGTACACAAAAAAGACTCGTTGTACTAAAAAAAAAACCAGTTCCTAATTTAACTATTACAATATATATTCCGTGTGGATTTAAAGTGTCATCAGCCCTATTCATACCGTGGGTATCTTAAAGAGTCGACTGAAGTAAACTGCAGGACAGCAGCACTGCAAAGAGAAGGAAAACTTCCCACAAACCCCTATATCAACCCGTCTGGCCAGCGTGGTATAGCAGGCCAAAACCTTTCTACTATCAAAGCTATTGATGAATATTTACTTACATTGACTCCTGCCGCTTCCAGATTAAGTTGTTTGGTGAGCGCGTATCGTCCTGTTGCCATCAGTACAGTGTCGAATATTTCCTCGACCCTGCAACAAGTGAACGTTTTTAAAATTGTAAACATATAAACTAAACTACAGGGAATATTGTAGATATGCATTTATTTGCCATTCCTTACTATATAACACTTAAAAATGTTTGTATACGTTTCAAAAACTTAAAAAGTTCTACCCGACTTTGACACGATACCCAACCCACTTTAAACATTGTTTTAATCTATTTTTCGGGTCAGTTTTGTTTCTTATTTCTTATCAATGCAATCACAAAGTGCCACACCGAAGCACGGCGGGGTACAGCTAGTTATTAATGAATTAGGATTTACGCGTTTAGCTTTACGGATTTGGCTTTAACCACTTACTGTTGATTTGTCTCCGTGTTCTGCCAACGCGCCTTCAGTTTGCCATTCTCTAACTTCTCCACAGACAGTGGAACGCACTTGTGACAGAATTTGACTCCTCTCTCCTCCATCTCGTTGGTGACCATTCGCGCCATCTGTTGGTCGAATCCACGCAACGGTACGGAACGCACCAACACTGTCGCCGGATAACCCATGGAGTTTAAGAAGCCCGCGCATTCTAGACCGATATCTGTTTACGGTTAAGGCTCTTTATCTATAAATATGGGTTGCGAAAAAATACATCTATACGTTAAAATTTTCATCACAATACATTAACAGTGTGCGCCAAACAATAGGTTCGAATTGTGAGAAAATAACACAACAATTTAACTCACGGTCACACTATACTACTTTTATAAATATATGCACTTTTTTTACTGAAAGCGAGACTCGAAAAACATAGTCGGAATTCGTTTTTGTTGAAAGGATTACAAGAGTCTAAAATTACTCTGTATATTTAATACGTACTCAATTTTTCTTATAATCAATATTATTTCACTTTCAATGCACAAAGTACTCAGAAAATGTAAAAAAAGAAAGTAAGTATAAAAAAAAACAGGAAGAAAAGGATACATCCAGCGCCAACAACCAGCGTCTTGCCTGGCTCATGTCCCAAACTAAAGATATCATCACTGCTGATGCAGTATTCAAGAGCGCCAGGGATGTTTGGGTAGTGGGGTCTGCCTCCTACGGCGATCACTATGTTCTTCGCCGTCAGTTCTTTCTTTGAGCCATTCTTTAAAGTAGCTATAATGGTGTGAGGGTCTTTGAACTCTCCCAAGCCATTAATGTATTCAATTTTCTTATCTCTAAGGTCCACTCTTGTGACCCAGTTGACTGATTTGATGTGATTCTGCACTGATTCTGTAAGCGCTGGCCAGTTGATCTTCACATTCGATAACGCCGGTACTTGCCAACCGTAAGCGGTGGCTTCCTGCAAGATTTATATAACAACATACAAACAAGTGCCTAGTAAATCTAATTATAGGATTTATTTAATAAACAAAGCACAGAATGTTTTTTTAAAATACCTTTATTTTCAGAAGGTACAGTTAAAGTTATGAACAAAGATTGATGAAGACTGCTGATTATGTTCATGGAGTACAAACTAAGAGGAGTATTGTAGTTGTTTTTTTTTAATATTGCAAAGGACTATAGACCGCATGAGTAGGGTGAACCTTAGCATCAATATTTTTAATCTTTTTTAAGGGCATGGCCGCATTGTCTTTTGGTGTAAAGACGTGCAATGTTTCGACTACCAACATGTTAAGATCGTCGCTCCTCTACGTTTAGAAGTACTCTATTACCATAATAGTTAAGCAATTTAAAAACTATCAAGATATTACGTTGCGGCCAACGGACTTTAAGAGATATTTGATCTTGATACTAGCTAGTGCGACTCCTTCCACTTTTAAATAGACTTGGGATTATTCTTGGCTTCGCTACTTTTTGCAGTCACCTTGAAAGGAAAGGCTAGAGAATGAATAGAATAGCTATTGAATTTAAATTTTTGCTTAATTTTCTTTTAAATAAGACCTATTTCATTGTCGTTACGCTCAATAATTTACGTAGACGCTTATATGCATTTGGTTGTACTCTAGTTAGCTGCAGTAATTTACAGTTAACATAGGTTTCTATACAAATAATCGGGTCCCTATTATTTGAGACTGATTCCTCACGCACCAGGTGTACTACTATAACTCCACACACCAGGATCAACAGCAGTGACCCACGAACACACCGAGTTATGACACTCTGGCAGTTCCAGGAAAAGTTAAATTGTCTTAGTAGGGTCTCCAATAATATAAAATAAGTAAAATGGAATATAAGATGTGATGGACTGTTAGAGAAAGGTCCGCTTGGTTCCTGCACTCGGCTGAGCAAGGCTCAGGCACAACAGGATGGCATTAATAGGCACACCAACAAATTACTAAGATGATGTCGCCAAACGTCTTCGAAAAAAAAAACTGTTCGACATGAACCCGAATCGGGCGATAAAAATCAAATGTGGACTTTATAAATAATTCAGTAAATAGCATTTGTTTTGTATCGGCTTTAAAGTGTAACTAACAGCCCACACGACGAAAATACCTACATATTTAGTAATTTCCACCCTTGTCAAGCGTATTATCGACTACATCTAACTAAAGTCACGTAGGTACAGAAAATTCCAGAAGATTTTTACTTATTAGATACTTATACTTATAGACACTTATTTCCTGTCTATTAGTAATATATTGTAGCAACAATCTTAATTAAATCTATTTGGTTTTTAGTGCCTTTGTTTTTTTTTCTAACATCAGTGTTGTTTCTAGCGGCGGTTTTTATATTTTGTTTCATTGTTTACATCTTGGCTTTTTAAAATTTACCTTTGCAACAATAAAACAATATAATTCAAGGTAAGGCTGTTCCGTGCTAATTACAAATTGCGCAATAATTTACATATATAGGTAGTTTATCACGGTACGTGACTTGCAGAACGCTGATGATCTGTGACAAATATACTCGTACAAGTCTCTTAACTATATACATTTTTATTATCTTTTAAAATATATACAAACACAGGTCCTAAGTTCTATCACATACCTACTTCACTTCTTATTTAATCGGAAAAGTTGAATACTAGCCAGAAAGTAGATAGATTTTGAATAAACAACTACCGAAACAATATAAAACGAAAATAACATTCCACAAACTAAATAGAGCTCGTAAAATACACAGTAGCTCAGCTTTTTACAAATTTGGTTCAAACAAAACATTCGAAATAAGTATGCCTTTACGATCTGACAGAATGATAATAGAAAAAAGAACAATGCACTACAAATTTAAAACTCCAACATATTATTACCAATGTACACATTAAACATAATACCAGGGATCTATTCATACGTCACGATAAAATAAAATACACTTGTTTTAGTACATTTTAGTCCATCTACCATGTCATGTTATGCCATACCCATTGTTAGGGCCATAAACCTATTGATCGAGCTACAATGCTGCTATAAATTTATAAGTGTTGCCTTGACCTACCTGATGTCCAAAGCCCAGGTGTGGTCAATAGAAGCTTGCATTATTGAATTATAAAAACCTTTAACTTATGGTACTAAACTATTCTTAAAGATAGAAATGATTTCATACGCAATTCTTTATGTTTTATCTCACTTATTCTATAAATTAGTGAATATGATCTAGAAGAACTCTTTAATATTAAAATTTTCCTAGTTTGGACTGTGAGCTGCTAGTGCAGCACCTTATGACTTTTTGTACACCATTGTCATGGTAGAATGTACTGAACCAGTATTGTAATAATTGACATCTGCTGTATGTACTACATTCTGAAAATAAATGAATTTGAATGACTTTTACCATGGCTTAATCTTTAAGCACAGTAGTAATTTAGTTTTGTTCTTTGACATATTCGATTTCTAGACTAAACTAAGCGACTACTATGGGTTATTTTTTACAAGCTTTTATTATGTATGTGTTTATGTGAAGGAATATTCGAACGTGCTTTTGACCCACTTTAAAACGTCGAATTAAATTGAAACTTCACACACTTATCGAGGACCGATGACAATACGATAATTGAGTAAGTTTAGCCGATTATCCAGATCAGGATCTTCAGGATTAACGGCTTTCTCCATACCTAAAAATACTGTAGTGTCTTTATCTGCGTACTAAGAGGTGTATACTAAAGCATATGGACTTACTTACTTGTGACTTTATTAGCCTTAATGAGAAAATAATCATCATTAATGACTAAAAACGCAAAAATAAAATATAGTTTAGAAAAACACGCAAAATATACCTAAAGTAAGTTATAGTTTAAAAAAACTAAATAACTCGCTTTTGTGACTAGCCGAACTAAAAAGCAGAAAATAATATTCTAAAGTTCAAAATGAAAAATTATTTTATCGTAAAAAAGCGGGGGGTGCTTGTCAAGATAGTTTATAATATAATAACTTTACTTTTAAGAATTTCTGTCAATAGAATACTTTTACAACAATTAAGATCTAGCACCCCACGCATACGACAAAATGATTTTTGAATTCCTTTCTTTCTTTTTGACTGATAGAAAATTATTTTCTACTTTTTAGTTTGGCTAGTTACAAAAGCGTGTTATTAAGTTTTTTAAATTTATTATAATTATTAATATTTGGTATATTTTTGAGACACAAGTGTGTTGTCATACTTTGGAGTGCTCCTCCCAGAATTGGGTGAGAGGTGAGGCTTCCAGGAACGTCACTTACTCGCTGAAAAGCAACAAATTGCTTACGACCGGAGTGATGTCACCCAAGTCACGATGTGAGGCCGTGGAATCAGTAAGGACGAGCCGGCCTATATGAGCCAAACCATGAGCCTTTTCTTAGATACATTGCAAAAGATGTCTGAAAGTAGAAGAAACGGCCACCCACGTAATCCTGGAATGCGAGGGAGTAGGCACAAAATTGCTAATAGAAGCCTGTGAACGCCCCATGAGGCTTCTGCGCTTCTGAAAGGAGCTTGGTTGGTTCACCTAGCCAACCTTTCCTCAACGCATAAAAGACCATTCTTGAGTCTAAATGCGGCAATCAGAGCCCACAACCAATACATTTTCGTTAATTTCCTTAACTTTGTCAACGGAATTTGTATCCACGACTCTGAACGTTTCAGTCACACACTCTGTGCCATCGCATGAGGTGATGAATACTATAAGAACTATCTGTACCTGGCTACGAAATAAAATCCTATATTATTGTTTTAATCTTTTGAATTCACTGTTTTTAATAGCTCTAGTCACGCGCGTGTGACATCATCGTTACTTACATGTGTTGGTGATGGCATTAGATTATAAAGCAACTAATTGTAAAAGGCTCATTTAGTTCTTCCATTTCTAATCGACAGATACTTTAAAAAACGGCATAATTACTTATACCTACTCTTGGAGATTAATATTTTCATGTCTCAACATTTCTTTATCCAATTTCGACTGGATATAGAGATACTGTTGGTTGGATACTTTTCCGTGTACAACGAAGATTGAAAACAAACTCATGTTTATAAGCAATCTTCATTCCTGGTAACATTTTTTTACATTATAGAGGCAAACGAGCACACAGGTCACCTTGACCTTGGCCACCGCCCATGAGCACCTGGAACTCAAGTCACAAGTGTGTCGCCATCCTTTGAGTCTTCCCCCTCAAAGAATCAGGTGAGAGGGGGTTGGGCTCCGGTAACCTTAAACTTTTTTTTTGAAGTTTAAGCCTTAGACGACTTAACGACTTCAACCCTCTTCTCAAGTTGGCCACAGTACTGAAAGTTGTCTAGTATTTTCTTACTTAACATTTATGATATTTGAAATTCTTTTTTAGGAGTTGTCTTTATCGTCCACGCCGTTATTGTGGCGGTAAGGCCCGTTATGGAGGATTGTCTCGAGAGGCGTCACGAAACCCTCTCGTACCGGCTGATGCAGGTGATAACGGGGAAAGAATGCTTTGGAGATAACCTGTGTGCCGCCACTGCGGTGGCCAGACCGTGGACACGGCACTCCACACGTTCGCAGAATGCCCGGCGTGGGTGGAGCAGAGGCGTTACCTAGTGGTGGCCATCGGAGTGGGAATCCTCTCGGAGAGGTCTAGAACTCTATCGGTGTTTAGAACCCTGCAGGCCTGCGCTTATGGAGTCGTTCTGCGACCTCCGTCCTCCTCCTGGGGAAGTAAGGTGAGGTCATCTGTCACCCTAGCAGAAGCAGGCCGGGGTGGCGGCGAGACGCGCTGCGGAGCGCGCGCGCCCTTTCGGGAGCACAAAAGGAACATGGGGGTTTCCGCACAGTAGGGGGCCATCTACACGCTGTGGATGGCCCGAGGTACGTCGGGGTACCAGGGAATTCCTTTCTAGGATACACCTGGTTCCCCGGTTACTGGTACTCGAGACGGCATGCGATTTTTGGTG